TTTCAGAAATGATATGTCATAGTACAAAATACAACGTCATTTCTATTGCTTTGGCATGGCGGAGCCACGAGAGGGTTTTCATCTTCGCTTACTCCGCCAGCGCAGGAAATGTTCTACTGTCAAAGTCATCACGGATGGAATTAATCTCATCTTGAAATGAGCATTGCTGACCCCTCAAGATAATCTAGCTGGAGCTTGAAACATCGCATTCATCCTACATTCTGATGGTCGTTTGTGCTCTTTGTTCATTGCTTAGATGCAGTGGGTTGCGATTTGCAGATACCGGTCCGGCGCCGATTTCAGGTACGGGCAGTGCCGAAAGAGTGGAGAGCCGGATCCGGCTGTCGGGAGCTTGTACGGAGGTGGGGGCGGCAGAAAGTTAGAACGAACGCCACCCCCTGACAAGGCTGAGAGACTGGACTTTTCAGCTGGCTGACCCCAGATTACCGGTGAAGAGCTGGCTCAATTCATCACCCCCAAGACCTAGGCGGAGGATGACTCTGATCTCCTTGACTGCACGGCGTGTCATTCTGTCGCTGGCAGCTATTCAATTGTCCCTGGCGACATCACGTGCATCATCATTCTGACAGAGGGGCATCCCAACCACTCAGATTATTCGACAGGCAATCAGGGAAGGAAAGGATTTAATCCTCCAACAGCAGCATCCCGGGCCGCAGCCGCTCTCACCACCCAGACCCAGCCCGTAAGCTGGGCAGCAAGATTGCGTGAGTGAGCAAGATCTTGCTTGCTTCAGGTGCCACGGACTTCCGATTGTTGGTCAGATCTCGCGGCCAGACCTGAGACTGGGGGTGGCGCACAGCTGATGCTCCCCGCTTTCAGGCCTCTCCTGCTGCGTAGGTACGACAAGTTTCGTGAACAACTTCACCGCGGTCGCCCTGAGATCTTCTCCTTCACTGATGCCCAACACTCACTCAGGTGAGCCTTCCCCAGTTTTTCCTCTGCGCTTACGGTTCCCTTCCGATTTTGCAGGGCGTGCTAGATCGCCCATTTCTCCCAAGCCTGCAGGTGCCATGCTGCAAGACTGGCTCCCCCACTCCAATCACAGCGGAAGACTGACAAGCCCGCAGGTCCCACCCGGCCACTCAGGTGCAACCACGCCCGCTGAGCTCGCCATTGCTGCAGACGATAATTACCTCTCGAAATACACCACTTTACCTCGAATGCCGCCGTCTCGAGGCTGACTCAGGGACGAATGGCGAAGCTCGAACCTGTCGAGGGGGACAGGAGCTCTCGCAGCAAGAGGACTCCGCGTTCCTCGTCCTCAGCGGCTGGGGTTGATTGGCCCCGGACGGACGACACCATGCACGATTCGCCGCCCCGTCGGAGGCGAAAAGAAGAGATACATAGATCCAAGCCCAAGGTGCCAGACGCCCCTCGGCGACATTCAACGTCGGCTCGAGCATCACAGTCCCTCTCCTCCTCGGCGAGCATGCGAGTGCCCAATTCAACAATGCCGTTGTTGATGAGGTCCGCAACTGTCTCTGACCGGCGGCCGGTGAAGGGACACCTTCGCTACGAGGAAGAAGACATTTACCGGAATGATCGACGAAGGAGCGACTACCGAAGGGACGCCAGTCCGCCATCAGCCCACCACTATCGGTCCACGCCAGACTCTCGGAGGTCGTCGCGGAGCTCTCTGCCGCCATCCGACGATGAGACCGATCCCACGATAGAAAGCCAGGACGAGGAGGATGCCCGCAAATCTGAGACAGAAGTACGCATCGTGCCGGCTGACCGGAGGAGAAGACATAGGCGGGAAAGGAGGATCCAGGAACCGATTATCGAAGAGCCCGATGATGACGACGACAACGATAATGACAATGATGATGCTTCAAGACATACGCCATCTCTTGACGAACGCAGGTCACCATCACGCCACTCCTCTGACAGGCATGAACGCCGGGAACGACGCGAGCATCGTGAGCATCGTGAGCATCGAGACCATCGAGACCGCCGAGACCAGCGGGAAACTCGAGAATATAAGGAAGACCGAGAACCCCGCAAGCATCGGCATGAGTCCCGAAAAGAACGTCGGCGTGACGAAAGCGTTGAGGTCGATGAGCCCAAGCCCTCATCTGGTCGCAAGCAGTAGGCTCACCCTTTGATACACAGTTGCTCTTGTCAACGACTAACATGAAAGCAGATCATCCAAGAAATATTATGCGTCGGAAGCCGTCTATATAGACAAGGCGCCCTCATCGTTGCGCCGGTCTAATACTACAAGTGGTTCTCAAGTGACCACAGCTCGCAGTGTAAGCTCTACGACGAAACGCTCGTCTGCTTTCTTTGGTGGCTTCTTTGGTTCTTCTATTCAAGCACAGCCGTCAGAAAAGCCCGAAAAAACGTGAGTACCATACAAATTTTCATGCCAAACGTTGATTCATTCTTCTAACATGTAAAAGTGTTGAATGTGTTGTTTGTATGGATGATGTTGCTCCTCGGAAGGCAGCAAAGCTCAAATGTGGACACCGAATGTGCACCCATTGCCTCAAGCGAAGCTTCAAGCTGTCTGTCAAAGATCCTCAGCACATGCCACCCAAGTGTTGTTCATCAGAAAATATTCCTCTAAAACATGTTGAAAAATTGTTTGACTTGGAATTCAAGAAGAACTGGAACAAGAAGTTCGCCGAGTACTCCTCCCGCAACCGAGTATATTGCCCATCGAGACGATGCGGCGAGTGGATCAAGCCTGAAAACATTCATCGTGAAGATGGCCGAAAAATCGGCAAGTGCGGGCGTTGCAAGACGAAGGTCTGCTGTCGTTGCAACGGCAAGTGGCATGAGTCCAGAGACTGCCCAAGAGATGAAGAAACCAACCGATTCCTCGAGCAAGCCAAGGAGGAAGGCTGGCAGCGCTGCTATAAATGCAAGGCTATGGTAGAACTCAAGGAAGGCTGTAACCATATGACCTGGTATGTACCAACTCGACAACAACTCGGCGATGATCATTACTGTTAACACCTAGGACAAGCCGTTGCGGAGCTGAATTTTGTATGATCTGCGGGGCTAAGTGGAAGAGCTGTGAATGCCCCTGGTTTAATTATGACGCTGTCGAGAACGACCGCCTCGAGCATATGCAAATACCCATTCCTACGCGGAACGGGGACCGCGACCGCTACGAGCACCATGATCCTCCATCTCCAAGAGACTTCCGCCCGGGCGTTCATGCACCACCAACAGCAGCCCGTCCTCGGCCTCAGAACTACGAGGAGGAGCTGTATTTACGACGTCTTCAAGAGCAACGAGACGAGCACATGGCACGCAGATTACAACTTGACGACTATGACGAAGCTATGGATGACTACACCGGAGGATTTGGCGATATCCACGGTATTGGTAACTCGGCAGGACATTTCATGAATGATGACTATCGACGAAGGCCAGAGAACATTAGTGTACCACCACCACCTCCACACCAACAGAACCCGTTTGACAGGGCTAATACAGTGACCGATTATATCTCAGGGGTCAACAGAGCTCGGGGCGTCAGGGCGACGTCCTTAGAGAGGCGGCTTGCCGACAGGTTCAATGCAGACCTCAGGCAGAGCCCGAGAAACAGCCCAACACACTCACACCATCCCCTGATGTCACCCCATGGGCCACCTCCGCCGCCGTCTCTGCAGACGGCTGCGACGATGCCCTCTATGCCGATTGCTCCCGTGCCCCCACCAGCAGCACCAATCGGAGCGCCAATGATGCGGAGGCACACCATGGAGGAAGACTTGTACAACAATGCTGCAGGCACTTGGCCGTCGGAACGCAGTTTGTCCGGGCGGATCAGGCACGACTACGAGAGCGAGGCGATGGTGCACACGCCACTCGCTCGGCGGCAGCACCAGCGTGAACCACCTAGGCAGTCGGTCATGGCTGGGCTGGGAGGCCCTGGGCGTGGCATGGGCCGGGTGTTCGAATGGCGAACACATGTGGAACCAGGTGCCCCGGAAGGGGAGCCTATCACAGCTTGATCGCCATAGATGGCATGCTTTGACAACACGGCTTATGAAGTTAGGCGATAGGATGTATTGGTCTGTCATGTTTCGTTTTTTATGGGCTTGCTACCTGTCATTTTTCTAGTTGGATCATCTCGATTGCGCACAGCATGATGTAGAGTGTGTTTTACAGTTCTTGGATGCGATGATACCTAATCAGCTTGCTATTTCGGGTACTTAATTGTATGGAGTTGGGTCTGCATGCGGATTGATACGGAATGTTGAGGGTGTCAACGGCTTATCATCAAGGTCAAAGGTCAAGATTGACAATGTATTTATGGGTATACATCTGGCCTGATCCTACACATTATGATGCTATTCGCTTCTGCTTATCTGGAGCAAGCACGCAGTGTCTGTCGTCCATTGACATCGTTCTCCAGCTGCTCCTTTCAGTCGGCTCCTTATCAGGGAGGTGGACCATAGGTGAGTTTCAGCGGGCAACGTGGACATGCTGCAGTGGGCGACAGCGGTGGAGCACGCTAGAGCAGTCCACCTCGGCCACTAACATCAGGGTAGTCTCTTGTTCTAGCCTCCCGATTCGCTCCTTGGCTATGACCTACGAAAATCGCAACTTTTTTTTTTCTAATTTTGCGACCAGCATCGCGCGACGACCTCCCACCTCCTACGCAGCACACCACGACGATCGGCCGTAGCAGTGAAGTGAGTGATGTGGGCAGCGCGCAGGATGGCCTCGACTAAATCCGCGTCTTCCGCCGCCCTGACCTTTGACCTGGTCGCCAGCTGTTCCGTAAGCTACCCTTACCTTACCTCTCCTTGGCCATTGCCTGCCCCTATCGCAATGGCATGTGCTTCCCACACCAGCATCTCCAGCCATTCCCGATGTCTCTGTCTTCCTCCCACTCGGCCTCGCTTCCGTTTTGCTTGCTTCAACTCGACGCTGTTTGACTCACCAGTCTTCTCCAGTAGACCACTCGAGCTCGTGCCTCTGTTTTGACCCTCCCACATGGCCCTGTCAAGCTACCAATCTTCATGCCTGTTGCGACTCAGGCGTCGCTCAAGGGCCTCACCCCGGAACAATTGGAGGATACCAGCTGCCGTCTATGCCTGAACAACACCTACCACCTCGGCCTGAAGCCTGGCCAGCAGGTTCTTGATGCTGTTGGCGGCGCTCACAAGCTGCAAGGATGGCCACACAACATCCTGACTGATAGCGGAGGGTATGTACTGATGGTCCAGGAAACCAAGTCCTGGGTTCTCACCTGAGGGCATTAGCTAATGATCGTCTCGGCACGGCCGAGTGAACAGATTCCAGATGGTCTCCTTGCTCAAGCTCGCCAATATCACCGAAGAAGGCGTGCGCTTCCTCTCTCCCCACGACGGGACCCCCATGCTGCTGACCCCTGAGCACTCCATGGCGCTGCAGAACAGCATTGGGTCCGACATCATGATGCAACTAGACGACGTGCTAGTGACGACGTCGCCGGACAAGGTGCGCATGCGCCAGGCCATGGAGCGCAGCGTGCGCTGGCTCGACCGCTGCATCGCTGCCCACAAGAACCCGACGACCCAAAACCTGTTCTGCATCATCCAGGGCGGTCTGGACCTCGACATGCGCCGCGAGTGCTGTGCTGCCATGCTCGAGCGCGACACCCCCGGTATTGCCATCGGCGGCCTGAGCGGCGGCGAGGCCAAAGCCGACTACTGTCGCGTCGTCGCCGCCTGCACCGAGATGCTGCCCGAGCTGAAGCCGCGCTACGTCATGGGCATCGGCTACCCGGAGGACCTGGTGGTCAGCGTCGCGCTCGGCGCCGACATGTTCGACTGTGTGTGGCCGACGCGGACGGCGCGCTTCGGCAACGCCGTCACGAGGCGCGGCATGCTCCGGCTGAAGAACGCCGAGTATGCGAACGACTTTCGCCCCATCGAGGAGGGCTGCGGCTGCGCGTGCTGCCGGACGGCGGAGCAGGGCGGCATGGGCATCACGCGCGCGTTTGCGCACCACAACATCGCCAAGGAAACGGTCGCGGCGCACCTGCTGACGATGCACAATGTCTACTACCAGCTCGACCTCATGCGCCAGGTGCGGGACGCGGTCATCGCCGACGAGTTCCCTGCCTTCATCAGGCAGTTCTTCGCAGATCTGTACTCTGACAGAGCAGATTATCCAGAATGGGCGGTCGACGCCCTGAAAGGGGTCGGCGTTGATCTAATGCAAGACTAACAACCAAAAATCACTGCTGGCTCTTCGTATGATTGTGAAACTGGTGACTTTATTCATCTTCAAACTACGGAAGCATGGGTATGTGATAGCCTATCATAGACCCAGCGTATCGCAAAATCATCTCGATTTCAGAGTACACACTCAGCAGAACTTGTCACCCTCTCTATTAGAGCAAGACGATAGAGAAGAAGAAGGCCAACACGTTGGCTATCCACACCACCAGCCCTCCGCCTAGATTGGATACCGCAAGCGCCGATGAAGTTGTCGACGCACTGCCTTGAGGCGTTGCAGACGCTGTCAGATTAGTTGACGTCGCGGTTCTAGTCACGGTCGTTGTTTTCGTGGTGGTCAACGACGCAAGCACTACTGTTGTTGCCGGCTCGTAGGCATCGCAGAAGGTCGTCAAAGGCGCGTACACAACTACGCATAGTCAGTCAGCCATTAGAACTAGGTAGATGCGGCGGATCTCCTTTGCTTGACATACTGGAATAGCCTGCAGGATCTGCAGTCTGCGCCCATGATGCACAGTTGGCCGCCCAGCTATCGAAGATGGTGTTGTAGGTAGATGAGGACTTGCCGATGCTGCTGTAGCTAGACACGGCATTAGCTTGTGGTTTCAGGGAGGTCGTCGTGGTCGACGGCAGTGAGTTTACCAGATACATGACGCAAAGGAGTTTGCCTCTTTGGTCTTGCAGGATCCTATGGTGTCCAGCATATACTGGCAAGCTGGCGGGTGAGAAGGCAGTGCCGTCGTAGTGCCCACGGGAGCATAAGGAGTCGGCGTTACGGCGCCTTGAGCACCAAGACCGCCGCAAGCCAACAGCCATAACAGAATCGCAGACTTTTGTCCACCCATGATTATCGATCCAAGATGCTTTTGAACCTGATAGAATAGAGTAGTCTATGCTGCGCTTCCCAAAGAAAAGAAATATCTCTGATCAGGGAAGAAAACTTGTGCTGCCAACGGCCACGTCAGGGGAGTGGCATCTTGGTGACAGAGACTGACCATAAAGGCACGACATGACTTGACAACACTTTGAGTAACGAGTCACAATTTTTCATCCATCAAATTATCAGATGCAGACCACACAAGACTAGCCGGATAGACATGACGCGTGCAATACTCAAGTTATCTCTCTCCTATGAGTGCAGACTGTTACTTGAAGCCTTTCAGATGTCTCGAGTCAGTCATCACACGTATGCAAAATAAGCAGCTCTCTTTATGCTGGCCCCAGGATCCGAGTCAAGTTGACAAGTAGTTGGGGTTGAATAGTGAAGCTATACAGTGTTAGGAATGAAGACTGATAGAAGGTCATTCTTTGTTAGTATATACCATTTTCTTCCCTTTCCAAATGTATGCCAATGGAACCTCGTACCTCAGGAGATTGGGAATAGCAAGAACCATCAAAATCAAAGATTTCGTCTCAAAAGATCCAAACATTGCAGAGCTAGAGGGGCTAATTGTTCCATTCTCTTTCCAATTTCGATTTCATCAGCATCCTATGCCTAACCATAGTGATCGTGAGAGCTTTATAGAGGCGGCTTATTGTCTGTCAACTGTGGTTCTGTGTCTGTTATCAGGCCCGTAGAAAGCCAGTCATCGAGAACTCTCGACGCCTAGGGATGGCCAATGGCGCCCTTCGGGATCGCCGAGCCGGTAATGTCACATGGCTAGGTATAAATCGCGAAATTTAAGATGCCAACAGGACCACCAGCAAATATTCGTTGATTCATACCATCGACATAGTTTGACAGTATTGTCCCGAGAGCCTTTACTGAGACCTTGGAAGTGGCTGGCGGTTTATGTGAAGAATGAGGCAGTAGTGACACAATTCGTATTGCCAGTTATCCCGTTCAAGTAGCTTTAGCAACTTCAGGTGTTCAGTGCTGTCAACTGCTTCGTAGCTGGGGCCACTCGAGTCGTCGATGACTCGCACTTGCCGGGCTTGAATTGTGCTCCAAGTTGATTTAGTTAGTGTCCCATGGTAGAAAGCGCGGCATATCAATGCAAGGCAGATGGCACTTGAGGTGGGCAATAGATCTGAAACGGTGAGCAAAAGATCTGGGTGCAGTTGTAGTATTGGTGCTTCACGGTTGTGAGCTGCGATCTTCTCTACCTTGACATGCTGTCTCGGCAAGATAATACGGCGAAATCGAGAAATAGAAACATACCCAATGACGAACATCGTGCCATTTTATACTCGAAGGCAGTGCCATCTTCTCAGGATGACTCAAAATAGAGATGTCGCTGACCATGGATTTTGTAAACTTACCAATATTCCAACAACTTATTACTAAACATACAAACGCGGCTTTACTCGTTACGACAAAGTTCTATAGTAATTATTAATATAGTAACTTATTCTAATAGCAGGTCTCGGTATAGGTAAAGGACTTGTAATAAAGGATAGCCGATTGGGATATTTCGAGTTGAGGGTCTTCATTCTTGTCAAAATAACTTGCTTGCGCTAAGCCATGAAGCGACGTAACCAAAGTTCCTCACATACTTTTCACCCAACAGAGATTGTTACATTCTGGACAACACATCCTTTTTGTTGAGGCTCTCCAGACAACACAGAAGCGAGCCATTTCCATGCGCTAGGAGCTCCGTTTGCAGCTTCCTCCACGTGCCCGCCCACCGAGTTACGTTGATAGAGTATATCCGCGCCCTTTGAGCAATACTTCTCAATAAGTGCGTCGACAGGCTTCGCTGGGTTGACATGGTCCTGAATAGCCTGGTACACGAACAATGGTATCTTGGGCACGCCATAGTGACCAGCGGTGCCATCCCGATCGGCAAGCTCACGAATAGGACCATCCAGAACATCGGAAGCGCCGTTCTTGAAGTATCGATAGATGTCCTGGTTCGCGTAGGCGACCACCCACTCCTGAAGCGTCATATCTGCCGCCGCGAGGAATCGACTACGATTATACTCTCCTTCAGTCTTCAGGGAGGACACTAGCACATTGCGAACGTCGGGAAACTGGCTTGTTAAGCCGAGCAGGCCAACAGGTATGAGTCCCGAGTACAGACCGCCGTTGATTGCCGCAATCGAGGACGTCGCGTTGGCATTCATGCCTCCAATAGCGGCTCCTGAAATATGTAGCTCTGGTGCATATGTTGGCTGTAGCTCCGAGGCCCAGACTGCTGCGAACCCGCCACCTGAGTAACCCCATAGAACATTCTTGGTCTTTGGGGTCAACCCGAGAGTTGCCGAAAGGGACAATGTAGCCCGAACTGAGTCAAGGGTAGCTTGGCCGGCTTGAAGACCTGCGATGAATGATGCTAAGGGTCCTTCGTAATCAGGCACGTTGACAACCCAGCCTTTTCCCAACGCGGTCGGGATGTCGGGAAGAGGATTTGAGTATAGGCTGTAACTCGGACTAGCATCGACTGTAGCAACATCATATGGATCCAGATAGGACAACAGAGAAGACCACGTCGGTTGGTGGCAGTCTCGCTTGGATGTGACTGGGACGAAGATGGTTGTTACCGCCCATGATGGCTCACGTCGGCTGTCTGTAGTGCGGTAGAGGACGTTGTATGCCGCACTGGCATTGCCAACCGTCGATGCGAGATCTCCAGGTGCAGTTCTCATGCGAAGAACAGTTCCTAGTTTGGCATGCTCTAAATTGGCTGGGGCTGTGTACCATGGATCTTGGCTGGGCGGTAAAGGGGTAGATGTCGAATTATCAGGCGAGGCGAACACGCTCGTGGCGAGAAGAGAAATGGCACAGCCCAATAAACTCGAAACTCGAAACATTTCAGTAAGTATCAAACTGTATAATTTTCAAATTGAGGGTTGGTTTATCTGTCAAGATATGGAGGCAATTAGGAATGACATCCATCTGAGAACGATCCGCAATGGGTCGTCTTTTATATGGCAGCAACCTGTGGCACCATGATAAACACAACAAGCCTCATGATACTGAAGCGTTCCTTAATTCCGCCGTTACATGGGCAAAGCTCGGCCTAGTGATCATCCAAGATGCGAGTAGCGAAGAGTCAACATCAGAGCCTACGGGATAACACCGCGGAGGTGTAGCAGGCTGCAAGAAAACGCGTCTCTTATATGTCGAACATCCGAAAAAGCGAGACATTTTGTCTTCTTTCGTTGAAATGACTGTCTTTCCACTCCAACGGACCCCAGCTGCTCCACATCAGACTCAGGATCATGATTTATATTCAATCGCATTAGTTGTAGGCGCTGGTGTGTGTTTGTCTTTAAGCCGCTTGCCGGTCCAAGTTAAGTCCATGGACATGGAGGGAGTTGGGACGGGCAAACTGACCGACGGCTTGATAGTCAGCCCGGCTACAAAGACTACAGCTCTCTGCAGTTAGCAGTATCACTCGGAAAAGTTAATCGGCACTGCCCGCAAACCGTAAGCACATATTATTCGGTGGCTACTGTATCAAGCCCGAGTCCGCGCCGGATTAAGACTGCGCCGATAGATTCAGATAAATGTCAAAGGCCAAGCATCAATAGCTCGTTTGCCGTATAGGTTAAGTTTGCCGAAACTGGATAGGACTCTACAGCATGTCCAAAAACGATAGATGGAAAAGAGCTATTGGCGCTCGATGAAATGGCGGGGATAGAAATTAGAGGGCTTCAAGTTCGATATCCAAGGCAGAAGAAGAAATGGCAGACAAAATGGGAAGCAGTTAGGTGAAACAAGTCATCCTTACCGTAGCGTAGACTGTCGAATCAATCGTAACAGTATCGAGTTTCATTGGATAGGTTTTTACCATATTTGTTCTTCTGCCAGGCCCCCTCCATGACTGGCCGGACAGATTCTGCAAGAAAGCAATGTCTGTGCAGCTGAGACATCCTGGTTTAGAACATCGATCGTCGATATCGAGCTGGGATTTGCACATCAAACAAGGCCTTGGACGAGGAAACGATCGGATGGGCTATTTGGGGAAGCCAAGAGAGTCAGAGAGTGCCAAATACAACCACAACAGGCTCGCTAAAGAAGTGCTAAGATATCCTCGACTTGGGACGACAGGCCGCTCGGGAAGCAGACCCCCTGCCTGCGTTTTGCTTACTGATCTCTTGTTCACGGGCTTTAACTTGCATGGTGATACAATTGTTGTGTAACTCGAGAGCCGAGCAATTGTTGGGGAGCAAGATAATTGCAAGACACTTCTCCCCCAGACATCGCTATGAAGACGATGACACAGATAGGTAGTGCTCATGCAGAGCTCAATTTCATGATGTGACATTTATTCTGAAGTCAACTTAGCGACGACTACTGAGCATACTGTCTACTTGCAATGCCTTTTCTTAGGCCTAATAAAAGTGAAGAGACGCATTACCCTGGATGTAGGAATGGGGCTTGCATGGCTTGCTGTAGCCCAGGTTTCCAGGCTGTTGAGCTGCGACAACTCGTGTTTCTGTGGCAAAAGACGAGCCGTCTGTTTTGACGAACAAGAGGGGGGCACATCGAGCTCTTCAGATGCATTCGCGGGCGGGCGGCCTTTTGTTTCTGGCCAATCTTTCCATTTGACTCTTCCTCTTCTCACATCTGATCTAGTGATTTCCTCAATTACCCGTTGCACACGTTTATACCTCGTTGGAGCCTCTAATCAATCTCATCTGGGAATGAATTGATCTATTGCATTTGATCAATCGCATTTACCCCGCCCAGTCACCTAACCCACGCCCACTTGGTCTACTGTCCCTTGCCAATTGACTCTGTCCACACCACCTTAACCGACTTCGTAACTCAAACTGGTCGATTACTCAAAGGAAATAGAGCTTGTCATAGGTAGTTGCGCTTGACGACCGGGATACACGAGGGAAGCTTTTGGGGCTAGCAGCCCTATCATACTATCCGGAACCTACCTAGGTAGCTTGTTGTCTCGCACAGGGTGCATATACCTACTGACCTGGGTAGCATGCCCACCTACCTCTGCCACGGCTTCCGCTGGCAGCGGCGAAGCATTCGCGTCTTTATCATCGTCCAGAACCTGGATGATGCCTCTCCGGAGTGGATTGTGCGGCCCGCCTCTGCCTTCTCCCTCCTCGAGTCCTTCTACAACCTCTTTGACTTCCTACCTGACTGCTGCCCACCCAGGACCGGCAGTGTTGTGGGGAGCCGCTCACGCTCCAATACTCTCGGGAGCAGCCATAGGGGCGACGATGACAGGACCCGGAATAGGAGCCGTAGCCAGAGCCGGGGAGGCAAACGGGACCGGAGCCAAAGCAAGCGCAGCCAGTCCCAGTCTCGCTCGCGGCGGCCCACGCTGCAGAGCCAGACGCCGCCATCTCCGCCAGCTTCCCAACCCCCGGCCGCCTCGTTGCATGAAGAGAGTGACGATGTCTCAGCTCAGGACTGGTCGGCTGTCAAGCTATTAGAGGAGTACGATCCCCTGGACCTGACGGCCGTGTCGCAGCCCCATGCCTACGTGGCTGACTACGTCGTGCGCATCGATCTGTCATGCAACGTGGCCGAAGAGATTGCCCGCTACGAGGAGCGGCTGCGCGCATCGCCAGACCCGCCCGTGACTGGCAAGAGCAAGAAGCCCGGCTGGTTCGAGAAGCTGCGTGACCAGCTGCAGCGCGGCGAGGACATCCGCTGGTACGTCGTGGTGAACGGCGACGAGGAGCGCGCCTGGCCCGACGAGCCGCCCGGCAGGGAGGACACGGCGGCGATGCGCGCCCAGCAGACGCACCACGCGCAGTACATCAACCAGCAGCAGATCTTTGAGGACAAGGACGCCATGAGGGAGCGCGAGAGGGAGAAGCTGAGGCGGGAGATGGGCTACGACCAGGCGGAGAGGGAGCCGAGGCCGCCCAGGGACAGGCGGCCCAGAGTCCCCGACAAGGAACTACCGCCCATTCTGACGAAGAAGGCGTCAATGGACCAGGGTGGACTACGACCAAAGACACCAAAGACTGGTGGATTCAGGAGATTATTTGGCAGGTCAAAGGCAGGAGCGGGCGACGAAACACCTTGATATAACACAATTTATTATGGTAATGGTGTTTCGAGAATCTACGCGACTCCCATTGAAGCTCGTTAGGCCACAAATCTAGCTTCTAGGAGCTCAAATCTCAGAGTTGTTACCTCTAGACGACTACTAGTGAAAGCAGCGGTGAGCTACGTAAGCAAGCCAAGGTTGCCCCGGATGGGCGCCATGCCAGACACGCGCCAGAGCCGCTACAGGTCGATCTAGTAGGGCTCTCAGATTCACATGGCCATGACTTTGATGAATTCGACTACGTGGGTCTCGTGTTCAATCATTAGAGAGCAACAGCTCGTCCTTCCGGGCCCCTGATCTTTCGTCAGGTGAGAGGCATCTGTTTAAAAAAGGTTAAATCCTAAGAAGAGGTTTTCTTCTATGTACGTATGCATAGACAATCGTAAATACCTGCAGTAAAAGCAACTGAGGCTAGTGAGGGACATAACTCGAGCGAGGGATTGAACGTCAAACTGTGTACATGAATTGTCACAAGACAGGGCAGTCTTATACCGTCTTACAATTAACATCATCACTTGACAAATCCTGGTACATCGAGTAAGGGGCGTTATATTAAATATGCCTGACCCAGCCAAAAGAAGCTACGCAGTTTAATTAGAAAACCCCCGTCTATCCATTTGCCGTCATCCTGTGCAAGTCGTTGAGCTCGTTAACGGCCATAGCCATATCCTCATCAAGTATATATGTGATGAATGGCGTCCCTTCATAATGGGAATGAATCATCCGCTAGACCCCCGAGCTAGATCAGCATGTTACCGCCGCCGTCCACCATCAAATCGCCCCCATGTGTGAATTCATAGCTCATGTCTTTGAGAATATCATTCATCTCACTCTCTGACACATTCACATCTAGATTCAGAGCTCCAGGGCTCATTTCCGAAGCGCCCGCGGCGCTCACGGTGTTGGTGACGGGCGATTCCTCTACGATGCCCTCCATGGCCAGACCAGTTGTCCCCACTGAAGAAGCTGGCTGAGTGAGGCCCAGTCTTCCAAGCATCATAGTCTTAAACTTCTCTAACAACACCGGGTCATCGGCCGCGGTGACGTTCAGCTTCAGAATTCCACGAGCCTTCGCACGGAAAGCTTCGTCCGTCGGTAGCGAACCAGACATTGCCCATTTAGAAGTCGCAAATTCCACAAGGCCATTTTCCAGCTCACGACTGCAGAATACCACGGCAGGGGCCGGATAACGTTTCGTGATTGAATTCAAGTACTTGTTTGCAGTGCTAGCCTCGGCTTCAAAGTCCTGGGGACGGTCATCAAGGTTCAGTGTTATTGACACCTTGTCACCGGTAAAAGGTGTCATTTGTCCCTTGGGGAAGACATAAGGAGGCGCAAATCCGGAGCCGCCTTGTGCCAGATTCCACTGCGTGCCGACAGGCAACCCTGGTCCATCATCCTCTGTTATTAGACCTGCATCACGCTTGAATCGCCGGAGCCATTCCGCATTGTCAGCGGCTGTCTGATTCCATGGATCGTCACTGAAAAATATTAGTCTATATTATTGTGATACGGGGGGAGTGGGGATGAAACGCACTCATCGTACAGAATCCAGCGTGCTTGGTGCTGGAGTTCTTCGTCAGACGGTATATGGCGGTTAGGATTATTCGGTGATGTTGTCGACGCAACCCAGCGACTCAACTCTCGTGCGAGGCGTCGATAGCAATTCGCATCGTTTAAGAAGAACGGGCCCGTCCTCACAGAATTGCCGTGAGCCCTACCAAGGCCGGCATACATAGAGTTTTCATAGCAATTATTGGGTAGGGTGGAGAGGAATGTAGTCTTCATGCCCCCATGATTGGCATTGGCCAAAGTTGACTCTAATGCGAGTAGTGAGTCGCTTGGTATCGACGATACCGAAGAACCAGTTGCTGGGTAAAGATGACGGGACTTGAAGGCATTGAGCCAGTCCTCGTTGTCCGCAGCGGTCTGTTTCCCGCTGTCAGACTCGTAGACAATGATGCGGGCTTGCTTCTGCAACTCTGAATCATTTGGTTCGGTACCCATAGCAAGCTGGTTTCTGACGAATTCTGCAAGCTCCGTCTCCAGTCTGCTGTAATTGTGTATGGTTGAATCAATAGACTTGAGGTCCTTTGAGAGGAGTTCTTCATCGACGATATCCTCTGATCGAGGCAACTGAGCTCGTTGTCTAAACGAAGCAAGCCAGCTCGGTGATCCGTGGATCAACCGCAAGAAAAAGTTTGCGACGATCTCAGAGGGAGTCCCAGATGACTCTTCCATCCTGCTCACAATTTTACATGCTTCGTTCTGCAATTCCGTATCCATGGCTGTAAGACCCAAGAGCCTGCGGGCCTTGACAAATTCTAAGAGCTGTTGTTCCAAGGGGCACGCTTCGAAGATGCTATCTTTGCCATTGATTCTGAGTGATCCTAGCATATTCTCGACTCCCGATCGGATAGGAGCGAGTTTCGCTTTCAGCGCAATCTGGTCAGACGATAGGAGTAGGTCTCGTAACCAAGTTGGCGCTGATGAAGGAGGATTTTGAGCTAAGACTTCTGAAGCGAAGATGACGCGACATGTCTCAAAGAGTATTTCCTCGTCTGTTGGGTCGGCTCCAGTGGCTTCTCGTCGATTCAGGATGAAATTGATAAGCTCAACCTTGATCAACTCATATGCGTTCCGTGGGGAATCAGAGTATCGCTGACTTGCTTGATAGGGCAATGGAGAATTTCTCTCATCATGGATTAGATCTATTTAGCAGAAACGTCAGATACTCTTCGGACAGAAATTTGCCGGGCGATCGCATACATGGAGGAATGGAATTCTCGACCATCTCGAGAACAGGAGCTTCGAAACCCCAATCTCCCTTCCAATCAGCCATAGTGTTACCAGTTTTAAAGTGCTCGGCCAGATGATCCACTCGGATTGTCCACGTATCCATGACGATTCCACAGAAACCGCATCGGGATCTGATCTCTGGAGTAGCAACTTTCCACGGCTCCATGGACCAATTCATAAACTTGACGTTGTGTACAAGCTTCAAATGCTGCCGAAGATGATCCTTTCGATAGAAAGTCCTCTCCTCGAGCATCCTCTCCTGACAAGAAGAGTAATTGTGGCTCTCCAGGTGCGTATCGTCAGGGTTTGCTATTCCACAGAAAACGCAAGAAGCCTCGTTCGTCTCAGAATTGAGCGCGCGGGGTCCTTTGGGAGCGCAGACCCACCGCTCGAGCGAGAGATGCAACGATTTCTCATGCCTCTGCCAGTCATGCTTCGTTCTAAAGGTCTCGGTACAGAAAGTGCACATGAATGTCTTAGGCGGGGCAAGAAGGGCTGTCTTTTCGTCCGGGTTCTTAGGTGCAGTCCTTCTCCTTCTGCGTCTTCGTCCACGACCAAAGGACCCGAATGAGCCTAGAGACCCTCTAGAGTGATGTGAATAGGCCGAACCAGACGAGTTCGAGGTTGTATTGACACTACTAGCCGAGGAGACGTTGGCAAGCGATCTCCCAGAACCATCATCCGTATAGTTAAGGCTGTGGGGGCTGTCTAGTCCCGATGACATTGTAGATGCCGAAGCTGTGACGGCACGAGCTATAGCAGTCACGGAGGCAGGCTCATTTTCAGGTGGAGAGTCCACCCATCTCTCCAAGGGGTTTTTGTTATCCAGGGCTGGAGTACCCCGTCTCTTAGGAATGTCGATAGCACCTGTACCGGACCAGCTTCGAACATGGGGAGAAGTCGATCGGGTCGGTTGAATCTTGCCCCTGCGCCGAGCATTGGCGAGCCAATTTGTGATTTGTGTCTTGTTGAGGCCGGTAAGTCTCTGAAGGGTCTCCTTCTCCTCTTCGGTAGGATAGGGATGCCTATTATGTGTTGATAACCAATTCTTGAGGATCCTGACGGACTCTCGCGAGAACCGAGCACCAATCTTGGGCATGCTGGGAGCAGTGGGACTGACGTTTTGTTCGCCTGTCATGACTGTGGTTCCTTGGAGGTCTGGAGATGAGGTGCTGTGAAGTTGGCTTGGGTTGATGTCTTCGTGAGTGATAGAATTGGGGTGATCTCCGAGGGTAGGCCACGGATTTGAAGGGAAAGCCGCTGCCCCAACAGGGGATTTAGATAGAGCAAAGCTGCATTCGCACCCCAATGCCACGCAGCTGGTACAGTAGCCCTGGTACTGACCCTCCTGAATCCTCTTGCATGAGAAGCCGCCAGTCTGACAATGGGCACAGGGCGCTCCGGGGGTCTCCACTTGCAGTTCATTGACATTCAGGGGGTCAGGGAGTGCCAGCATGTTGTCGAGCGCCACGTTATTGGCTTCGAAATGCTCCAGTGCCCAGAATGAGAAGTCGTCGCCATCTACGTTTGCCAAGGCAAGATCGAGATTGTGATTGGGATCATCGTTGGTCATGGTCGTCTGCGGAGGCATGAGGTCCAGACCAACCATACCCGTGGCCGGGTCGGCATTGTCCCAGTTAACAAAGTCGTCCATTTCAGAGTGCTCGGGGATGACGGGCATGCTCTACCGCGAGGCAACAGACGGAAGGGCGCGCACAGTAGTGGAGGTTTCTCTCGACTTTTGTAAGTCGAAGGGCGGCGTGTCAAGTTTGCCAGGCAAGATTGATTGGATGTAATTAGTGCTGACTCCAGTCCAACCCTTCAGATCCGGATAACGAGCTGGGCGATATGGCAATTAATTATACGCCCTTCCCCTCCTATCTCTCGAAATCTGTTCGAGATGGAGGTGAGGCACTGCGAGGAGCCGCCTGCCGTGGTTTATAGGATGTGGATGTTCTGGAGCAATCAGTTTGAAGAGGAGGACAGGAAGGAAGGAAAGAATTGAGACAGGATGATGTTAGATAAGAAAATATTCCTGCAATGTGTCAATTAATTGATACTCGTGAATAAGTGTTTATGTCGACGTATAGGACCTCAGCCTCCAGGGCTCTCGTTTGCCTTGTCCTAACTTTGCTGGAGGGCTGCCTTAGAGTCATCATCAGAGCAGGGATTGTGGGCAATTGACATGACATTGATCCTCGTACGCCTTTCGGATGACTTAACCCCACCTTTTCTCCATACTAGTGGGAACTCCTCCTTCCTTGCTGCTCAGCTGCTATGTAAGCTCCGACACGGCAAGGCTTCTATCCTATTGCCTAGATAGGGCTAGTGCTGCTGAGAAGGTAAGGACGGCCAGGGAAATCTCTCTGAATCTGCCCACCCGAGAAAACTATCTCAAGTAAAAGCCAGGCAAAATCGCAGCTGTGCGGAAGAGAAAGTACTTTTCCAAGGGAGCAAACCCCAAAGATAAAAAACTAAATAAAAAATTTAGGAAAAGATTAAAAAAAAAAAAAAGATTTTTGAGGAAGGTAGGAATTGAACCCACAACCTAGTAGAGTGTTAATATGGAAATTTGAAGAATTGAATTCTTTGAATGCTGACCTTTAGGAATCCCGATTAAGCTTAGCGCTGGAATCTAACGCGCTCTTTTAGGAATAGTCAGCTTCTGCTCCCTGTTTTGGAAATCGGAATTTTCCTATTTTGGAAATCCGAATTTTGAAGAAGCAAGACTTACACCATTGCGCCACTTCCCCTACTTATGCGATTTTGCTCTTAGTTAAATATATGAATCTGGAACCCAAACCTTGTCAGTTTCCCCCACCTCGGCCTTCCTCTCAGCCCTGCCTTAAATGCCCAGACTTTGCCATGCTGAACAGCACGATGCCGGGTAACGATTGAGATCTCAAGCTTCTATAGTACTAGTAATGATAATGTATTCACCGTGTCAGATTATTCACTCTGAGATTCTACATACCTATATAAAGTATATAGAAGCTGATTTCAAGGGGAGAAATAGCAGCCAGCCCAAGCACTCCGACTCAATGTCATTATGATATTGCTGGGAAACCCAACTTGGATTTGGGACATGCCGAGCAGTCTGCAGCATCGGTGTCCCCGGCCCATTAGTCAGCCTTCTTCAGAGTCGAGACAGAGCGGCTAATCCAAAGGCTACTCGTGATTTGCTACTGGGTAGGGGTAGCTCTTACATGCTGGCAATGTGTCGATTTAATTACTATCAATAGGGGCTCAATTACTCGACTGAGGCTCTGATGTTCGGTTGGAGAATGGGTGACTGCGGGCGGCCTGGTGACAACCATGAAATAGATCCTCCGATATTGCCCCTTCATTGATCTTATGAATCTCAAGCTTGCGTAATACTGTTTACTGTAACTGAAAGAGTGCACAGGCAGTTAAGTCTTACCATACGCAGGACTATTTCAATTTGGAGGTTTATGGTTCTGGAATGTTGAATGAATATGAATTTCAAATACAATCAAGCTCACTGTGCCATAAGACAGCAAAAATTTGCGCAAGTTGTAGTGACTCACAAGGCATTTCTTGAAATTACTAGATCTATTAATACACACAACATCAATTCCCACCGGAGCGCATCCGCAGCACATTATCGTTGTATTGGTATCAAGAGAGCTGATGGAGATCATCGGCCGCAGCAGCTGGAATTCTTGAAGCAATGTGCTGCCGCCTTTAACAGGTTCTCGAAACAAGACATTCGGATCCGGCCTTTTGACCACAATTGACCGTCATCTTGAATCATCGCCCAGCAACTAGCTTCCTGGCCCCTCTGGGCATTGAGGCGAGCCGCAAACTTTCTTGAGCTACCGGACAACATAACGGCATGTGTCGAGTTTCTTGTAATGCGCCAATGCATCGTCTATCAATTTGGGTGAGCACTTGCCGCATTTGCGGGGCATGACGGCCCCAGAGACAATGAGATGACCGATCTTGCCATCTCCGTGCCTGGTTCACACGATCTGCTTATAATATCTCATTGCCAATGCGACAATGGCAGTGACATTACCGAGGTTGTGGAAATCTCGATGTTCTTCGAATCTGCATGGAAGGTGATAGATCCGTTCGAAGTCCTCAACCGAAGAAATGCCACGACCGTCGATCTTCAAGCCGTCCTGATTCTGAAGCCAACACTGGACCGGGACGGGGATTTCCTCCCATTGATCATCGAGAACAGCTTTTGACTTGTCCGACTTGTCCAACTCGCCAACACAACACAGCTGTCTTGCAGCCTCGGAGTTAAAGCCGCTCGAATTAATTCGGAAATGAAAGACTGAACCCCCTTTCTCCCATGGGGCTTCGTGATTTCATACCTGGTGCAATCAGTGAATGAGGCTCAACAATGGCTGGACGTTCTTGAGTGGTTTTAGTCGATGGATTTGAGCCGTCTGGGTTATTCATCGGAATCGCTGACGGCCCCTTGGCCGAGCTTTGCTTCTCTGAAGAGCTCTTGAGCTCATTTTGCCTCACTCGCCTCTGTCGCTTCTTCACTGGTTGAGGTGACGAATCATGCTTTGACGAGCTCGTCTGCTTATACGATTCTTGAAATGTTGCCTCTTTCGCTTCTCCGCCGATTTAGGCGAAGGTCGCCGCTCTGAAGAGCTTGGAGGATACCTGGGAACGGGTGAAAACAACTCCTGGGCATGTCTTTCTGATCCACCCATCGTGTTGAGTGTTTCCAATGCAGTTGCACGTGCCCTCCGTACTTTCTTCCCTAGCACAGATGAGAGGATTTCATTGAGGAATTTCTCCGCTTCTTCCAAAGCTAGGTGATTGTAACTCTGATGAAATTTGTCAAGTCTCTCCGGTGGAAGATATGGTATCGTAGATTCTTTCGGTATGAAATGGCTGCAGCTAGAGCAATTTTCGCATTTGTGGAATCGTAGAACGTAACGAGGATTTCCTATTGTGTAGCGAGGCTCCAAGTCAATCCACGTTCTCGTCTTATCAGCTGTAATGGTGTTTTCTTTGCATTTGAAACACCAGCAGAGTACTGAAGAGGGAAGATCGGCATCTTTGCTCTGGCGGATGTAGCGAGATAACCCTGTTCCTGTCCACCCTCGAGGCGCGCCGCGTTTGGCGTCGCTCATTCTCCTGATATGCAATGCTTTCATCAACCGGTATTGATATTGTACTCTTTTTACACTGTTTGCACCGCCTCTTGTGACAGACGTAGTGTCCGGGAGAGATACTAGACCATCGAGGATTATCGTCAACAACTTTCAGCTGCATGTTGCAAATTAACCAGCGAGTGTGGACAGTACTGTCGTCGAATCGACTATGCCATCTGTCTTGCCATGCCCAAGCTTCTTGATTAAGGGACCGTATTTGATGGAGCAGAGTAAGTCGAAGGAGGTCTTTGAGATTTGTATAATTCTGTTCGTTGCAGCGCAGTATTCTGGAAAGTTCTTCTGCAATATCTCCAAAGCTCGAGATAGATGTCTTGGCAAATAAGACTTGTTTCTGATCTCGAAGTCAGTCTTGAACTTCCGCCGGAAGATCGATAGGATGTGACCACTCTTCGAAGTATTTGAGTTCAAGAGCTTGCAATGCTAAAGGGATCGATTATCTAAGATCCTCATGAAGAAGGAGTCCCAGGTTCCAACATAGTCTTCCGTCTTGCCGTCTCCTAAAATGGTTCGAGACGTAACTTCACCAAGTCTCCGAACACTGTGTCCAAAAACTTTGATCTCGGCCATCTCCGCGAGGCTTGGAACATATTCCTTCCACTTTCTCTCTGAGTAGTAATAAGGAACAAATGGCAATTGTCCAGGGCCTTTCGCCATAAGCCATGCAACTTCGATCGATCTATCTTGCTTTGTGGCAAGAGCACCGTGCTTTTGTTCCCAAACCATCTTCTGGGGGTGACTAACCATGACCATGGCTCGGCGGAACTTGTACTTATGGTCTGGATTCTCGTAATCTTCTTCCAGGGCAAACAGAACCTCAACTCCTTCATACTTATCCCACAGAGGAAGACATTCAAAGCTTTGCCTAATACGCATCCGGCCTTCGACTTTTCTACCATAAATGATCTCGACTTTTGCCATAGTCGAATCGGAAATATCATCTGAAAACTGTTCATGACACTTAAAGACTTCTTATAGATACTCGACTCCTTGAATTGCCTCAGAAGACTTGCTTCTTCTGGATATATGGTCGAAGATCAATGTATCAGAAGAGTAGGCAGTGCCTCCCATTACCATGGCAATCCAGTAGCTAGAAGCATCTGCGCATTTGCCGTCGTGTGGATTTGAGGTGCAGAATGATGGCTGGTTCAGCCTATGAGCAATATCAGAGTCCAATGAACCTGATGGGTCTCGAAGGAAAGTAGGAGATATCTCTTCCTCAGGGATATTCTCTGCCGGGTGGTTTGCTTCCCAAGCATGCCAAGCGGCCACTTCTTGACGCTTGAACTCTGAGAATGCTTTATGTATATCAATAATAGGGCGGCTCTGAAGCACTGGTGGAGTGTCAGCATGTCCTGAATGGTATGCAAGAACTCAATTACTCGTCATGTCTCGTAGGTGCAAACGTTGCATTTCTGGCTCGAGGCGTTCAGCCTGTGCTCGGTACTTGCCAGTGGGCCGAGGAAGAACGAGGTCGCCTAACACTACGGAGAAGTCCCAGCCTTGCCCAAGTGATGAAGAAACTTTGATTTAAACAATCATTCAACCATCCGAAGACAACACATTTTGCTTCCAAGTTAAGGTCTCCACGGTGAAGATACTAATGCAGGTTGTTGATAGTGGTATAGTTAAGGTATCTAAAATCGCTAGGCCAATCCTGCAACGCCATGTCCGCCAGAATTTGTAGCCTTTTATGAATACAATGTCATGATGCATCATGATAGCTGATATTTTCCGAAAATCAACCATGTGTGCCGTCACGAACGGCAGCCCTTTTGTAAAATCGTTAAACCCTGTCTGAAGGAACAGACCGGGCGCAATCAGCTACGATGAGTCGCCCGTATTCAGGATACCAGCATGGCACTCGGTGCCAATGTTCGGAGTCGTAATTGTGTCATCGTTCTGTTCGCCGGGCTTGAGGTAACAGTTTCCAGGCGCTTTGCCAGCAAGCGCCCCTGACTTTGTCGTCCATAGTGGAATGAAGCTGACTCCCGTGCAGGTGGTGTTGTCGTTGTCCCCGAAGAGGCTCGGCATGTAGAATGTGTACGCGGCACACGCGTCCATGCAAGTGTTGAAGTCGGAGGTGAAGAGCGACATGAGAGGGGTGTTGGCGGCGTCCTTGTTGCACATCATAGTGAATGAAGCATTGCCCAAGACTACAAGTAATTAGCTGCGGAGTTCTGCTGTCATTGTGTGAAACTGCGCTTACATGTGAAGGCAGTGTAGGTCTGGCCAGTAACACCACCAGGATCATCCGAGCAGTTATTGTCGAGATCAGCGAAGGCGGTAGAGGTAGGCGTCGCAGTCGTTGTGACAGTCTTCGTTGCCTTGACTGCCCCCGCGGATATTGAGGAGCTCAGCTGTGCAAGTTTGGTCGTCGCATCATTCGCTCGGTTGGCCTCAACTCCAGTTCCAGCGGCCAGTCCAATTACTGCAGCAGATAAAAGGGCTATGATACATGACAGAATGAAGACGAGAATTGTGCAGCCACATATCGTCCCCTTGGATGACTGCTTTTGAGAACCGACGGGTACGGCATGTTGTGTATGGGGTGAATTGGTGTTATACTGGCTCCCATATGCTGATGGTGGTGGCGGCACGCCTCCAAATGGGTGAGGTGACGGCGTCCCTTCGGGCTTGACTGGTGTCTGAGGAGGATACTGCTGGTACTGTTGCGGCGGCTGTTGATATGGTTGATGATATTGAGGATGATGAGCCACCTCTGGATAGTCTGCTGTTGGAGCCACCTCCGGTGCCTCTTCAAACTTTGAAGTCATCACGGATTAGCTACAACACCTTTTCTGTTTACACTCAGCCAGTAAGCTGAGATGGGAAGAAAGCAGAGAAGCTTACTGCCGGCGCCATTTTGTAGGCGTAATTGGCTGCTGATATAGGAAAAAGACGCTTATGTAGAACGCCGATCAGAAAGAAAGCGAACTCCGGGTTTGTGGCCTAGACATATGGGCGAGAGAAGAAGAGATCAGCAAGAGTCCGCGAAGTGTGAAGATCAACGGGTCGTAGTGCGAGGTGTGATCGAAGGATTTAACACTTACATGGACTCTGTCTGAGTAACGGGGTACGACATGCACTAGGGGATCCCGGCCAAAGCCACAAGCATGTAGCCCCTGGTCTCATCGTCTCCTGGCGGGAGGGGGGCGAAGGTGGGCTGGAATATTGAGCACATGCATTGTCTTTTGGACAACCGAAGAACCGTGCTTTACTTTGGCTTGCAGGGGATCGGTTCTCTGAACAGGGGCTTGTTCACCAATTCTTGCCCGCTTTGGATTCTCTTCAACTTCAGGATGAACAATTGTTCGGGTGAAGCATTCGCTGGCTTCATTAAGCTTGCAATAGAGAAGCTTGGGGCCTCAGCCCTGCCGAAAGGAGAGTATGCCGGGAGGCAGCTGTACAATCATGGAGCTGTTAAAGATACCAGGACTCATGGAGGCAAAAAGCCGTTAACGAGGGTGAACCACCATTGGCGCTTAACACTGGCCCATTAAACTCGGAAAGTCCTCTAAAGTAGCCTCGGACCCCAAAGCACGTTAGTCCATTCTACACGTAGAGTGTGGTGATCGATGCTTGATTCAGCCATGTCCAAACGCTACCTTAGATCGATGGTACGAGTCCAGAACCGCCGCCAACGGCAGTCACTTCAAGTTGTAAGTCGGGAATTTAACACGACAAAGCTTCTTGACCGCTGGAACTCGGAAGACTTTGCTCTATGATTTGGTCTTCAGAAGCAAACAGACGACTCAACTATGTCCGGACAAGCTGATCAGAGCGACATTTCTTAGTGTGGAAGGTATTCAACGAATGAGCAGTGAACATGACATCTCACACCTCTACTAGCGAGGCAGCATCATTAAATGCGTCGAAATTACGGCGGCCGCTGGGCTCGTAAGGCGTTCGGCTCGCTAGTGCTGACGCTGAAGACAGAAGAGCACAAATTTATGCTCTAGAAATCGCGCCTTCAGCACTGCTGCACACTTACAAATATCAAGGTCGCTTCCCCTTGTCCAAGAAGAGTGAGAAGGATATTCCTTTCAGAAACAGATCCAGGTCGTCGAGGAGTTGGGAGATCCAGGACCTCGCAACCCACTTGTAAATCCTTCCCGTGTCTGGCGCCATGTTGACCAGGCTTCTGTCGCTGTTGCGGGTGAAACTAACGAGTAGCGAGGGGACCAGGAATAGCTTATCTTTATTCGCATTCCTGTACGATCGAGGCTCAGCACTTCCGCTAACAAGTGGGCTGTGCTCGGGAAGCTCCCGTCTCAGCGGGTTTTAGTGGTGTGGCTCGCCAGATTGGTTGTCGCTTGATTGATTGAGTGCCACAATTGACTACCAACTTATCTAGACCATTCGATCAATACACTGCAAACTCACCTTATTCGTCATGGGTGAAGAGTAGATCACGAGAGTGAAGAGCCTTTCTGAGGGCAAAGCTCACTGCCCGTTGTTTACTGGTAACCAGCATAATCACAAGTATAACCAGGATGGATCAACACGTTCTGATGAGGTCGATCTTCATCGCAATGCCTAGCCGGGCTCATCATCCTGGGGAGTGTCACAGGCCCTGAAACAGAATCCTCGCGACTGGCTCGGCAGACATGGCGGTTTCCAGGTTAGGAAACAGGCCAGGGCGAACTCGCAGCCCTGGAGCACGGATCACTCGTGTATCATATTCGCGGTTGCCTGCTCTCTTGATGCTGGCTCAGGGGCCCCACGTTGTTATCCAAGTCAACATTCAGGGTCCCCAACGTGCATCTCATCAAACACATGCGTTCATGCGAAGTAATGACGGCACCGTGGCGCCCGTCAAATCACTTGTTTTCGGTCCCGACTTATGGTAGCTTGCCCCGAGAAACCGGAAATGAGCAGCCTCTTACAAAGCTGCTTGGTCATAGGGCTGAAAATGAAGATTGCACACAGCTAGTAATGGCAACGCCTCAACCCTAACAATGAATATATTGTGTAGCGGCCAGCAAGCAACGTCTGGCTTGTTCCTATCCATTGATAATATATGCGTGCTCGAAAGGAAAGTATTATAAGCTCCTGAGGAATTGATTGGTGTCTGAGTTATTATTCTTCGTTTCAAAGTTAGATTGAATAATTGGAGAGCCAGAGATGTACAAGCTTGTTAAACATGCTACGACCGGAGACACGATAGAAGAACTATGCTCTAGTATTTTCAAGTGAGCCAATTCTGCGCTTCTGTTCTGCATGTCTCTCTCGAAGCCGAACGTTGAGAATGATTCCACGGTAATTTGAAAATGGGAGTCTTTGGTCAACCCAGCCTTGTCGTAAGAGCTACACCGCGATCATACATCCATGCCCAGTTTGCATTTCGTCCATGATTGTAGCACAGTACTGGCTCTAGATACCTTCGATATTGCTTGCTTGCTTTCGAAAATTACGGGGTATCGACTCGCCAACGAAAGTGTGCCAACTCAGCGCAGCTTGCATACATAGCCACTGTAGCATTGCGCGACTCTCCAGTTTTCCTCGTGAAGCTGATGTATTAATTGAGATGTAAGAGCGTAACCGCTCAGATTAGAGAGAAATGCAACTAGTCAATGTCCTTAGATATTTGTTTAGCTCCGCCATCTACGCTTAGGCATATAAAGACCTGTACAGACTATTTGTAACATCGTTCAATATACGGACTGCATGGACAAAGTACTTGTGCAATTCCTGCAAGAGTAAACCAAGTAGAGATGGCTACACGGACACAATTAGTTTGATTTTGATATTGCCGACTTCAATACGACCAGACAACCGGGTAAACACTAACACTAGCCATTTAAGGAGACCTCCGTCCCAAACCTCTTTCCAACAACTCCATAGAGATTACGATCAATGTTTCCCAGCTGTTCTCCACAATGACACTCACCTTAAAGGTTTGTTATTCGAACCTATAAATAAACAAACCGGGCGCTTTCTTAATGATGAATACTCTCTAAAGAAGCTTCCTGAACGAAGCTCTGCATGACAACTGGCGCATTGAGGGAGGGGACCCAGAGCAGATGACCACTATGACGACGGCCCTTCATGTTTAGATCAATCACAACGTCTACTTCACAGGCAATTATAGCAGAAGCCTTGTTGAGTATGCATAGACACCCATAGCCTGGCTTCACAAGTATGAAAGTTTGCTATGGTCTGACGAGAAAGCGTTGTTTTTTAGACATTAGGTATTTTGCTGTTTTTGAGAGCTGTGGTCTACTGGTGATACCACTATCACCATCTTAGTGCGTGAACCGAGACCCCTGTAATTGAGGGTGTGGTGGGGTTGGCCTTCGTGTGGCATAAGGTAGTGGGGTAATTTAGTAGCTGGTCGCAGGGTCCAACTTCTGAACCATCTCCAAGGACGTTCTTGTGCGTCAGAAGCATCTACCAGCGTCAATAGCTTGAACAAGCTCCTCGTATAACCTCGGGACTACTTGACCGCAATCATGCCAACTCCAGAGGAGCTGGTTCCCAAATTCAAGCTCGAGCGGCTGCTCAACCAGGGTGCGTTTGGCCTGACCGCCGCCTACACCATTTGAGACTGACCGATTTCCCGCTTGGAAAAAGACCAGGCAGGACGACGAACCTCTGTGCTCGGCACGATCGACGAGCAGCCGGCCCTCCTGATCCTCGAGCGCGCCCCCTTCCCCAGCTCCACCGACTACCTAGGCTCCGTGGCGGGCAGCCTACGGACGCTCAAGAACCTCGGTGCCAATGACATCTACCACTGGTACATGGCCAGCAGCGGGGCCATTGACCACCCAGACAGCGACCAGTTCGCCGACCTGAAGATCAATCTCATCTACCCGTGCACGGAGCAGCATGTCAAGAAGTACAGCAAGCAAGGGGTGCGCTTCGTGACGGAGACGCCCGAGATATACAGGGACAAGATACGGCCGTACATGCTCTCGAAGCGCGAGCAGGGGCGGCTCAACTGGGTCTTCAACATTATAGAGGGACGAAAAGAGGTAGAGGACGTTATATACAGAACCAAACTGGGCGAGGCAGGGGACGAGGGGTTCCTGCTCTTGCCCGACCTGAACTGGGACAGAAAGACAGTCGAAGCCCTGCACCTCCTGGGTATTGTCGAGAGGCGGGACATCTGGAGCTTGAGAGACCTCAGGAAGAAGCATATTCCTTGGCTACAACACATGAAGACCAAGTTCATAGAAGCGACGGAGAAGGTCTACCCTGAGATCGAGACCGACCAGCTGAAGCTCTACGTCCACTACCAACCGACATACTACCACTTCCACATTCACATCGTCCATGTCCAGCTCGAGGCGGGCGCGACACAAGCAGTGGGGAAAGCGATCGGACTAGACAGCATAATCGAGCAGCTGAGGAGTATGGGCGGGGACGACGAGGCGGGTATGGAGCAGGTATCATTAAGTTATACACTCGGCGAAGCGAGCGAGCTCTGGACCGAGATATACGAGCCCATCAAGAGGAGCGGTACAGCTTCTCAATCGCAATGATGAGATCGTTGACCTCTGGCCCCTGGGGACAGTCTGTCCATTGTCCGTCGTCACGGATGCAGTAGATCTTCTCGTCCAGTCGCACCGTACAGCTCTTCGTGACGCCAGCCTATGTGATGTTAGCTAAGAGCCCTTTGGAGTTACTCGTATTGCATTCCGGAGAACTCACGTCCGAAGACCTCCTCACGCTATCTCTCAGCAAGCCTATACCGAACCCACCGTCATCCTTGACGGCACAGTCGTTGAGCGCCTTTGCATCGATAGCATGCTCGAGTGCGCAGTCCTCGATCAGGCTCCGTTCTGGGATTGCCTTGTAGTCCCTTGTTATACACATCGTGAATCCGAGGTAGGTTTTGGGGTCAGGGTACAGTTTCGCGGCGCAAAGTTCGAGGATGTTGCCCATGCACTCCGCAGGGCCATGCTTGCAGTCGACGCCGTCGTTGGCAGTTGGTCTAGGGGGGAGTTAGTCGATGCTCGTCACTCGGCATGTCTTTGGTGAGATCTAGACTTACGTTCCTAGGAAGGACAGCGTGAAGTTGACCTTGTCGTGGACGCGCTGCATCGTTGGCAGGATCATATCGCGTAGGCAATCCTGCCGGGAAGAAATCCGTTAGTCAAATTTCTCAAGAATCCCATAGGTCGGTCTTCAATTCGGAGGGCAGCTCACCCTCGCATCGGGACACTTGCTCATGATGTGCGCCTCCAGGGGCACGAGCTTGTGCTCCTTTGGCGCCACTGGCCGGGCCGGATCGAGAGAGATGGGCGATCCATGGGTCTCAAGAGCCTGGAAAGGTCGTATGTGCAGGTAGACGAGGACGCAGAGGAGCAGCGATGCGATAGCGATCAACGGCCGGGCTCTCTTCGGGGCGTGATGCATCATAGCTCCTGCGGGAGCTTTCTCGTCCATTGCTGCTGCAGAATGCTCTTCTGGGCGTTAGTGCTGATAATATACGGTGGTGTGTGCTGCCGAAGGATTGTCAGAACTTTCCAAGCTTGGTGGCCCCGGCGCTTTCCGGCGGTTCGGTACAGGGGGGTTTATCTGTAACAGCGTTCTCTGGGGGATCCTTTCTTGGGATGGCGATCTTGGATATAAGCGAGGCTCAAGGATGTTGTAGTTCTTTTTTCCTTTTAAAAAGTGTAAAGAAGATGGAATGTTGGAGGGGAATGTCTCCAGCCAGAGTTTGCCTTAAGCTGGTGGTATTCTGCAGACACCTCAGCGAGGTAGGCTATCGCGTCACCAAGAACGCATTTCAATGGACGCAAACCAAGATGACCACAACCGGATGCGCCAGGGCACATGATCCTGGGCAAGGATCGCTTCCCTTATCCTGTAACGTTAGGTACCGGTAGGTCAGGTTGACCTTCATACGACGCCTACTCGCTAAGTTACAGGCGGGTAATCAGTGATTCCAGCGCGCCTTTGACTGCGGGGTGGTTAGGGTGGCGTAGGACCGTTGGCGGGGGCCGAGTTAGTCTCGTTCCTGGCGCCTCCGGGCAGCAATCGACTCGACACAGCGTCAGCCACTGAAAGACAACTGTTGGTAAATGCTGCCTCAGCCCTTTTGGTGGATCGGTAACGCTAGCTCTAGCTGCCCGATCAAAAGCTGCCTTGCCTCGCCTGGCCTTGTTCGCTTGGGGAAGGGGACCCCCATAACTTGACGTACCGACGTATTGCTCGGTATTACTCGTTTGTGCTTTAAAAAGCTCCATACAACCTTACCTTGGAACCTCTCCGGTGAATCACACAATTGCAATTTCAATGCGACCGTAGGGGCCACCGTCTCCTTTATTATTACCCGGTGCGGAGACCCAGAGACGAGACGTGAGAATGATTCCTCGCAAAGCATCGACGAGTCCAGCAAGATCCGGTTCGCAATGGCGTCAACAGGCAGCGACTTGGAGTCGTTCCTGAGCCCGCTCTACGTCGATGACAGCCTGGTCCTCCGCCTGTCACGCGACCTGTGCACCACCTTCAAACAGCTGTCTGCAGAGTCCAAAGACCAGTTCCTGCCGACTCCTATTTCCGAGTCCATCCTCAGGCGGACGGACGGAGCAGATCACGGCCGGTAAGTTTCATGGCCAAGAAGCTGTCTGTAATGAGTCAGGACTTAGAACCAGATGACCTCATTTCTCTGATAACTTAAATGTGAACAAATGAGCGCTAACTGGCATCAATGACAGATATCTGGCCATAGATATGTGAGTACCATCAATCTACCTGCTTTGTGTTCATGACTAATCGTCCTCAGTGGTGGCACAAATCTTCGTGTTGGCTTCATCGAGCTATTAGGGGGCGCGGATCGCACGACCACAGATGGGGAATCTCCGTCACGCATTAGACGCCTCCTGGAAAAATCGTGGGCCATCGGAGAGCCCCTCAAAACTAAGAACGAGGACAGCCTCTTCGCATGGATCGGCCAGTGCATCGCGTCCGTGGTGAAGGATGGCGTTACAGCTTTCAACATCGACCCCACAGTGGATCTTCCCATGGGAGTCACATTCAGCTTCCCCATGATACAGCGTTCCTTGTCCGAGGCGACCCTCATGCCCATGGGCAAAGGCTTTGCTTTCTCATCTCACCTTGACCTGGGCTCCCAACTGCTCAAGGGATACGAGAGTGCCTTGGTGGACAGTTTACCCCGGATACGGATAGCTGCCATAGCAAACGATGCCGTGGCAACCTTGGTCTCGTTCATCTATCAGGTGCCAACTGCGGAAAACCAGAAGGCGGTGATGGGCCTCATATGCGGCACAGGGAGTAATGCCACGATCCCCCTTAAGCTCAGCAGTCTGCACCCAGATAAGCGGCCCGCCGCCGTGAGTATCCTCTCGGAGCAGAATGGCGAAGACGTCAGGATAGCTGTAAATACGGAGTGGAGTATCAATGGCTCAGCGACACCTCTGCGGAAACTTGGGCTCGTCAGCCGTTGGGACATAGAGCTTGACGAGGCTGGTGAGATCCCTGGATTTCAACCGCTTGAATACATGACAGCCGGGCGGTATCTCGGTGAACTCGGCCGTCTCATTCTAGTCGACTACATTACCAGCGTATTACGAGTACCCGAGGAGACTCTACCAAGCAAAATTAGGACGAGGTTTGGTTTGACGACCACGTTTCTCAGTCACTACCGTCCTGCCGAAAAGAGGACACTCCTCGACAAGCTCGAAAACGAGTTTCCTCTCGAAAATGAGAGGACAGAATTCCAATGGACCGAAGAGATCGCCAACGCCCTCTACCGCATCGCGAAAGCAATCGAGCTCCGGGCAGCAGGTATAATCGCTGCAGCTATCATTGGCCTTTTGAGTTGCGCCGAGGAGATACCGCTGGATAGCGAGGCGTCAAGATCTCGAAGAAGCACGGCACCTCAGGAGCTGGTAGTCGGCTACACTGGCGGCTGCATTTCTCATTTTCAGGACTATCTGCAGCATTGCCAGGCGTTCCTTGACAAGATCCTCTCTCTCGAATCCGGTTTTGCGCCGGTGCGCGTGGTCCTCAGCCCTTGCCATGACGGCGGTATCACGGGAGCTGGTATCTTGGTTCCAGCTGCGTTGGCCAGTCATCGAGCATCATGATTGAGGGATTAATGTTTCTGATGAGGTGAGATGAGATGATTGCACCGATCAATAGTGCTGCGCGGCGGGTCTCATAGACGGCCCGAAAGTGATGTTTCGAGGGGTCGTGATGCATTAGAGATGCGGATAACAGCCTCCACTATCGAGGCCGACCGCCTGAAAAGATCAAAGGAGGGCAAGATGCCTCTAGAATTGAATGACTGATGCATAAAGAACCTGGACATGTAATAACCATCTCATGATGGCAAACGTATGGGCGTAATAAACTAGACTAATTTCTTGATGAACAATGGAATAATCGTCGAATACCATCTCAATGCCCTGATCCAATGACATGTCCCCGAACTAGAGTTAATTACTCCTTGTTTATTACCTTTTCTGTGTGTTGCAGAGCTCTCTGTGATAAAACCAAAGTCTTGTTGCTTTTACATCTCTCCGACAAGTTCACTCACAGGTTGGCCCTCTTCCACCGGCCCCTTGAGACAGAGCCTTGGTGCCCCGCGAAGCTCTCTCCAGCGATTGCTCTGGTCGATGACGGCTCGGTCAAATATATACCACCAGCGCTCAAAGAGCACCTGTCCCACTTCCCATGCCTGCGGATCGCAAGGGTTCCCTCCCCAGATCCTCATCCCCTCTGCCGTATCCTCCATATCGTAGACGAACTGGACCACAGCTAACGGACCGGCTGCGCTTGGCGGGCGGGCGTCGTCGGGCAGGTCAAGAACGGTTATTACCCGCTCCCTCACTAACGGCCACGGAAGGAAATCAAGAACCGGGTGATGTGGCACCCTTAGCTGAGACGGCGTCGGCTCCCACTCTTCCGGAAGGAGCAATGGCAGCCTGTTGGGACGGGAGAAGATGGACTTGGCTGACATGTCCCACATACCGGCCCCAGCAGTGCAGCCGAGTCGAGCTCCGATGCGTAAGAACGCACGAAGGAGAGCTAGCTCAGACATGGGTAGAAGATAGGAGTCTGGGAAGGAGAAGTTGCTATCAGTGGATATCGATGCCGAGTCGAATAGGGAGGACGGATTGATTGTGGCGGGAAGGCTATCCGGTGAGACGGTCGACGAATTGGTGGCCCCGTCTCCGCCAAATGACTGGACTATTGGCATTTCACCATTAGCCAGCACTATTGTATGCATGGCTGTTGAGATAGACGATTCATTGAAGGGATCTAGGGGCCATGCTGAGTCAAGTTGCATGTCTAGTATATCGTCGTTCCCATTAAACGCTGTATCAAACATCACGGTAGGTTCTTGGATTGAAGAACCTTCCTCATCACCCGCGGTAAATGTCTGTACGGCATCGCTCTGAGTGCTCCCATCATTTTTGTCACCATATTGTGTATCACCGAGCTGTTCTGAAGGGTCTTCCTGAGTTGGCAAGCGTCCTGTCTGCTTCAACTGCCGCTTCCGCTCTCCTATTTTGGTATTAGTAATTTGTGCCAAGTTGTGAAGTTAGGATAGACTATGAGGGGCAATGTACTATATCTTCTTTGGGCTAAGACGTTCAAAAGCCTCTTTCTCTCAGCTGCATCCTCGTTTATGTTTGGAACATCAATGGCGGGTGGTGTTTTGTAGATTCTCTGGCGAGTCTTGGGCTTAACATAGTGGGAAATGCTCGGACCCCCGGCTGTTGCAGTTACTGGGGCCATACTGCCGGGAGATGACCTTGCAGTTGTGGACATTTCGTTGTCTTCCTAACGAAGGATCTAACTTGCTGTACCATCACGACTAAACATGTTGGTAACATTCGAGAGGGCAAGAGGACTTATAAATTAGAACTCTGGAGCTAGAAGGGTGGCGCCTTCCTTACGCATAAGCATAACGGATGGAAGGAACGACCTAGGCGATTTCCCCAAGCAGAAGTACATTTGCACTAACGATGTCACCTTTTAAGATACGACAGTCTCTTACATGAACTATTCTAGACGAGCTACACCACTTGTTTATTACAAGATAGAAGGGTTAGGCGTTTATTACCTATCTAGGCGATTACCTCACATACATCAAAGTCTAAGACTATCTTGAGGGAACGCTCTTTGCTTTAATTGACTGAAAAAGGCTGAAGTAACGATAATTCCTTATACTGTTTAGCTCCCGGTATCTCAAGTTAGTATAGGCGCCCGTTTAAGTGGGTTTCCAGCCTTAATCAAGTATTCACTAACAATATAACTGGGATTATAGCTTTGTTGCATTGTAAGACGGGGAGACTCGGTGTATACTTCACCAAGACAGGCGCTATCACAAAGAGCTCGAGGCGCCCATGTATGCCAGAGTGAAGTAGTATTATTCATGTAAGAGTTCTTGTAACTCTAATATCTTCTTATAATCATTGGGGGGCTAAAGAGATTCGGTATTTATATTAATTTAGTCTGTTTTTATCAATCTAACTTGACGTACGTTTGAAGTGGCTTGAAGTGGGCTGAAATTCATCGACACTGAGAAGCTGTAGTAGGTGCCTCGTGAGTGCACCACACGGTCGCACCTGCCACACCTGGCATTCAACAAACATCAAACCAGCGAATCACCAATCAAGTCCAAAGATCATTGTAAGACGGGAGAGCGTGGCTGCCTACATCCAGTGAGAGCTTCATGCCTCTAAATCGGACTCAAGAGTTGGGTTTATGTAGAAGATCCGACCATTTGATGCAGAGGAGAGATGGCGGACGCGATGGACGTAGATGAGCCACGAGGCACCAAAAGGAAAGCAGATGAGCTCTCGCCTGGTGCACATCGTATTAAGGCATGCCACAGTCCTCCACACACATGAAATCCCGTGCTGATTCTTAAACAGGCTCTTGACCCTGACGTAGTCAACAAGATCGCAGCTGGCGAAATCATCGTTGCGCCTGTGCACGCGTTGAAGGAGCTCATCGAGAACGCGGTCGATGCTGGCTCAACCAACCTAGAGGTCCTCGTGAAAGAAGGCGGGCTCAAACTCCTTCAGATCACGGATAACGGCAGCGGTATTGAGGTGTGTCTCCATGTAGCTGAATCAATCTTTCTTGCTATTTTCCTAATCCAAGTGCAGAAGGAAGACCTGCCGATTCTCTGTGAGCGCTTCACAACCTCCAAGCTCCAGAAGTTTGAGGATCTGAGCTCAATCGCCACATATGGCTTCCGAGGTGAAGCCTTAGCCAGTATCAGCCATATCGCCCATCTCACGGTCACCACCAAAACTAAGGGTCCTCAGCCCGCCTTCAGAGCCCATTATGATAGTGGTAAGCTGGTGCCTGCAAAGCCGGGGCAGACGCCAGATCCGAAACCTGTGGCCGGAAGACAAGGTACTCAGATCACGGTAGAGGACCTCTTCTACAACGTGCCCACCCGACGACGGGCGTTCCGTTCGCCGTCAGATGAGTACAATAAGATCATTGACATGGTCGGCCGCTACGCCATACACTGCAGCAATGTCGCCTTCTCTTGCAAGAAATACGGCGAGTCATCTGCAAGCGTAGCTGTCCAAAGCAACGCTTCTGCGGTGGATCGGATTCGAATGATCTATGGCGGTGCCGTGGCCAATGAGCTCATCGAGTACTCTACATCTGACGATAGATGGGGATTCAAGGCCGAGGGCTGGGCAACCAACGCGAATTACAACATCAAAAAGACTACCTTCCTGCTCTTCATCAATCACCGCTCTGTCGAGTCAACTAATATCAGGAGAGCAATTGAGCAGACATATTCTGCCTTCCTCCCGAAGAATGGCCATCCATTCGTCTATCTCAGCCTCGAAATTGACCCGCAACGGGTCGACGTGAATGTCCACCCAACAAAGAGAGAGGTCAACTTCCTCAATGAAGATGAAATCATCCAGGCAATCTGTGAAAACATCCGAAGCAAGCTTGCAGCCGTCGACATGAGCCGGACGTTCATGACACAGACTCTCCTTCCCGGTGGCGCTTGGTCAACAACACCTGATGGGCAGCAGGATTCAGATGGCACTCCGTCGGGCTCGAAGACTAATCCAAGGAGAACACCAGCACGGCCGAACGAAAATAATCTCGTCAGAACAGATACAAACCTCCGCAAGATCACTAGCATGTTCACTCCAACGGCTGCAGCAAGGGGATCACCTGCTGCTGGTGTCACTTCCGCCGCTGGTGAAACACCTGATACAATCGAGTATGAAGTCAACAATGAGCGGGAGTCTACGGTGTGCCGCCTCAGCAGCGTGAGAGAACTGCGTGCTGCCGTCCGAGACGAGATGCATCATGAACTTACGGAAGTCTTCGCCAATCATACCTTTGTAGGGATAGTGGACGAACGACGGCGCTTGGCAGCCATGCAGGGCGGCGTCAAGCTTTATCTGGTTGATTATGGACGCGTCTGCTACGAGTATCTCTATCAAGTTGGCTTGACCGACTTTGGCAACTTTGGCGTGATCCGCTTCAGTCCCCCACTGGATCTCCGAGATTTGCTCAAGATAGCTGCGGAGCGCGAGAAAGTCGCTACTCCCGAGGAAGATGCAGCGGACTTTCACGTCGAGGAGGTGGTAGATCTCGTAGCTAAGCAGCTTATCGAGCGGCGGGAGATGCTGCTCGAGTATTTTAGCCTCGAGATCTCGCCCGTCGGTGAATTAATTAGCATTCCGCTCTTGGTCAAGGGGTATACACCGGCCATAGTTAAGTTACCCCGTTTCCTGCTCCGGCTGGGGCCACATATCAACTGGACGGATGAGAAGCTGTGTTTTGAGACTTTCCTCAAAGAGTTAGCTACCTTTTATGTCCCTGAACAACTCCCTCCCACTCCGGGCACAGATGGGGATGCAGCTGCGGAGCAAATCGACGAAGAGCTCAAGGAGAGGCGCAAGCATGTCCGCTGGGCATTGGAGCATGTCTTCTTCCCGGCGTTCAAGGCTAGACTTGTTGCAACGAGATCTTTGATGAAGGGTGGTGTACTAGAGATCGCTAATCTCAAGGGACTGTATAGGGTGTTTGAAAGATGTTGAAAGCCTGTTTGGGATTTCAACCTCAATAAACTTAAGAGCATGTAATATTATAGCTGAGCATTAACATGACTTTGAAAAAAAAAAAAGCACAGCAGTTTTTCGTGAACTTAAACCTCGTAACTATGAATGACCATTCATCTATCCTTGATAAAGGCACCGGGGCATCCTAGCCCCTATAGGCGCAACATTATTGTACACTGTATCTGTTCATCCCTGTCTCTCTAACACCTATGACGCTAGTATTTTATTTGCCATCCTCCCATTCTGGGTTCTGTTCATATCAGGTTAGCTGTGTTCAAGTCTGGAATAGGGTGTGAAACATACCTTCTTCAGGATTACTAGGCCCTCCAGGGTGCTGCTCAGGCTGATGTACTCCTCGTCCTCCAGCTCAGCTCTCTCACCGTACGCGAGCAAGACAGGTGTGCTCTGGGTTTGCCAACCAGTGATGGTCTTGGGTCGACCAGCCTGGCCGACAACATCGACAGCCTGACCAACGCGGACGTTGACGGTCAGAGGCTTCAGGTTCTCGTCCAGGGTGACAAGGAAGCGTGGGTGCATCGCAGTGACTAGGAAGTAGAGGAGGTAGTGAGAGTTAGATGTGATGAACTGCTTAGCGTCGATCATGGCAACAAGCACGGCCATCAAGCCAGCAGCGGATACACGGGAGAGAATCTGTCTGTCGGTGTGGAAGGGGCTAACGGAAAGAGTGCCCTTGCCCATGTGTAGAAGACCCTGAGCGATTCTGACCATGAACAGGGATTCTTGATCGCGGTGGTAGTAGCTAGCCAGCTGCCTCAACAGCTGTGCCAGTCTGGCATTGTTCGTGCCGGCTCCGAGAAGACCCATGGCAAAGATGGCGTTCAGTGCAACATCATTGTCATTGTCGTGACTGTAACGAGACAGGGTGTCGTAGACCTTCATCTGGGGGTTGCTTGGGCTCACCAATCCCATCGCCAAGGGTACAGCACGCCTGATGTTCGCCTCACCATAGTGCATGAGGTGACCGAATTGGCGTAGCACCATCTCCTGGCCAACCTCTTCACCCATGGCAATAAGGCCGATACCAAGCACGGCATATGCTTGCAACAGCTCATCACCCTTCTTCTCCTCAGATTCCTCAATGTGCTCATTGCAGACGTGCAGGAGCTCTTGGATCTTCAGGACGGCACCAGTGCCAGCCCAAGCGCAAATCTCCGCCAATACTGCAGTAGGCTTCGCAGTAGGGTGGTCGACAGCCTTGAGCGTCTCCAAGATCACATCCACCTCCTCTTGCCGGCCGAAGAAGAGAAGACCAAGACCAAGTGCCAAGAAACGCGTCCACTTGTCTGTCAACTGGCTCTTTCGGTCATCATCAAGTAAGGTTGTCACGATAGCCTCACTAACTTCCGGGTGAGATGAACCAACAAAGATGAGACCGCAGGAGAGTGCCGCCATGGCGGATATTTGCATGTCCTGGGATGCATCCGTGATGATGGGAAGCAGCTTCTCGAGCAGTTCCTCCTTGTTTGAGCCAGCATAAGACAGACCAAGACCCATGATAGAAGCCACACGAATGAGAGGGTTCTTGTGCTCTAGCTTATCGGTGTCGCCAAGCAACGCAAGGGCAGGCTCGGAATCTAGCCTAACACCTGCGTTCATGATACCGATCGCAAGCATAGCACCGGCCTGGATCTGCTCCTCCTCTGCATATGTGTACTTGTCGATCTTGTCAAGGCCGTTCTCAATATCCCAGAGAAGTAGGGTACCAAGAGAAGCGACAGTCGACATCATGCCTTCGTCCTTGGTCTTCCAGACCCAGCTGCCCGTGTCCTTATCAACAAGCATCATCTTGTCGTTACCAAAGCCGGCATTGACAAAGGCATTGACGAATGCAGCAGCTAGATTGTGGCGCGCCGAATCCAGGTTAGTCATGCCTGCAACGCGGCTGCTCTCCAGATGGCTTTTGTAAATATCCTCGGTGGTTTTGGGGTCGAGCAGGTTGAGCTCCTTTCCAAGGGACTTGAAGTGTTCTGATAATCTTATGTTACAGAGAGACTCTGTGATCTCCTGATCCTCCTCAGACTCCGTAGGATAATCCAGCCATATCCTTTGGCGAGCAATGAGGAATGCGAGCTGTTTCTTCAAGGCGGGGTCGGCAGCTTGGTCGAAATCGGCTCTGATCAGGTCCATGTCGTTTAGTCGAATAGCAAGAACCATGGCCTGGGTGTGCTGCTTATACTGCTTATAGATATCATGCGCCACTCGCAGGAATTGATCATTATCGGGGTATGTGAGGAGGTTGACCATGGAGACCATGTACAGACAAACTCTGGCGTAGGTGTCTTGGTCGACAAAGTCCGGAAGCTTCTCAATAATCTCCAACTCGCTCATCAAGTCAACAGCATCTGCCTCTGCGTTGCTCTTGAGGAACAGAGGTATAAGAGTGAAGGCAAGATCCACAAGATCCTTTGTGCTCTCATCGGCGGTGATACGCTTGCCGTAGACTTCGCCGATCTCGAGGGCGAGATGCCGGGTGTACTCATGACCCCACGAGCCGATGTCTGACGTCGGAGCCAAGAGGCGATATTTGAGGGTGTCTTGTCGATCTTCATCAGAGAAGGTCATGCCTATCACCGACAAAACATCTGCGAGCGAAGTCTTGTCGTCACCTGCAGACCACTCCTCGTGTAGCTTCGTCAAGTTGACATAATGAGGGCGTAGGAACTTGAGGGGTTTCGGCACTGCTGTCATCGAGGATGTAGAAGTCTTGATGAAGTTCTTCATTGCCTCGAGGGCGGGTTTGTAAAGCGAGGTGTCCGATTCCTAGAAACCTATCAGCAACGACATGACAAGCAGGAAGGCGTTAGTAATTCGTACTGTCAGTCTCTCGACGAGCATGTCCAGCTCGTTCTTGAGCTGCTGATCTTCCTCGTTGAGCTCCTCTGTGGCTAGAGTTGGATGGATTAGCTTCGTACGCTTGGGAGCACACGGATGCGACCAACATTCGTCCTTCTCGTCATCCTTCTTCCCATTGACAACGGGCTCCTTGTCTTTCTTAGCATCTTCGGCCTTCTCGACAGCCTTGCCCTTGCCCTTGTCGGCAGCCGTCGGAGTCTCACTGTCCTGAGCCATGGTTGCGGATTCTTAGCACAGCCGACGCCTTCAAAACAATCAGACCGATGAGGGAATCGCCAGCCGAAGTACGCCGAAATATTGGTCGCAAACAAAGGGGGAAAAGAAATCCACAGGAACAGTAACCTTTCTGTGCTCAAGGTTACAGGTATGTGTGTAGTAGGATGAGGTTTGGAGGAAATGGATGTTTTGCTGATGCGAACAATCTGGAAGCTTTGTAAACCTCCAGAGGTAGCAGCACCTTAGCTCCTGTGGTGGTTTACGCGAGGCTTTGCCGCCTAGCAGCTCCAGTTACTTAGCAAGCACCAGAGGCAAGGCGGTCGGGGGCCAGCCTGGCTGGTACGTACCTCAGCACCGGGTCCAAGCGCCGTCCTTCGGTAGAAAGAAGCTCCCCTTCCGACAGTCCTCTGAATGCTTGGGCGGTGACGCCTGGCAATGATTTATCTTATCGATCTTATCGATACAGCCCACTTCAAATTTCATTCTGTGACAGCATCTAAGATCCGTACTGGCGGGGCTTTTTCTCCAGGTGCACAGGAACACTTACAGGAATACTTCAACCAGCTGTTGACTGTGATCCACACCAGGAAAACAAGACAGCACCATGAAGTTAGACACAAAGGCCATGCGCCACCTCACAAATGAGGATTGGAAAGTTCTTACAGCTGTTTGTCCACCCCTCTTCCGGGAGGTGTTGAGTTTGGACTTGGACTAACTGGCTTAACATACAGGTCGAAATGGGCAGCAAGAACCACGAGATCGTACCCACACCACTCATCGAGAAGCTTTCACGACTACGAGGAGGAGCTAGCGGCGTGCACAAGAGCATATCGAACCTCGCAAAGACAGGACTCATCGGCCGAATCAAGGAGGCCAAGTACGATGGGTATAGGCTCACATACGGCGGGCTAGACTATCTAGCGCTCCACACCTATTCAACACGCAAAGATGTGTACAGTGTTGGAAGTCGCATTGGCGTGGGAAAGGAAAGCGATATCATGATGGTGGCAGATGAGACCGGAACACAACGAGTGCTCAAGATCCACCGTCTGGGGCGTATATCTTTTCGCACAGTCAAGGCAAACCGGGACTACCTCAAGAACCGGCAGGGCGGATCATGGATGTATCTGTCCAGGTTAGCCGCCATGAAGGAGTTTGCGTTCATGAAAGCACTAAAGGAAGACGGGTTTCCCGTTCCAGACCCTCTGGCCCAGTCGCGGCATACCATTGTTATGTCTTTCATTGATGCCTTTCCACTCCGGCAAATAGCGTCTGTTCCTGACCCAGCCAGTCTCTATGCCGAGCTGATAGCTCTGATACTACGACTCGCGAAGCACGGCTTGATACATGGCGATTACAATGAATTCAATATCCTCATTAAAGAGGAGAAGGCCGAGTCAACAGGGGTAGAGACTGAGGAGGCTGCGGTCACACTCACCCCCGTGGTCATCGACTTTCCCCAGATGGTATCTATGGATCATCAAAATGCAGAGATGTACTTCGATCGGGACGTCAATTGCATCAAGAGGTACTTTGAGAGGCGGTATCATTTTGTGAGCACTGAGCCTGGACCCTTCTTCAAGGATGCGAAGAAGTCTGTTGGTAAGGATGGTGCGAGGAGGATAGATGCTGTAGTCGAGGCATCTGGGTTCACCAAGAAGATGGCCAAGGAACTGGAGGCAGCAATTCGAGAAAAGCGATCATCGAAACGAGACAGTGATTATTCGGACAACGGAGAGTCCGAAGGTTCTGATGAGGAGGGTGAGGAGGATGAGGAAGACGAGCAGCCAGAAAGTGTCGAAAGCGATATTCCAGAAGGGTCAGATGAGCAGCCTGCGGATCAAATACATTCTGAGGAGGAAGCCGACCCCGCCAAATTGCCTACCGAGAAGATAGGGCAGTTAGACATAGCGACCGATGCGTCAAAAACATGACAGTAGGAATAGAAACACTTGAACACGGTCAGCACACAGATCAAACGCATTAAGCACAATAAGGGACGAAGATGTGATTGAGTCTTTCATTCTATCTATACTACCTCTTTCCTACCTGCCCTGCGTAATGTAGGTACAAGTAAAAGGGAAAATGATAAGTACAGAGAGGCGAAGATGAAGATGATATGTATGCACGACCCTGTCTTAATTGCGTAGAAGAACCTCCAAAAACAAGTTTCCTCCGATGGCGACTGACGTTGGGTTGATAAGTGACATACTTTTGGGGTAGCAAGATACAAGACGAAAAGTGAGACGTGAGACGTAAGATTCCCAGCGAATTTCAACCACCACGAGCCGTACAATAAGGCTGTTTGATGATGATAGATAATGTGCTGGGATTCCCAATGTAAGAGAACAAACGATAGCAATGTCATAACGTGAGACGCGTAACAGGATAGAGCATTTGTGCCTAGTCCTCCTTCTTGGCGGTCGGGGATGCCTGCAGTTTGACAGCGACAGTGGGAGAGTCGTTGATCGTCACCTCTTCATCGCCCGAGCCGCCGTTCGAGGTTGGAGTGCGAGAGACAGCTGCGCTCTGCCTGACAATGGACCTAGAGTTAGTTTACAAGGAGGAGAGGTAGTGGCGCGGGGCACCATACTGATGGTCCCGACCCTGTGTCACGTTCCCGCTCCTGCCATTGTAGGCAGATCGGTAAGAACCGCCGTCGCTAGAGACTGATGAGCATTCTGAAAAACGGGCTCGCAAACCAAATGGGGTGCTTACTTGACGTAGGTGGGAGCACGAGGCCAGGTAGGTCGAGAGTTGTAGATGCTCGGGTTAATACCGACAGCCATGGTGCCGTAAGCACCGATGTTGTACTCGTTGGTGCGATACTGGCGACGCTCCGCAGTGATACGCTTCAACTCCTTCTGGGCCGGGGTATCGGCGTAGCGGACCTGCATGGCCAAACACTCCTCGCCGACGGCTTGGCCGTGGTACTTCTTGATGACATCCTCGCAGATCTCACGGGACTCGAAGCTGGATTAAGACATGAGAATGTGCACAAAGTGGCTAGGATAACCTGGTGAGAAGACGTACCGAGCAAAACCAACACCGCGGCTGTTACCCATGCTGTCACGAAGAATCTTGCTGGACAAGATGCGGAAGGGTGACAAGATAGCGACAAGCTCCTGGTGGATGTCAGCATCTTGCCGGCAAATGACCTCCATGCGAATCAGCACTTACATTCTCACCAATGGACTTGGGAAGGTTGGAGATGTACAGGTTGGTAGAGTCATCATCGCCCTCAGCCTTCAGGCGGGCATTGAAACTCTCCTGTTTCGCGAAAGTGGGCTCCAGTCAGTCAGTAAAATAAACTCCAAATAAAGGGGACCTACTCTCGCAAAACCCACTTCGTAGCCGAGAAGATAGAAGCCTTGGATGCACTTCTCGGAATCTCGGACGTGTCTGAACTTGGCGAAGCCAAAACTGCAGAATGTCAGTGAACGATCGGGTACGTAGGCGATGCAACATACCCCTTGCAAGCGCCGGTGGAGGTGTCGATGATAGCCTTTGACTGCTCAACCTCACCGAATCGGGAAGTGTACTGCATCAGAAGCTCATCGTCAGTGGTGGGGTGCAAGCCGCGAATGTAGACGTTCTTGTTGCCCGCGATACGGTTCTCGAGGCACTGGTCAAGAGACTTGCGCTGCTCGGGAGTGGTGAAGACAGCAGGAACAGCGGCAGGGATGACAGGATCCTGGTTGATTAGATTCTGGAGGTCAGGCTCATAGATGCGAGTTGCCTTGGAAGAAGTGTGGCCAATCATGCCGGAGACAGCAATCTGCTGCGGAGATGGTGTAGTGTAGCTGGAGCGATCAGTCGAGATCACGCGGGGAGCATTATGGCGGTCAGACAAGCCTCCAAAGAACGGAGTGCCAGGAGTAGACTCCGTAGCGGTCGTAGAGTAGGAGCCACGTCGGTTGTCGAGACCTGGGACTTCGCGCAGAGCACGCTCGCCAAAGGAGACGCCACGACCTGGGGTGTAGGGCAGGAAGCACGGGGCATAGCTGGCCGAGACCGGGCCCTGGTGAAGGTAGGAAGCGCCAGGCATGACGGCGTTGTAGAAGTTCTCAGGGGCCTGACCCATATTGAAGGAAGGCTGAACTGCGGCTCCGTATCCGCCGAAGATTCCAGAGGAATCAGCAGTCGTCATATAACCAGTAGGCTGGCCAGCAATGACTGGATTGGTAGCGGGGAGAGACATCGAGCCAAACTGAGCAACAAGATTGTTGTCAGCCTGAGCAGTGGCAGAGAACTGATGACCGTTCATTGCAGCAGCGGTGTCATGGTGGGAAGCAGCAGGGGCCGACATGTATGAAGGCATGCCACGACGAGAAGCTGGGTTGCCAACGTCGACGGGCAGGGCAGTGGCAGTCTGGTAAGACATGGTAGAAGATCTAGAGTAAGCAATGAGTTAGTCGGATTTGTCGCACAGGACACTAGGCTGATGTGGAAAAGGATGAATAAGTTGGGAAATTTTCATGTGCAGAAGATAGGGGTGAAACTGAGGTGAGAAGCAAATGACACTGGCTAGAGCAAATCAAGTCCAAAAACAGACAAATGAACCAAAACAACAGCTGGGTGATGAATCTGCAAAGGAAAATGCGCTTTTTCACACAAGGTGCCGAAAAAAAAAAACCAAATCTTTGGTGCTGGAGACAAAGCTAGCACAGACGTGTAGAAGGGAAGGAAGCTGTAAACAAAGGTGACCAAGCAAGCTCGCAGAATTTCTCGCAAAATTCGGAGCCTACCTCAGATTGTCGTGAATGATAGTAGTGAAAAATCCACAAGGGTAGCTTGTGATGCCAGCCTGAATACTAGTCTGATACTCAGTGGCATATCCAAGCATGGGAACGAGGATACTAGTAGGAGTGACGATGGGAGATGGGTTCAGTAGCAGCTGAGGAAGCTGAGCAGGCACCTGAATGGGCGCCTTCAAAGCTGCCGGAGCCGCCTTGTGGGCGGGGCGATCGTAGTCAAAAACGATGACCATGGTGATCGTGAGGTGAGTGTGTGTGATATCAAGTATGATAAGTAGTGATATGGACGTATGGAGATGATGGGAATCCACAATAAGGATCGACGATGATAGTGTAGTGAGGTGAGAGATGGTCGTCGACGACAAAGGTAAAGGAGGTAGGTTGTATTGGGGAGAAATAAATTGGGGGATCGAAAGGAGCGACGACATTAATATAGACGACGTCAAGATACTGCCCCTGAGGATAGCTGTGGTTCTTCTGAGAAAGCGGGAGGAATGGCTGGGAAAGTGTGCAATTCTGTGTATCAGGATATGGATAGAAATTTACCTTGTCGCAATGGACTACTCTTTGACTCTGCAAAGGTACAATGTGAGGTCCGACTGACAGGACAAGTCGGAAAGAAGAAACTGGCTGTTTGCGAGCACCTGGCTGCTCGATGATGGAAATGTTAGTACCAAGACTCTGGGATGAAGCGAGTGCAGGGGGACTAAGTAAGATGGGAATTGTTTGCTATCGAGCAAGCAAGATGAAGTGGAAGAGACTGTCGTCGATGGCTGTGGTGGAGTGGTGATGCTGTGTGCGGGAAGAAAGGAGAAGAAGAACAGACCGGTTCTGGCAGCAGACGATATGGCGGGTCTGCTTTTAAAAAAGCAGGCTACTGATGAGAATACTGGGTATGATAGTGGTAAGAACGATGAAAGACTGCTTAAAGATAAGACAGAAAGAGGCAATGGGGATAGAATATCGGGAAGGCTCTCTTCGTCACTTGTCTGCTGTTTGGCAGAAAGAAAGGAATGGAAGGAGAAAGACGTCTGATAGCTGGTGCCGACGAAGGTTTTGTTGTGGAGGAAGGAAGGAGGGAAGGAACGCGGTCGTCGTCGTTGTGTGTGTGGTGTGGTGGTTGTGGACTGTCTGCCAGGTGTTTTGTCCCGACAACACCGTCACTGTTCAGGTCTGATGGGATGAGACGTACTGTACCTCCCCCAGCTCTTTGGGTGGGCCACGAATTTCCTGTAGATGAGGAAGTAGCAACTGCCACAGATGCCAATAGTGTCCGGTGTACCAAGGTCGTCGACTCGAGAGGAGAGCCAAGACACAGAGTATGCCCTCAAAGGAGAAAGAGCGCCCGTACAATAGGTCGTGTAGTCTGTTGCTGCTTCCAATTCCAGAGAAACACCCTTATCCTTAATAATAGGATACCAACAAGACAATGACAGGATCACCAACTGTGTCGACTGCCCCTATTTCGAGCGAGCAAGCGAACAGGTAAGAAAGACTGGGTTGTTCAGTCAATCAGCCCATCTACTCCTAGAGAAAGCTCTGCAAGGTCCGAGACTTATATGTAGCCTAAGGTAATCTTTAGTGACTTGTCCTATCTCTAAATAACTAATGAACATAGAGTGCGATTACTTACATTCAGTATCGAGTTGACCAATGTTATTAAAACTGAACGAGCAAAGCAGTCTTTTGGACACTGCCTCCTTGTCCTTCCCCCTGTATGTTGATGATTATTCCTACCGAATGCCACACCATTCACAAAGTAATGAATACTTGCAGAAACCACCGGAGACCGAAGAGATCCAGAACTCCAGCCAACGGCTACTTGCGCATTGAGTTGGATCGAGGAGTGTGGGAATCTGGCGTCGAATCTTCCTTTCTCTTCTTCCGCAGGTCCGGATTTTGATACAAGGAAAGACAACAACAGGCTGGTATCGATCTTGGCAAGCGCCTCAATGCCCCTCTTAGTACACTGTGTGATACTTTCACAGTAGGGAACTCGGGTTGGAGGCTGGCATTAAGATGGCCTCGAATCGTCCAGCGATGCTTGGAGCCGTCGACAATATAGGGGCGTCGTTGTGGAAGTGACTCGTCAATCCTTGCGCTGCAGAAGCCGATCCTTGACCTCTCAAGTTGTAATTCTAAAGAATACTTGCCAATATCCAGCCAACAAATGGGAGGGACACCGGGATAAATGCAGGTAATCATGCAGGATGAAATGCTAAGTATACTATAACGCGGCCATCTACAGCAGCACCGGCCGTCTTCACAGACGGTGAAAGCCTAAGCGCCATCCTTATGTATAGTAGCCGACAAGAACCCTACATCTATCCCCAGCTGTGCGGGCATCCCTTTACTCGTGGCTTGCGCAGCTAACTCGGCATAGTCCCGAGAGCTTAACCCATGAACCTGGTTGTGTGCAATGCAACAATAGCGCCTTAGGTTGACGGCAATGAGTTGCTCTTTCGACCCGGCCCAATGGATCACAGCCCGGGCAACAGTGTGTGGGCACCATACCACAAGTTATGTCCTGGGGGAGCGCGGGTTCTCAGCGGGCCTTCGCCTCGGGCAGGCCACCCTAGTGTCGATCGAGGCAAGTCGATGTTTGCTTTTGTCTGGGAAACATGTTTAGGATTTCATCAAAAGGTGTGATAGTGTGTTCAGACATTCTAGCAGTGCTCTACAATTGCTCATGCCAAGACCGGGCTGCACTGGCGTTGCTTTTCTTTCCTTGGCTTCTTAAAAATACGCCATCCTTGCTGGTATTTCGATGTGAAGTCAGGGGCCCAAAGATACGCCGTGGCTGTAAGTTAAGCCTGTCGACCTGAAGCCAGTGCAAGAGGACGTGAAGCCCTGCCGGCAACATCCCGCGGCCGGGGACGGTACCCAGGAGACGGATCAGGGTAGGACCCTGGCGCCCTGAGACTTCCAATCATACCATCACGATCTCAACATCGTTGGCATTCTGCTGCCATCTTGCCATTGCCATCAGCCACCGTGGGGAAGCCTCCTTCATGTCGACAGGTAACAACTGGCAGTACAGGGAGCCTTACCCTCTTCGTCTCAGCCCGCAACCACTTTGACCAGGATCCCCAGTGGGAAAAAGAAACGTGGCGCACTTGAGACGAAGGCGAAAAAGCAATTGCAGCGTCAGATTCATGCCGCTAGAAGCGAGCACAGCAATTATCAAACTACGACCTGCTAGGACCATTGAGAAGAAGCGTCGAGTCTCTGTCGAAAGTACGACACAGCTGTCATGATGAGCTAGGCATGTTGTCAAAGATGAGGCTGAAAATTCTAGAAGTCCTGTTAGTGGAACTTAGCATCTCGTATTCACATGCATCCTGGATGTAATTCACCCTTCTCCTGGCCAACAACTTACAACCTGCTAAGCCACAGGTTACGGTAGCTGAGAACCTGGTCGACGAGCTGAAGTTCTCCGAGGAGACAACCTTTTGGTCGGACAACATGGTGGCCATACATTATCCGCACCTTCCGCTCTCTGAACAAGGGTATCTGCAAACCTTAAGCCCCCACGGGCCGATACGATACGCGAGGAGCGCGGGGCTACCCGGCGCGGCGTGCCTCACCGGTTGAACGTGCACTCATCTCATCCTGGGGCATCGGATCTCTGCCGTCGATCTCACCAATCCTGCGACCACCCGTTTCCCAGATTTCATCTATCCACTTGGACGAGAGAGATTTGCTCAGCGGATTCCGGTTACCTGGTTTTCAGAACCAGCAACCCCCGATCGACTACTACCAAAGGGGATGTGCTTGCAGGAGCAGCAGCCTCAACTCGCAAGGACCCTGGTGGTAGGCATCATCCTGCTCCCAAGTACGGCAGGCTGCGTCCTCGGCAGGCTGTGATAATAGTGTAACGCATGGGCTTGATATAGTTGGACGAACCATAACATGACAGATAACAGCTAGCCTACTGGACGACCAAACGAACCTCCGAGCGTGCCCGAGTCCACCGCTCCAGCCCGCACACTTGTCTCAGGATTGGATGATGTGTGAGCGGTAAACCTTACTTTTTATACCATTATGATGCGTCACATTTGCTTGCTTCTTCTTTGTCCCACCCAGATTCAGGCCGCACAAATGCTGCTCCGGACAACCATTGCCTCGTGACCAAAATCGGTTATTACTAGGCTGCTAAGTTTGTTCTGATTAAATGACCAGAGGAAACGTGGAAGAAAAGATCTCTAAAAGCCGCGGAAAGAAGCATTTGTGGCTCCCCCCATACAGTACAAAAATGCGCGAGGTCCCCAAAGTACCGACTCCTGTATCCCATGTCATGCATGCACGTGTGGTAGTAAGTCCTGCTTCGAGCATCACCGATCGCTGACCGCTTACGACCAGACGTCCTCCTGCGAGATGAGTTAGCAATGTTTGCTGTCTTCCAGCCGGGTATACCTTGAAGAGGCTCGGTCGGCTCGCATGTGCAGAATCCGACTGGATAGAATGTGTCTCCTCATGACGTACCTGGTATTGGTTTGCGGCTCTCATGTTCTTGACGATCTCCTCAGCCTTGGCCTCTGAGATGCCCCGTTGTTCTGATAGGATCTGTGCAAGGACAGTGTTGACCTCCCGAGCCATGTTTGCAGCATCACCGCAGACGTAGAAGTATGCCTTCTTTTCTAACAGCTCATTGATCTCCTTGCCCCGCGCCTTGAGTAGATGTTGCACGTAGACCTTCTTTGGACCATCTCTGGAGAAAGCGGTGACCATTTCGAACTTGTCACCCATAGCCTTCTTGTACTCCTAAAACCGAGTTAGCTTGTGTCCTAACGTCTCGTGGTGTTTCAACAACTACGTACTTCCCACTCGTCTGCGTAGATGAAGTCTTCCTTCTTCTTGCGGCAGCCAAAGAACAGGAGTGTGAAGCCAATGTTCTCACCGTCCGCAGCCTGCTTAGCCCTCTCCTGGACAAAGCCACGGAAAGGAGCCACACCTGTACCGGGTCCAATCATGATAATAGGCTTGGAAGGATCCGAGGGAAGCTTGAAATTGGAGTGGCGCACGTGGACGGGAACATGAATGCCATCGTACTTGTTCCTCGGGCCGGTAATCTCATAGCTAAGCCCGAATGGCTCGGGGTTGGGGTCGCCGTTTTGCTTCTGCTTCAGTGCCAGGAGATAATTGGTCGCGACACCCCGGAACGGATCGCCTCGGCCAGGCAGAGCCTGAGTCTCAACAACGGCCGTGATGGAAATTTTCTTGGGCTGAACAAGCGAGGAGGACGAAATTGAGTAGTAACGAGGCTGGAGCTTAGTGACGCCCTCGATCAGCGCCGAGAAAGGGATGTTCACCCATTTCTTGCCCTTACCAACAATATACAGGACTCGTGCAATGTTCAGGTGGTGAACGCTAATCTTCTCATGAAAGTAATCCTTGTCACCGCCAAGCTTAGTCATCTCCGCCTTGACTTCCTCATCGGGAGCGAAAGCTGCTAGGGTAGCGAGAAATTGACGCGACACTGGGGCACAGATTTCCATGTGATAGCGGACAATGGCATCGTACGTTGTAGGCGTAGGGAACGGAACCTTTGCGGTGGGCTCCAACGCCTTCACGCTCACTACGTTGTGTCGCTTTCCAGAAAGATCTAGGAGATCCAGGAAACGGTCGACCTCCTCGCCAGGATTCGTGGGCCAGATGGCAATGTGATCGCCCGTCTGGTATGACAAGTTAGAGCCGCTGATATCCACCTCCATATGCAGGCAGTTCCTGTCCTTGACCGAGAACAGCTCCTTGGACTCTGCGATCGGTGCAATGTATGGGTTGTGAGCATTGAAAGGTCCTTTCGCGGTCCCCTCGAGGTGCATCTTGTTCGGCTCGCCGACGTAGACCTCGTGGGAGTCCTTGTTCAGGCCCTCGCGGTCAATGATGCTGAAAATGGGCTCATACACGGCCTCACGCTCCTCCAAGCCCATCTTCTCAGCCAGTGCGGCCCACATGGGATCTTTCCAGGCAAGGAAATCCTCCTCCATGGTACCAGCACCATCATCACCCTCGCCGGCCTCGCCAATCCTGTGACCTCCAAGCTTCTCAAGTGCCTTGTTGACGTTGCGGACCATGGAGTTATAATGCTCGTAGGTGTTGTTGCCGAGACCGAAGGCGACATAGTTCAGGTTGCTCAGAGGGGGATCGTTGCTCTCGGAGAAAGAGACATCTTCGCCAGTGATAAATTCGTAGAAGTCTACCGCATTGTCGGTGGGCTCACCCTCGCCATAGGTGGCAAGCACGAACATGACGATCTTGTCGCTTGGGATGGTGTCGAGGTTGTCGTAGTCGTAGTCCTCGAGATCGGCGACCATGGTCTCGAGTCCAAATCGACTCTTGCCCTCCTTGGCCAACCTTGACGCGTAGTCCTCAGCAGTACCAGTCTGGGATCCGTAGAAGATGACACAATTCTTGCCACTCTCCTCCATCTTCTCCAGGATATTTCTCGTCTTGCCCGCCTTGAGCGCATTGCCGTTCGCGAAGGAGTTTGCATAAGGATCTTTTGTGATGCCCCAAAACTTGCCCTTAGTGAAGTATGCAACCGTTCCCAGGAGGATGGCGGCAAGGACAATGATGTCCAGAGTATCGAGTTCAGCCATCTTGGCAACTGATGCGCGAAACGCCCAGGGTCTCTCGGTTTCGAGTGGCGCCTGCAATGACCTTTGTGTGAGCAGTTGCTTCTCTCTTGTCTGTCTCAAACTTGGGACATCCAATGGCTACCAACAGGAGCAACAACTGCACGTGTTGCGCGATGAGGGGAAGTCCGAGTGTGGATTTGGGGAACTTACAGATTGCTGCCGGCGTCGGGGCAGCCGAAAAGGACACGGGTTGCGACTACGGCGAATAGAAGCTTAGGCGGTGGGATAAACAGGAATAGGAGCACGGGATCCTTGACAGCAAAATGCACCGCCTGCCAAAGGACGACGACGACAACGACAACGACGTCAAGAAGAAGAACGATGGGAAGAAGAGCCGCACGACGTGCCTCGGAAGGGAATCAGAAGGAAACAGAAAAGAACAGTAGTCGGTAGAAGCGACAGGCTTGCGTGGTGGTGTGCAGGAACGAATACGGCACCGGCACGCACCTGGACGCACACGCACACACCACACCGCAAAGGATCAGATAATGGATGGACGGATGGCTCGATGGCCCTTATCGGACGATTCGGGGTCCGCCTGGGAACTTTTTTTCCCACTGGACAATCTTAAACCCACCGCCTCAGCAGGGGGGAACGGGGTCTCAGTGGGCGAGACCGCCGACCGCTGGACAGTGTGAGAATTTGCCGAGGACGGCCGCTTCGATGCGGCGCTTGTTCTTTGGCCGATGCGGCCGATTGCTGTTGTCTCCAAGAGTCCAAGTCGCTGACTCGTTTGAGGAGCTAAGTAGGTATACAGAAGACCGCAAGCTCTCCCAGGCGTGTGGGATAAGCAATATACCTTTGGTGGAAAACAGTGGCATTAGATGCAAATTACCGGCACGAGAATGCACGTAAGATCGATGGATTCCTGATCTGAGGATCCTCCTAGACTACATAGTAAGATGCTTATGCCCTAATCTTATTCTCGCATAGAAACTCTTCAGATCGTAGAATGCTTTGAAAGCGACCTCTTTTCTCTTGAAACTTGGCCTTTCAAAGATCAATTCATGCGGCCATCGAACATAGCGTCTAGACCAAACAGTATCACGTCTCTGCTGTTCAGGATGAATGTGGTACACCTTACGGTAGACGACACGCGGTGGTCTACTTTCATTCCTCGTTCGGACGACTTCATTGTTCTTCTCTTAACCCTACCACGTACAGTAAGATCCCAACACCGATACGGCGACTAGTAAGTATGAGGCAATTCTCGAGCTTCTTTGGGCAAGCCTGCTTAGTTGGGCAATGGATTCCGAATTGCGGTATTAGAACAGCCTACCCGGCCCTAGTGAGAGACTAGGAAAATAGAAAGCCCCTCTTCCACGATCTCGGATTTGTCTTCGGAGCTTTTGGTGGATGACACTTCCGGGCGGCATCTTGGGGAATGGCGTTCTCTTGCCGGACGCTGCCAGCCGGGCGGGACTGGACAGTCTCCTCCAGCGCCTAGACTGTCTTTGCCGGCGGACAGTGTTGCCGAACGTGGCATTTGTTTGCGTGCGAAGTTGCCGGTCACCCATTACCGGGTTTTTGTGGTGGTAGAGCACCTGGGCAGATGTCAAATCCACAATCTGACATGATATCGGTAAGATCTACTGTAAGAGGAATTCTGGTCTCCCGCCTCTTTTGAACGGAGCATACTGAGTCTAGGTGTGTAATAACCGTGAATGCACAGCGGATGCTGTCATCCAAGTTTTACAAGGAACCCGATTTCGGCTGCATGGACATGAGGGCCTTCGAATAGCTGTTCAGTTGATGTCAGGACTCATTACTCTAATCGCAGCACGAATTATCTAGCTGCCAACCAGAAATTCTCGTCCTGAGGTGTTAGGAATCTAGAGTCTGATAGAATAAACGGCAGGTGGCAACAGCTCCTTGCTCCTGTAGATGCGTCTGCTGAGGCCCTGCTCTTTGATCACTCTCACCAGGGGCTATCTTGACGGGAGGCTGTCCCGAAAAGCTGGCGTAATAGAGAACAAACCTTCTCATGTGCTTGATGCTACCATCCTCCAGCTCACCAGCCATCGAAGCGAGTGGCGCCAGGGCTGTCCTTGGTATCGGGATGCGGGGCCGATGCCACCAAAGTAAGTGCCTTGGCTCTTCATAACCTGTCTCTGTATCACTCTCGAGGTTCCATTGAGCCCATAGGCTTTGCGGCTCTTCACTCTAACAAGACATCGATGTTCTTCACCATATCAGTTCGATTACATGTGGGGATGAGATTGACTGGGTTGCCTTGGAAGGATTGGAAATCTGCAAGACAAGCCATCGAGGAGCAGCGTAAAAGCATGCACTGGGTACTGGGTTCGTGTGACTGATTACCAAGTGACATTACGACGACAAGGCGGAATTCATCATAGAGCAGCCTCTCTGAAATGCTGTTGAGTATGCTCGAGCACCCGAAGAGTCTCCCCAGGTTGCTCTGACTGTTGCAGTCGCAAAGAAAGAAGGTAGGGAATTAACGTTAGATAAGCTCGCAGGTGTGGCAGAAATGGATGGGGTCCTGGCGTAAAGTAGCGGCAGCCTTCCACGCGGCTATCTAGTTGGTCCCTATTTTGACGTTCAGGGGTCTCTAGCCCCTCCCAAGACCGTCCTATTGGGCCGTGCCTTGTGCCTTGCAGCACCGCGATTGGATTTTCGTCGTGTATTGCTGCGCTGTCGTACCTGGGGCTTGCCTTACTCGACGTGAACCACTACCTTCCCTACCCTATCACCACTTGGAGCATCTACGGCGGCCACCTGACCATCCCTCCTATTCCCCTGGATCAGCTCACTTCTTCTGCGCATGCCGTACAACCATCGACTGTACACGTGGGGAAAAGATCATGGGAAGCCTTGAGACAGGCGCAACATGGGTAAGTCCTGGACTGACGTTCCCTTGGTCTCGGCCTTGAAACATCGGCATCTCGCACTGCCAGTGCACCCGCCACCTCGCCTTTCCTGCCTGGACGGGCAGACACCTTTGCTTTGATGGGCTGCTCCTCGTTCTACCGAATGCAAAGATCTCTTCTTTGCGAATCAACTCGAAGGAGTGCCCATCATTGCGTTTGGCCCTGTCTTGATCTGTGTCGCTCTGGCCACTCTGTTGAATAATGCACTAATGAAGTCATCATACAGCTCCGTCCCAGACGCTGCCCGAACATGCCTCCGAGCCATTGAAATTCTCGCCCGGCCCGGTGATTGATGAAGAAGACGAAGATTGGGAAAGAACACTACGGCCCGTCGTGCTAGAGCCACCGAATACTCGACTTGTCGCGCACTCCCGCGAGTCCTCTCTTGAGAAACTTCAGTCGCAAGGCATTGCAGGACTGCCTAACACCGCAACCCAATCTCCCTCCTCAGCGATTTCCCCTCGACTTCACACAGGCGCTCCGCGACAAGCGATAGGGGCTGTGATTGAAAGGACTGTAGACCCAAAAGCAGCTGCGTACGCCCACAACAGACAGACGTCAATCGTTCATGGGATACAACATTCGAGAAACGGTAGCCTAGCGAGCTCATCATCGAGTCCTCTTAGCCCACAAATGATCGCTGCAGCAGGTGGTGGTGCCCTTGCGCCAGAGAGAGACGACATGCAATCCTTCGCTCGGGCAGACGCCGACCTTGGTCTGGGTTCTCGACCATCGACCACATACTCTGGCACGACTTTGGCGTCTGGGCCTCAGTTTCCCGATAGGATCTCGTCCGCAACAGATGTTAGCTCCAACACAGTAGTCCAGAGACGACCAGAAAGAATGCATAGCAAGACTAGGCGTGACCATTCCCATCACCAATCTCACTCGTCACGGCATCATAAGGACGAGCAGAAGACCGTGGGCGAGTACGCACTACACGTTCTCTTCACTTCAGTAAGTGCTTTCGAGAAGTGTATCAAAGTCAAGCGCTGACCATGTCCCAGTTCATTGCACAAGCCGAAGAGAAACTCAACGATTGCATCACGGTCCCTTTCGACCCCGAACCTCAAATAGAATCAATATGTGGTCCAGGAGTTGATCCCGCTTTTGACCAGAGTATCGTCGCATTAGGTCACATAGCTAGTCCCAAGCCAAAAGCTCTCATTGACTCTATGATGCTCTGGCGCAAGAGTAAGAGTGACGCTGCAAACGAAGCCCGATCCCAGCTACATGCTTCAAAAAGTAACCTCCCTGGAGGGCCGCTGCAAAGAAGGAACACGGAACCTCTACAGCCCAGCGGTTCAAATGGAACAGAAAATGGCCAGGCGAACAACCAGTCTCTTGCAGCGAAGCAGGAGTTTGTCGCGCAGGCCGAACGTCGGTCAACCGTCTCTATCTACATACTCTGCCGGGTGTTATTAGAAGTTATCAGCCAGACCACTCTTGCTTCGATCACCCCAGAAATGGAGGATAAATTGGAGGGAATCATTTTTGGGCAACTGAAAATTGCCGACACAGAGCAACTACTGCTCTCGCCTTTGAAGCTGGCGAATTGGAACCTGTTCGCTCAGCTCCTTGGTGTCATGAGCGAAATCAACTTCACAAGCGTTACGGACCGGTTCATCACGGACTTGGACCGGTCACTTCACGAATTTGGCAATGTCAGGAGTCCAATCTCAGCTACTCGCGAAAATGTCGAAGGAAAGATGGAGCTCGTCCTTGGAGGAATGAAGCACCTTCGCATCAAAACAGCAGCAGTTGATAACTGGGAGGTGGCATGCAACTTCATGGTAAACCTTGGTAGACTTTTTGCGCGGTCGCATGGCCAGAAAGTCAAATCCGCATTTTGTCAGGTTCTAGAAATGCTCCTCTTGCCTATCGCCGGTACAGCAACAAGCACTGATTTGGCTCACCATAAGTGGACTGAGGTTCTAAGCAATGTCAGCCCGCGCCTTGCTTCAATCTATGTCAAGCCTCGGCACTGGTCATTTGCTTTTCCTCTGACAGCCACGATGCTCTGTCTGTCTCCGCCGGAGAGTTTCTCATCTCAATGGCTACAGCTCATATTGCCATTACAACCGAAGCTAAAAGACAGATATACAAGACCACTTTGCCTGCAAGTCATATCGAGACTAGTTTGGACTTACCTCTACCGCACAAACGACTCAACACCGGGCATGGCACGGAAGCTCGATGAGGTGATGAAACTCGTTATTCCTCCCAGCAGGCGCTCCATCATCGCAAGTGACACCGCTGTCGCAGATCCCTTGATACAGATTATACGCATCATTGGCTTCAAGCAACCTGAATATTGCTTCAAGACAATCATCTTTCCCTTGGTGAATGCTGATCAATTCAATTCGAATAAGGACTTGAAAATCGAGCATTTGGATCCGGATAGGATGGTCATTGGTATCAGAGCCTTCCTGGCCATCATGGCCGACTTGGAAAAAGGAGAGTCTGGCCGACCACCTTTCCCGCAAATGTATGCGCCTGCATCATCGCCAGATCGTATGCCAACCTCCCCAGTAATCGGGTCTCCCAAAAACACTCCATTGGTGGTCCCCCCGCCTGTTGTCTCGGTTGAAGATCAGTTATCTCGACCGGTGGCCACTTCTGCACTGAGCGATAGTGTACGAAACTACTACGCACGGTTTTGTGAGATCTTGGGGAAGATAACAATTATATGCGACAACACCTTCGGCGGGCAAGCCGCGTTGGACGAGAAGTTTAACAGTCCTGGTCCAAAGACGCCCATCACCGATACTTTCAATTTCCGTCGTGAGGACCACCAGAATCCTTCCGACCAGAAGCAAGCGTTTTATGAACTCCTGCACGTTGCCGTGCAAGCCCTGCCACGTTGTCTGTCGGCCGACATACCCTTCAATTCGCTCATCAACCTGTTGTGCACGGGGACTGCCCACGTGCAGTACAACATCGCAAATTCCTCTGCACGGTCTCTCAAAGCTATTGCACGTCAATCTCATGCGCAACAGGTGACTATGGGGTTTGCCCGCTTCATCTTCAACTTTGATGACAGATACTCCACCATGTCAGATGGTGGCATGCTGGGTCCCGGACACGTAGAAAGCACGTTGAGGCTCTATGTTGAACTTTTGCAAATTTGGATTGAGGAAATCAAACAGAAGAGCAAAGATGCTGCAGCCGAGCCAACCGAGGCTTCGGCCGGGGACAAACGAGGAATGAAGCTCGATCTATCTAGCATATGGGCTGAGGTTGATCAAGCCGAAGCTCATGGCTTGTTCTTCCTCTGTTCTCAGTCGCGAAGGGTTCGTTACTTCGCTATCACGGTCTTGCGATTGATCAGGGAATTCGATACTGCACTGGGAAAATCCAAGACTTCCGAGAAAGACGCGCTACGATTGATTGATGTACTCGAGAACGATTCGATACAAGTTATGAGCTTCAACGATGAACAGCTGTCAGTAGCCGAGCGAAGCCGTCTGCAACGCGGAATGCAGAATACGAGCAATCAAGGAGCACTCATCGAACTATGCACTAGTGATGTCTCTTACGATACAACGCTCTGGTTCAAGCTGTTTCCAAACCTCATCCGTATTGCATACGAGAAATGTCCATTCACAGTAACGATTGGACGTGACTTGATTTGCAATCGAATTCTACAAATGTACAAGACCATCACTTTGCTATCCGAACCCTCGAGAGGGTTGTACTATGGCTCCGATCCGGGCAGTGCTCGCATGGCTGGCAGGACCCCTACGACGCAGCCTGACGTATTGGTTGAGCAATGGAAACTTTATCTCATTTTTGCCTGTACAACCCTGGCGGATCCCGGAAACCCGCAGTCAGACCCGTTGCATGGCACTCAGCATCTCCGTAAAGGCTCTAAACCCTCATCGACTGATAAGATCGTTTCAGCGAGGACATTATTCAAATATCTGAATCCACTTCTTTCCGTATCTTCAGCTTCCGTGCGGGATGCAGTGGTTGTGGCGATGGGCTCAAGCAACATCAATATCTACCGAACTCTGCTCGAAGAGCTGCAGGGGCACGTTTCTCGGTGTAACGACGATGCCAGAGCACGTATCCACCAACGAACAAACAGTAGTCCCCGTCGGAACCGGAAGATGGATCTGCTGCGGACCGAAATAACGCACGTGTACAAGCTGACATCTCACTTCTTGAAAGAGCCGGATGTCTATCAAGATGATTGGGTTCTCAGTAACCTTGTCACTTACACTAAAGATCTCAAGCTATTCTTGATGGATGGCGAAGTACAAATGGATTGGGAATTTCAAAAGTTGCGCCGCCATTACTGCGGGCTGATGGAAGAACTATTCGAAGGCATCAATCGCACCAAAGATCCCTCAAAGTGGATGACTTTCGAAGCCCGCAAATCTGCCTTTGCCTTGATGGAAGAATGGTGCGGCTTCTCGCCTAATCAGAACCAGATACAGCAACGCGAAAACAATATGAGGCAATCAGTAATTGACCAGCAGACAATGGGCGAGAGAGGCACACTCACCGCTGCCATGGAGATCGAGAAGCGAAACCTCAGAACGGCAGCTCTGAGCGCAATGGCATCGCTTTGTGGCGGCCCTATCAGTGCCACGACCGACAGTGGTGCCTCACTTCAATTTGACATACGAAGAATTTTACTGTGGGTTGAAGCAATCTTCAATTCTGGAAATGATCGTATGAAGGTTATAGGGCGACGTGCGCTCAAAAACCTAATTGTCTACAATAAGGATGTTGCGATTTTGTTCGAGCACTGCATTGCCAAGTGTTATTTGACCGACATACCTCGAAGTTACTTCACTGTAGTGACCGAGGTCCTTCTGGAACATGCCGACTATCCATCTCCGTTCTGGAGACTTCTCGGGCTGTGCTTATTCAATCTTGGAAATGACCGGAGCGAGATTCGAGTTAAGTCGGCGCACGTCCTTAGGGCTCTCGAAGAACGACAACAACAGGCCAAGATTTCCAAAATCCAGGATTTCGATATCAGTATCTCGGATAAGACCAAAGCAGTCTACAAGCTTGCGCAGTACAAGATCTCTGAGAGACTGTCCAAACAACACACCGAGCTAGCCTTCCACATCTTTTCAGAATTCACATTCTTCTTCAAAGACCTTCCACCGGTGGCTCAAAGGAATGTTGTTGCTGTTATACTACCTTGGATCCAAGCCATAGAGCTCAAGGTTGATCCGAATGGTGGACCGACTGCTCAGTCATACCTTCTCTTGGCGAATTTATTGGAAATTACCATCAAGTCTAGTGCAGCTCTGCATAATGAGGTACAAGCACTGTGGCAGGCGCTTGCCACCGGACCATACCCCGGCAATGTCAGACTTGTTCTCGACTTTATAATGTCTTTGTGCTTGGAGCGGCGCGAGCAAAACTTTGTTGAGTACGCCAAGCAGATTGTGGTCTTCCTTGCGAGCACAAATAGCAATCCCGCTCATAAGGTCGTTGACTTTCTACTCTTGCAAATTACACCCAAGGCCATGGTTCCGAACGAGAAGCGGGAAACGGCACCTCCACCGCCTGACATCGTCCAGTTTCCATACTGTGCCGATCTCGCTGACGTGCTTCCTGTCGGCACCAAACAAGCTGGCTTCTCGCTTGGCCAGTTGTCTCTGATTCTGCTGGTCGACCTAATGGTTTCGCCTGTCAACTTGCAGAAAGATAACATTCCCGTTCTGCTTCAGGTCGTTACAGTCCTATGGGATCATTACACACCACTCGTCCAAGAGCAAGCCCGGGAGATGCTCGTTCATCTTATCCATGAGCTTGTCATCTCCAAGCTTGATGACTCTACTCCAGCTTCAACAAGAGAAGAGATTGAAGATTTGATAGAGTCGATTCGTCGACATGATCGTACTGTTGTGTGGGGCTACGAGGACAGCAATGGCAAGGTCGATGACCACGACACCAAAGTGCCCCCAAGCATGGAGTATCTGACAGGAGAAGTTGTTAAAACTTTCGAGCTTACCTTCCCCGGAATGAAGGAACAGTGGAGCCGCCTGTCTTTGACCTGGGCGACTACATGTCCTGTCAGACACCTTGCATGCCGCTCTTTCCAGATATTCAGGTGCATCCTTACGTCGCTGGATCAATACATGCTTGGGGATATGCTTGCGAGGCTGTCAAATACAATCGCCGATGAAGATACTGAAATCCAGACATTTGCAATGGAGATTCTCACAACGCTAAAGACACTCATCTCCAAGCTAGACGCCGACAAGCTCATCACATTCCCTCAACTCTTCTGGACCACATGCGCATGCTTAGAGTCAATCAACGAGCGCGAATTTCTTGAGTCTGTGGAAATGCTCAACGAGTTTCTTGACAAAGTTGATTTTCAGTCACCGAATGTTCGGCGTCTACTGTTGGAAGGTCAGCCGTCGAAGTGGGAGGGGTCATTTGATGGCCTTCAACCACTCTTGTATCAGGGCTTGAGGTCGTCTATGTGCTATCAGGCGACCCTTAACACATTGGACAAGGTTGTGCGATTACCGACTGATGCCCTGGTTGGTGATGACAGTCGCGTTTTCTTTACCATCCTGGCAAATTTCCCTCGTTTCCTTTACGAATTGGAACAAGACTCCTTCAGCGAGAGTATCTTGAAGACGACAGAAAATCTCCTGACCGTCACTATAGGGCAGGGCTTGGCAAGCATCGCTCTTGTACTGGATAACTATCTGTCGAAGCATTACCAGACCGGTGACGATTTCATCATTCAGATGTTTTCTGCACTCAAAGAATATTTCCTACCTGACTTGGACTTCAAGATGATCACCACTCTGATCGGCTGTTTGACCAACAAGACGCCCTGGGTCAAAATCAAGACGATGCGCATCCTCTGCCGAATCATTCCCGAAATTGACATGAAGAGATCCGAATTGGCTGGCCACGGCTCAGACCTCATATCTCCATTACTGAGGTTACTTCAAACCGAATACTGCATGGAAGCCCTTGATGTATTGGATAACATCATGACCATGTCTGGATCATCAATGGATAAGCACCATCTTCGTATGAGCATGACACGCTCTACTTCCAAAGCAATTCGCAAGGAGTATGAGAGAACACAGAGCTTGTTTGGTATACCAGAAGATTCTGGGTGGGCTATTCCGATGCCTGCTAAGAAAACGGAGTCAACCCGGGCAAACATTCATGCTGCTTTCTATATGTGTCAAGATGTAGAGGGCGTAGCTACGGATGCCACTCCTACCCCAGACGTTGAGTTCCATGCAGACGAATTTCCGTATGGATACTTCCCTCCATCTGATCGAACCGAGACCATGATGTCGGACGAAGCTCGTGCGGATGGCAGCATGGGTGACCTTGTCTCCAAGTTGGATAGCTTGGACGATTTCTTCGATGATCTTTCCCAGAGCCCACCAAGTGATGGTCGCTCGTCCCGCACGATTACCGAGTATGCACCTGATGCATTCGAATCTGGTGCACAGTTATATGACGAACAGATCTTACCTATCCTACACCAGGCGTCGAACAATGTTTCCTTCCAGAATGGCTTTGCTGATCGACCACTCATGTCTCGCGACGGCAATGCCAATACTATGAATCCGGGTGCGTTTGCTTCATTCAGCCGCCCTGGACTACACTCGCGGTCTATCACATCGCCATCGGCCCCTGCTTCGTATCAGCCACACATGAACGATTTCATGTCTGATGACGAGCTGACAGAAGATGTCTTCTCGGATGGCGACGACGAACGACCCAACACGGGAGGTGGAGATGGATCTTTTTTCCTTGAGAACATGATCAAGCCTCTGGCACACAGCACGCGAACCCGTGTACGAAGACTTACGGGGAGCCGCTCCAGAGACGAGCGGATGCCAGAACTACTGCGGTCCAATACCGCCATTTCACCACAGGTACCGAAGGTGCCTGATGCATTTCTGCAAAATTCACCCCAAGGCGGCATGTTGTAATGAAAATGGACAGACGATTGTGATTTCAGCCCGCGTTGCAGGATACCTTCTATTATTGCTAATATTACAATACCGATGGGCGAACAGAGCGATGTAACTTTTTTCTACAGTATATCAAGCAGGAAACACGTGAAAGATCACTCAGTATATAAGGCTGATGGGGAGCATACGGCGTAGTTCACTTGTCGCGCGTTCGGTCATAGTGGATGATCGGAATGCTGGCGTACCTGTTGATATCACAAATGTCATGATGTCTCTTTTCAAATGAGCATTAGCATCTTCAGTTCAGGAATGAAAGTATTAAATTGTGAGACCAACCCTAACGCCCTGCCATTTTCCCTGTTCGAGATGTTGATGTGCCTCAATCAACCGATCGCTACCCTGCCAATAAATCAGTCCATAACATGAATGCCAAGCGCCAACATCTCTAGTAGCGGTATCTAGTCGAATAATCTGCAAAGTGGGTTAGCAAAATGCCTAGAGTTGATGTGACTTCGTTGGGGAAAGCCTACCCTTCGGACTAACAACCAAACCACGGCCCTTCTTCGCGCCTCGGTAGATCGTCTCAATGATATCGATCAGCTCCTGCTTGTCCTCAAGCACCCAGTTCAGCTTATTGTTGTTTCCCGTGCCGAAATCGCACATGATGTGCTTGTTGCGGAAGAAAAACATGATGGTGCACGGGTCGTACAGCTCGTACATCTGGTTGAAGTCGGGCACGCGGTCGATGTCGCACACGTAGACGACGGCAAAGTTCTTGACGCGCTCGGTGATTCGGTAGAGGACCTCGTCTTGTCGCATGCAGTCCGGGTCGTGGTCGCGCCCGAATCGAATCACCACCAGGCGCTCGTCCTCGGACAAGATCGCCTGGTCGACGTGCCAGCCGGTCTCGAGATGGGGAATGACGACGGAGCCCATGGCGTCTGCCTCTTGTATCTTAACTCAGCTGATGATGTCTCTGTCAAGGGCGTGGGTGAAGCCTTTTGGTGAAGTTTCGCAGATGTGTCTGTAACGTTGACAGGATTGTTGTAGTTTGCAGAGTCAGCCTTGCCTGTTGGAAACTGGAAGTTGATGGAAATGTTGCTGTCTATGATAGTGGGGTTAAAAGACTGTAGCGGGACCAGGACAAGGCAACTTTGAACAGGGGTCCTGGTCCCCTACCATCAGGCTAGGCCGCTTAAGGATGGAGGGGAGGCGGTCAGTGATAGCAGTATAGCGGTTCTGCCATAAATTTCCTGGCAGTACCATCGCCTCGATATAACCCACCTTGGTACTATGTCACTGCCAATGGGGCAGAAGGATTGTTGAAAATGGCAAAGAAACGAAATAGAGGCGGTGATGGCGCCGATAATCCTCGGAAACGGCTGCGGATTGTCCACGAAACTCCCACCGCGGAAGATGTCCATAACAGCCGGCAGCTCATGCAACTTCTCGCCTTCGAGCAGGACCTGCAGAAAGCAAGACATGGTTAGTGCAAATGGCCATTACATTGGATGAATCAGGCTAACAATACTTTCTAGGCTTGCAATCGTTCAAAGTGTTTCTTGACGGGCTCACGAATGAGACTGGCCCCAAGAATGAAGACGTTGACATTCTCAGGGATTATCTAGAGTCTACGAGGCCTCGACATGATGATGCCGAAGCGATGTACCTCCCAGACATCATGGAGACATGGAGTTATGCAGCACAAATGAATAACGACAACGTCATGTCAGCAGTGCCGGTTGTATTGGCTCTACTGCTGAAATTCATCTCGCAGAGGCTCGATCTTGTGCCACATGGTCTCGGGATCGGTCGAACCATTCTTCAGAAGCGACCGCAAGAACTGATCGCGCGGAACCTAGCCACCGACAAGAGCAAGGAGTTCATAATATCTCCCACTCTACGACTACTCAGAGAGGCATTATGCCTCGATGGCGGTGCGCTCGCAAAGCCCATCTTTCGGGCGCGCAGCAACACCTTCAAGGCGTTAGCGCGGAACATGGGCATCCGATTTCTAGGAGAAGGGCTTGAAGAATTAAAACGACCCTCTGCTCGTACAACCGCTGTCCGATTCTTCCTAAGTGCGGTCAAGTTCCTACACCTCGAAGCAAAAGTAGAACTGCTATCGCAGAGAGAGATTGGGCCCGCTTTGACAAAACACCTTAGAGATGACCCCCCATATCTTATTTTCGAGATTCTCGATACTCTTAAGAACCACGTTCTGAAGGACGACAAACTGCCCGGCAATATCAAGGGCAAACTTCTCAACTCAGGCACTCTGTCCCGGATCGCATCGTTATATAACTACGAGCATACTGTGACAGAAGAAGAGGGCAAGACGTCGGTCGAGGATGCTGTGCACTCTTTCCTTGTATTTGCGTGCACAACACCGAATGCTGGTATATTGAGACCACAATCAGGCTTCTATCCACGAGGAGTTGACCCAGATGCGCCTCTGCTGATAGAATCGGAGACGGCTGATGAGCAGGGACTCGACACTGTCTCTTGGATGAATCTATTTATAGAGGATGTCCCGGTACGGAACATGAGCCTACTCGACTTCATCCAACAGTTACGACCATGGTCCAACATGAAGCACAGTGAGCTGATTATTGCCATATTCGAAGCCGCTCCAGAATTGGTCTGCCCCTACTTTCTGGCTAAAAAGTCATTCACCTTTGAACCAAAGCTGTCCGCAACCTGGATCGGTTATGCGGCATTCATTTTCAATACTGTCCAGTTGCCTATCCCTACAGCCTTTGGTAACAGGTCAGGCTACGCGCGCATACCGCCACCAACATCGGTCATGATTGACAACATCATCCCGCTACCCCTGAATCAAAAGGTCCTCCGTCGTTGCCTAACACAGCAGTCAGACTTGATCCCATTCTTCGCGACTCGTCTGCTGGTAGTGTCATTGCAGAAACTTCAGGCTGTTCTACGTCTGCATGACGAAGCGCGGGCGTCTGGGTCGAGTCAGAACCTCTGGGCAGAGTCCGCACAGAAACTTGTCAACGAATTCTGTCAGAGAACTCCTGATATCAAGGATATATTCAATGTTTATCGAGGCATACCGGAAATTGATCTTCTTCAGCGCGAGGCTGCAAGTCGGGCACTACGACTATATTACGAAGTAATCCCTCAAATAGCTCTCTCAGCGAAATTTGACATCTCTCCGCTCCTGATCGCGGCGATCGCTAGGTTAGGGCAGTTCGAGGATAATCCTCAAGACCACGCTCTCGTTCTGGTCGAGCTCGAGAATGTTCTTGCGATAGCTGGCTATTCGCCGGGCATGAAGTGGTTTTCGAAGTCAGATGTGCTCTCACTCTCGCCATACACCGCCCTCCTTAAGGTTATTCTTGACGCTCCAGAGGGGGTGGCCCTTCACCAGCTGAGGGAAGTTCTTGGTACCGTCGCGGAAGAAACGCAGCTCGTTCTACCTCAAAAGGGGCGTGGAAGCTTGAATGCTCTACTCGACGGCCTGCAACGTACTAAGCAGTCAAGCAAGGAGAGCCTGCCTAGCGAACTATGGGCCTTCTTAGACAATTGCACCACTCGATGCGCCGGCTCACCTATCAAGTACCTCGAGATGATGGAGGATACCGTGCCGAGTGCAAAGACAAAGAAGTCACGGGCGACCTCGTCCGCCGTAAGCCCTCTCGTCTTGACGATTCTCGAGCAATTGCCATTTGTGAAAGCGTCGGCAAGCGACGAGACGCTTGTGACAATAGCGCGGTTCATCGCCGCATACCTAAGCTTCTTGAAGCAGGCTGGAGAAGACAAGCGCTCCTTGAAAGCAATTCTGGAGAAGATAGTTACTGTCTTTCCTGAGAAGCATGCGGCGCGTAAACTCCTCAAATTGTCAGTTGAAGGCCCCGCCCAGCAGAATCTCGAGAGCTGGGGTGCCGATTTCTCTGCTGGAGAGGCAAGTGGTGCTTCGCAGACTTCTACCAATGACGACGAGGGCATGTCCGACGAATCACTGGAGGGACATCTATTGATACCAATTCCTGACGTGGACAACTCAGTGCTCTCCAAATGGGCGTCGAAAGAGGCCGACGAGCTCATCGAGGAGGGGTACGCATCCTCCCTGATCACGCTCCTGGGGTCCGAACACGTCAGCATCCGCAAGGAAGCCCTCATCAGCCTCCTGAAGATCGCAGCAAAGGTCCAGGAGTCAGCATACGAGGAGAAAGAGCAAGTCTGGCTTCTGCTGTCAGAGCTCGCAGAGACCTCCCGGCCACAAGTCGACACCGCGCCGTTGCCCGGCCCCATCATTGCCTTCGCCACACACGCGCTGGAGATCGTCAAGAACCCGCTCCACTGCCTGTACGGCAAGGTCAACACCTTCCTGACCCGGGGCCCGGTCTGGGCCCTGGACAGGTTCCCCCTGGTGCACGACATTGTGCAGGGAGGGCCCGAGGCGGACGACGCCTACTACACCGAGCTGGGGTGGCTGCTTTCCTGCCTCCTGGGCGGCCTGCGCAGCCCCGCGGACGTGGCGCTGTTCCACAAGCGGCGGCTGTTCGAGCGGCTGCTCTCCCTGGCGAGCAACCCGTACATCCGGGACCACCTCAAGCTCGAGATTCTCAAGATCCTGTTCAGGACCACGTGCGTCGAGGGCGGCAGCACCACGCTCGTCACGCGCTTTGGCATAGTCTCGTGGTTGGAGGCGCAGGCGGCGAAGCCAAACTCGGGGGCCGACGCGGGGATGCACAAGGCCCTCCTGAGGAGGATATGGCAGACATGCGACCAGGAGAGAGTGTCGACCTGGAGCAAGCAGGGTTTCAGCGGCGATTCCGGCGAGTCCGCTGCCAAAGCCTAACGGTAGATGAGAGCGCGGTTGTGTCGTCAAAATTTAGAGATACCCATTGAAGAATAATGGACATAGATAGCATAATGGAACACGGATTCTATGAGTTAATATTGCAACATCTTCACCTCTTGTTCTTGAACGACGCTTCTGATATTCAAAGGCGATCCGCAGTATATATACAACTACGCTCAATCTACCCTAGCCACAGCGTATCCTAGAACCAGCCCGTCCAATGATGCTTATTTGGCCGTTTCATCCACCTTCTATACATTAACATAGGTGCCCAGGGAAGGCCTGTCGTTACTCAGTGCCGAAGCAGAGGGGGGGGGATAATCTATTACAGCCGCCTCCCACTCGCTGTTGTTGTTATGGTTTCTTTTTGCGTCCTTTATTTGCCTTTGGGATTTGCATATCATGACGTCCCCTTCCCTTCTCCTTTGGTCTCTCCCGCGCCGATGCTGTCTATTTTCACAAGCGAATGCGGTGCAGCCGCCGTGTTAGCCGCTGTTGACGACGGCCGATCTCTTCTCGGCGAGGCCGGGTTCGACGAAGCTGTATCCGAGCCCGCAGCATCGAAGATGCTTTCACTAAAGGACCCCTGCGTCAACGGCCTGGCCTTCTCGCTGTCTCCCGTCCTGGCTGATGAAGTCGACATTCTCGGACTCTTGACAAGGCCCATCTGCACTTCTTTCTCAGATTGGGAATCCGTTGACAGAATGCTGCCCTCCTTCTTGTTCTTGCCCCGGCTTCCACCCAAGCCCCAGCCGCCACCACTACCTCCACTACCGCCAGAAGCAGCGCTGCTACCCGAAGACCTCCCCCAGCCAGCAGCTTTCCGCTTCTCCCCGGCCCAGGATGCCCAGCTGCTCATGTACGCGCCGGCCCTGACGCCCACAGACTGGACCGTTTGCTGGGCTTTCGATAGATCCACGGCGCCGAACCCCTGGCCATTCCTGTCAGTGGGTTGCCTACTCTCGTTCGCCTTTGCCTCTTCAGCTCTCCTCCTCTGCGCCTCACGCAGGGCTTCCATGTCAGCGTACAGCTTATTGAACATGGTGCTGGCCTTGTCGCGGCCGGCTGCCAGGTTCCTACCCAGCACCTCGCGCCCCTGAGCAAACCGCTCGTCCAGATGCAGATCCTGCACCTGCTGGGCGAGCCGTCGCTGCACGTCGTCAATGGTGAGTCCACCTGCGCATAGATGCTTTGGCTCCACGACGGAGACGAGGTGGTCTTCCGTATTCGCGTCCCAGATGCGGTAGTTCTCCGTCCGCATCCACATCTCCACCCACTCGGTCCCAAAGTCTATTGATGGATCGCCCTCTATATGGGGCAATGTCATCCTAGGGTCGTTGCCATGCTTTACAAGAATATTATGGTACTTGACAGATGAAATCAAGCCGAGAAGGTAGTCTTCAAATTGCAGTCGGATGAATTCCTCACTGCCAACATACCCCATGGTCTTCGGTCGTCCGGGATTGGCGTCGTCCCAGGTGTCGTTCACGGCTTGAGTTATGAAGTCGATCCACCGCCGATCAGGCACGGACAACTGAAGAGCGGCTCTTAAGGATGTAGAAGTAATATTGATGGTGTCGTCGTCGAGGTTAATTAGCACGTCGCTATATCGATCTTTTTGTTGCAGGAGGAGCGAGTTCGTACTGCCTACTATGTAAGATTTTGTGCTCCGGTCTGCAAGAAGGTCCAGTTGCTGTAGGGGAGTATACGGGCCAAATAAGCTTCCCTGGAGATAGTATTAGTAGGCAGCAAAGGCATTGGATCTTGAAATGCAAGCTAAAAATACCTTTCCGAATACTTGCAGGGGCAAGCCCATGTAGGAGAGCATCGAGCCTCGGTCACTAGTCCTCAGACTCGTCGGCTTAGATAGGTTCTTCTCATAGCCGTTGAGCTCGGGGTCGGCGCAGTCCTGTAGATTACGGAGAAGACCGGGTATCAATGATATCAAAGAAAATTGCATCATACATAGCCGCTCACAACGCGACCCAAAGAAGAGCATCTACGGATCGTTAGCATCATCCGCCGTGTATTGACAATCTAGGAGGGTGTGCTCTGAGAGACTCACCTTCGGCTGTAGCAAGCAGCACTTCAGCAGCACCAATGTCTGCCACCTGAACTCATGGACCATCTCGCGAAGGCTCATTCCCAAGTACTGGTCCCCGTCTTCCTCGCCGTTGAGCAGTCCTCGCCTCTTCTCCTCCGCAAGGCTCTCCTGAAAATGTCGCAAAATGTCGATGTCACTAAAATTGCGCTGGGCGAACCATGCCTTTGTGACGATACCGAGCCTCTCTCTTAGCATGCCAAAGGACTGAGGGCTATCCGCAATTACTACGACCGCCTTTTGAACCGTGGAGCGCGTTACATCCGCAGGCCGAACCAGCAATTGTGAGGCATCCATTTGCCTTGTACATGATATCCCAAACAGGGAGGTTCCGGGGACATTCTCGGTCCCGGGTCGGAGGAGTGTGAAGTAAGAGAAGTCTTCGGTCGATCTAGAGGTTGCAATTCCAGTTGTTAGCCCACACATCGAGATACCACAGCCTAAGACCAAAGCCGATAGTCTCCTCTCCCAGGAGTCGCAAGCGCAAATCATGGGATCAACTCACGCATGAGCCCCGTCACTCAATGCCATGAACGGCAGCAAAGTCCAGTTATTCTCGGCGGCAGGGTCGCTATCCTCAGCAACACCGAACCACGTCTCCACCTCCGGTCCTCGCAGGTGGTGGAAGTCGACGACCGTCACCAGAGGAATGAATCCGACCTTTCCCGGGCTCTTGGGCGGTTCGGCACCCAGGCCCTCGGCGCCGTTTGTTCCATTCAGTGGCGCGGCCATGGCGGGCGGGCGTGCGGGCAAGGCAGGTCGGCGGTTACGCGGGGTCCAAGGCTCGGGGGGTTCAATCCTCGTGCCTCCCTCGACAGTGGCAAGTCTCCCTATAATAGGGCCATCAAATGGAGCTGGAGGGTCAAAGTCGTACAATTCGGGAATCAATGGGCGATGGTGTCAGGCTTGGTAAAAGATCTCGAGGTCCAATTTCCGTGGATGCGGCTCTTTTGAACGGTTTGGGTGAAGGTGTCGATCAATGGCTGGGGTACCTGGACCTATAGCAAAGTGGAAGCTTGAAGCGCTTATGAGCTTGGGAAATGCCCCACGGATTGGATGACGTTAAAAATTCCCCCAAGCAGTGTGACTGACAGCACCAGGACTAACAGAAGTAAGGTCTCGGAGTGAGCAAACAAAGGATGCGCAAAGCTTTCAATGGCGCATCGAGTGTTTGCGGCGTATTCTAGTTGCTAGATTTGAATGGGATCAAAGAAGGAATTGACTATTTATCCCTCGATCTTCCCTAGAAGCCGACGCCGAGGAGGCGGTCAAGGCTTTGGCGACGTGGTCGAGGCAGTGTTGGCGAATCGCAGCAGTAGTCGCACGACAGATGTCGGTGAATCATCAGCTTGGAAGAGGAGATAGATCAGGTAGTTAAGCCCAGATCTAGCTGCAGCCTCAGGGTCAATTCCAATGTAAATGTGTCGGCAGCGTCAATGCCGATCGAACTCGCAACTATCCTCCTTGATCCAGATGGCAGCCGCGTTCCTGGCGCATACGTTCATTCCCGCAGCAACGGGTGGGTGGTGATCGAGTAAACGTAGATCTGTGACTTTCAACATATATGCGTGAATGGGTGGATGGATGGACAATTCCTCCCCAGTGCCGATCTATTTACAGCAGGCGGAATCCTGGCATGCAGAAGCCGGGAGCTTAGAAGAAGGGTCCTTTGGTCATGAAGTACCCAAGGTAGGTAGCTAGTTGGCATTCCAGATACAGATCAATTAATCGAGACTGACGGAGAATGGAAGCTGCCGTCCCACGTCACTGCACCCCGCCGTGCCTGCCGTATCTGTCTGTCTGTTTACAGTGCATTCATTCGGTGACTTCCTCTTCCAAGGTTGCGACTTGGGACTCGGGTCGCCGAGCATCACGTGGTTCCAGATCCTCGGGAATAATAGAGGGATGCTGTATTTTGCCCCAGTCCACAACTCCCTCGATCAAAAGAGAGAGAATATCAGTTGGGATGTCTACGTGTTATATACGAGGACTTGGGATGCAACCTACATGAGACAGCAAAGCTGGATTTTACATACATGCAGCTTGTCAAAACGCCGTTCTCCCAGCCAAAGAACCATGTTGCCACTTCAAAGGCTGGAACTGGGACCCGTGTTAGTCTATTTGGGGGGGGGTGCTATTCTTAACTCTGGCCAGGCGACTCGGTTAGCCCACAAACCCCACCGATCCGCCCCTTGCGCATGTCTCGGGCGTGGCAGAGCTGCCGATTTGATAACGCGATAACAGATCCATCCAGCTCGCAAGACACACATTCAGGAGAGGTACATCGTAAGGTCACTTGCAAGCCTGCACGCCTGCACACCTGCCAGCAAATCGAGGTTGTGCTGCAGCCAGCAGCACCGGCAGCCATCGACGGGTGACACCAAAGAGGGCGATGGAGCTGCCAGCTGTCTTGCATTGCATGGCCTGGCTCGGAGATGCACGTAATCCAGAGTTCGTCCACTCCGCCACCCCGTGGTCGCGAATTGGAAAACGCACAGAACGAACGATCAGGACCAGGAGATGCCGCGAGAGCCAAGGAGCTTCCTGAAACGAAGCGTCTAGTGGTGCACAGCTGTCGTAGTAGATCCGTCATATGCCACATCCTTTCCGCGTCCGATCAAGGAATGTCGGTCGAGATGATGGGCGACCTGTAGCTATCTTAGACCTGATGTGGGAGGTGGGAGGTGGCCAGTGAGCCAATTTGTCAATCATCAGGAATCAGATCGTGAGCTGGCAGTTTTTCCTTAGCAGAGTTAGAATTCCTATACCTGCGGGTTGTGAATCTCTAATAGCTGGCCCCCGTCGTCGTATCCGTGCTGATGCCACGCCACGCGGTCTGTCCCGCGGCTGCAAAAGCAGGGACGAGGGTTTCATGCCAACACATCCCAACCCATCCGTTTACCGAACCTCTTGCCAACTCACTGCCATACCTAGATATGCAGGAAACGCATCAGAAGCCCTTGAGTCCATTACACCTTATCTCTCTCTACTTTGCTGATTCCATATTTTTTTTTGGTCCTTCTTTGCCTCTCTCGGAGAGACAAGACACAACCCACGGTCATAGAAGACCACTATACTGAACGTGACGTTCCCAACCCTCTACCGAAAGGATCAAGCGAGAACCAACAAATGGAAAGTAATAATTCACACGTATGATGCCCCTCTCGTGTATCCCTTTTAGTGCATCGTGAGAATAGCAAATGACGCCCTCTCCCAACACCTTGGAATGAAGCAGCCATGTTTGAAAGTATGGTGTTTATATTCGTGGTATCATAACAAGGGATGCGCTGCTCGATCGTTCTGGTTCGCCTCGGACAGCTTATTGACCGTTGAATTGGTCCTCCATCTGCGTATTAGCTTCCACGTTGTGGTAGTCCAGAATTTCAGAGTACCTGAACGAGGGCAGTCGATTAGCTACTTGCACAGAAGAGGCGACAGAGCGCGCTGGAGCACGGCATCAACTCACATCATGATCTTCCACGTGTCAACGGGTAGGTCAGCATCGTTGAAGCTCCAGTCGAACTTCTCATCGGCCACAGGCTCATCCGTAGGATCGTGATACGGTGCAAGGTAGTCGTGCCCCAAAGCCTCAGTGGCAGTTATCCGCTTCTTGGGGTCGAACACAAGCATGCGCTCCAACAGGTCAATCGCTAGATCAGTCAGAACAGAAATTTTGGCAGGTTTTTTTTTTTTTAAGAGTTGAGTTTACCTGAGGGATCCGCATTCTTGAACTTATTCTTCAACGGTTGCCGTTCCCTCTTCGGGAGTGACTTGACAAATCTCAGAGTCTACAAATCATCAGCTTCTGCTTTCATGAACCTGAAACATCCAAGGGGCATCATACGTTCTCACTCGCGATTGTGTTAATAACATCATCTGGAGGAGTTCCCAGAAGCTCCGTGATGATGGAGAACTGGTTGACGTGATCCTTGCCGGGGAAGAGGGGTTTGCCCTCGAGCATTTCTGCAAAGATGCAGCCAGCGCTCCAGATATCGACCTCGACGTCGTACTTTTGCCAGGTGAGCATGATCTCCGGCGCACGGTAGTACCGGGTGGACACATATCCGGTCATCTGGGGGTCCTGGATACGGGCCAGGCCGAAGTCGCAAATCTTCAGATCGCAGTTCTCGTTGACCAGAATATTGCTGGGTTTCAGGTCTCGGTGGACGACGCCAGCGGAGTGGACATATTTCAGACCACGCTACTCAATTGTTAATCTTGGGCGCATGAAGAGCAGGGCGGTTGGCAAGAGTGCATACCATGATCTGGTACAGGAAGTATTGGATGAACTGTTTCTCGAGCGGTCTTGAAGTGAGCAGTCTGTGCAGATCGGTGCCCAGCAATTCGGTGACGAAGTAGCTGCAAAGAAGGCGGTCAGTCTCTACCAGAGGCGCAAGACGACAGATTTGGCGACTTACATATCTTCCAGAGGAGAGATGAAAATATCACTTAGGGAGATGACCTTTACACGTCAGAATGCGTAGGACGAAGACACTTCAGTCGAGACTAACATTCTCATGCCTCAGGTGCTTGAGCAGCTTCAGCTCTCGATAAGTCCTCTTAGCAAGCACAGGGGTGCTAAAGGGCTTCATGATCTTCTTGATGGCGACATTCTGGTTGGTAAGTTGATCTCTAGCAGAGCTGGAAGGTCGAGCGCGCAAGTCAGTAAGGATCCCCGCCAAAGAACGCCGGGGACTGCAGGAAATGCTCGTACCAGACCAATCCAAAGGCGCCCATGCCGACGGGCTGTAGGTCGGAGTACCTTGAGGTGATCTCAAAGGTAGTTCCGAAGATTTGCGCGCGCACGAACTCGGCCATTTTGACGGTTGGATGCTGTGGCAGTCGACAGCTGAGGATGGATGAAGATGGGAGAAGTTGGAAATGTGGGGGATTTTGCTACTGTTAAAACGGTCGCGGCGGGGGTTTTGGGTGGGAATTCAGCGAGCGAGCGTGCAAAACGAATGCCTGGGCGGTCACTGGTCGCAGTGGCAAATGATGATAAAAATTGTTCGCAAGAGCTCTGATTAGAGCCTAAGAAGGGCGGTGCAGTATTTTCTCTCAATCGCGTAGAGAATTAGCAGCGAGTAAAGACGGGACAGGAATCCGCGGAAGGTGGCACTGAAGGGATAAGTGGTGGGCTCTGAGACTTCGCAGCGCGGCGCAAGACCAGATGTAATGTTGGTAGGTAGGTAACTGAAGCGAGAGTAGAGAAAAGCTCAATCGAATGCCTTGACCAACAGGGCGATGTTCGCTCGTTCGGGAGAGAGTCCGAGAAGAAAAGCCGTCTGCGAGCGCGTATAACAAACCCTGAGGACAGGGTTTCGGACAGTCGACGAAGGGGGAAGAGAGTCGACGACGACGACTGACGGCGGGCGGGCGGGCGGTTGGATAAATTGTGTCGACCTCGAGGACAGCGCCGGACAGGCACCCTAGGAGGAGGAGGAGCAGGATTAAAAGGACCAGTAGCTGGGATAGAGCCAGTAGCAGCCACTATTTTCGCTGGAATGGTGTGCCAGCTCAGGTCCTGTTGGCGCTGTGCTGGGTGCTGGGTGCTGAGTGCTGGCGGGCGGCGGGTTTAGCCGCACGTGTTCGAGGCAAATGGACGCGCAAAAAGGGCCGATCCCTCCTCTTTCCAGAGATCAACAGCGGCAAAGGCACTTCAGGGTGTCGGGGCGCCTAGAGCTATTTATTATTTACTTCAAAACGGGTAACCGTAGAACGTCCTGTATTCTTTCAGAAGCCGGTGCAGTCGTTCGCGATGTCTGGACACCGCGCAATGGCGATGTGGCTGAACCTGAAGCTGAATGGGGAGAAGGTGAAATGAGCTGCCCCGCCACCGGTCTCTTCAGATCTCGATCGTTGGGTCGCCTGGCAAGCCTCGGCAAGTCAAGGACGGCTATCGGCGTCAAGCTGTAGGGTGGTAATTTGGCTCCCTGGTAGATGAAGGAGATGGAGTTTATAGGCGACTTCAGGTTTTTCTCTTCTGGTTGGAAAACAGAGAGCAAGAGCAGGAGAAGGAGCAGGAGGAGGAGAAGAGGGAGAGCAGCGAAGCTATCAGGGCTGGATGGGGAGTTTTGTCTAGGCGGGCAACACCAGGCACGAGGACAGCAGGCACAGAAGCTCCTTTGGGTTATAGGTCCATCATCAAACAGCGGGCTTAGCAGGGTTGGGCTGGCTTCCGAAAGGCTTTTGCTTCATGTTCCTTGGATGTACTAAGTCTAACTTGAGGGAGGTATTCACAGCTCGAGAGTGAGGCGCCGTGTTTCGCCCTAGCACAAACAGGCCCGTGTCGCCCGTGTCGCCCGTGTAAACCTACCCAAAGAGACTACCAAAAGAGACTGCCGGTACCAGAAGGCAATTAGTACAATTGGCTACGAGCAGGTAGCCCAGTCGGGTTGCTTGTCAGTAAGTGAGCGTGAGCAGGTGGGCTGTGGGGATAACAAGTGAATGGGACTGTCCAGTGGAGAGTGTCTCGAGTGTATACCATATACCAGCATGCTCATAAGGAAGGGCTACGGCGTAAGGTACAGATGTAGTGAACCCGACGATTGAATGGACGGATGAGCCCACCGATTGGTAGAGGGGGTCGATGGCATTTCTGTGTCCGATTTCCCTGAATCTTCAAATTCCATGCTCTGGGCGCCCACTTTGCCGTCCCCTCCCCTCCTCTGAATCTGATCCACCGACTAAGGTAAGCAGGCAGGCGTGGCAGGCTTGCAGGTATATGCCCCTCCTTCTTCTATACCATCCCGGTACCTCACTCTCTCTTCCTCTTCTACACTACCTAGGTATGCAGTGTCCAGTATTCCTCTATCAGTCAATGTCGTTACAGACATCAAGCCACTCCTTGAACGCCACCATACCATGCCATGCCATGCTGTCCCATCCCATCCCATCCCATCTCATCTGAAAAGAGATATCCCGCTTCTGTCACAATCCTGTTGCTGCCCATCATTCTTGATGCGATGACAACCCTGAATCCCTTGCTCCCTGATGCGCCACCCACCGGGGGACCTGCCGGTGCCATTCGCCGATGCCATGCCATACCTGTGATACCACCCATCTCCGGCTTCCCAATCACTGCCGTGTTGTTACGAACTTGCCCCCCCTAGCCCCCTAGTCAAGCCACATCCCAGACCCTCCTTGGACCCAGACAAGCCAGACTCTTCGCGCAAAGGCTGTGTCGAGACAGTCTTCTGGCGCTGGGCGCTGGCTGGTGCGTTTTGGTGCGGGCTCTAGAGGTGGCTCCTGACCCCACGGCGCAGGCGTCTTGCAGGCTCTTGCAGGCATCGTGCAGGAGCCAACGCCAAACCGCCCTCTGCAGACAGACATGCTTGCGAGTATGACGTAGTGTCTCCGATTTCCAGCGATCCAAGTCTCCAGTTCCTCCGCCGCTCCCCATTTTTACATGCAAGAAACAGGTATCCTGTACTCGGCCCCAAGCACAGACCTTGGCTTTCACTTGCACTTTGGAGCACCAGCAGGGCAAGGCAAGGCATGATTCAACGCTGCCCTCATTACCCGACCATCGCTCGCGGTGCGGCGCATCGAGACCTCAATCTGGCGGTGTCTCAGCACCAAGCAACAGGTCACCATCCATCCATCCAGCCCGCGCTGTTAGCACCATTTTTTCCCACTCTCTCACTTCTGAGCTTGCCTCACATTGGTCTTTGCCCTGACAATCCTGACAAGCCTGATGATAAACCCTGTATTTCCCTCTCACTTTCTCGGAGCTTTTGCACCGGAGAATGGAGCGCAAAAGTCGTGTCAGTTGACACTACACAAACACAACCTTACTATGCAGAGTTATACACCTCCAAATGGATGCGCTATACAGCAAGATAGCCCAAAAGTCATTTGAGTTTCTTTACGGTATCACCTACCTAGGTAGCTAAGACAACAGGCGCAAATACTATTCCTTAGAAAGTGAAGTATCGCTCTTTAGTGAGCGAGTTATGTATTCTGGTACGGAAACCTACCCAGCCAATTGAACCCTGAATTCTCCCTTCTCCAGAGAAAGGGTAGCCAGCACCCGTGGACCTCTCCACGAGTCTAGGTAACCCAGAACAGAAATCAGATCTCCGTATTCTAAAATAGCTCGCCTTCTGTACCTCCATATACGGCAGATGGATAGAACTTCTGTTTATCACTTGCCAGGTTTGCCAGAACCGAGAAGCGAGCACATCATCAAATCACCCTTCAGGGTCCCTTGCCAAGCCTTTCCGTTTTCCCAGGGTTTCGAGCTGTACGATGCCGCGAGGACCCTGAGGATCAAAGAGATAGACGATACCGGTAGTCTATCTGGACTTTGGATAGCGGGCCCTAAATAAATCCCAGAGTCTGAAACCCAAGCAACGCGTTGCAACTCGAATGCTAGGTGGACTCACCATCTTCTTCCTCTCATTCACAAATAACTTCTATAAGTTATGTACTTTACTTCCTAGCAAGCAGGTAAACTCTTGCCAAACCCCTGCATAGCCCAGATGCGGACCCGGTACCCCAAGTGGGCAGGCAAACCCCTTACCAGCTTTCTTCTTCTCTGTCTCCTTCGACCCCGCATTGCGACACTTCACAATTCTCGTCAAACTACGTCATCGCGTCCCTTCCTGCAGGAGAAATCAGGGCCACGGCCACATACTAAGGCGTCGAACCACATTTCTACTCCATCTTGACCGCTAGATCCAAAAAGTCCCCTGGTTCAATCAATCAAGCAATCACCTTAGCAGTAAACCGTATCTCAACGTATGCGCGTACCGGTAGTCTATATGTATCAAACTATTCCCAACCATGAGGGTCATGAGGGTCATGAGGTCATCTCTCTGCCGATTGATCACTTGCATGAAAGCCATGTATGTACACTACTCTCTGCCTGTGGGCACAGTTCATCATCATCAAACCCACCCACGAGCCACCTTATGGCAGCAACACATGGCTGGTTGTTGCTGGACGGACACGAGCTGAGCAAGTCAAGTGAATTAAGCTTCCCAACTGGAATCGCGGCATCGGCACCTCACCCCCGGTGGCAAGTCTAAGACAATGTCTCCCGGTCTACCTACCTATGTAGTTCGAAGGAAAGCCCCCTGAACTCCTCCCCCCGAGTCCCCGAACCACTCTCTCACCCTCCTACCCACCCCCCTAACCTCCGCAAAACCTGTCAAACGAACCCGCCGCCGCCTTCTGAGACAATTTGATCGTGCAATCGTCTTTAGGGTTGACAGGACGCTGATCAGGTATAGTACCCCAAGGGACGTAGAGCAGCGGCCAGTGTGTAAATAGACCCAGCCAAGCCATTCCAAATCCAGCTGGAGCAGATCAAGTCAAAGACATGTAAACAATGTTTGGAATTCTCTACTCTGTGTTACTGCTTCGTAGCATTTTATGACAAGTTTCATGATCAAGGAAAACCCAAAAGACTAGAAAGGAAGTTGGAAAAGCAGTGAAGAACCAATGTGCCTGTTCACTCCGGACCCTTGTTCTGTTTGTCGTCGTCGTTGCCGTCTTCTGGAAAGGGGCATTTAAAAGAAATTCTGGCGTTCCTGTCACCCACGCGGGAGGCACGTCTCTAGAGCTCTCCCTTCTGCAGGCCGTCCTTCTCCGCCACCAGCGGCTCAATGTTCCAGATGCCCTCCGCGTACTCGTTGATGCAGCGGTCGCTGCTGAAGAAGCCCATGCGCGCCACGCTGGTGATGCTCTTTGTGATCCACTCCTCCTGGTTCTTGTACGACTCGTCTACCAGGTGGTGCGTCTCGATGTAGCTGTGGAAGTCGTCGGACACCAGGTAGTAGTCACCATGGTCGCGCACCGCAGAGATCATGCCGGAGAAATCGTTAGGCTCACCGAACGTGCCACTCTGGATTGCGTCGAACACCTTCTGCAGGTCGGGGTCGACCGTGTGAGAGCCGTACGTGTGTGCGTGGCGGAGATCCTCAACGTCCTCAGCGAGGTTGCCGAAAAGGAAAATGTTGTTCTCGCCAACCTCACGAGTGATTTCGATCTGTTTGATAGGTTAATACTAGGGAAGTTTCAAAGGACAAGGGTAATCATTGCTTACGTTGGCACCATCGCAAGTCCCGATGATCAGACCTCCGTTGAGCACAAACTTCATGTTGCTGGTACCGGAAGCCCTATTTGCACATTAGCATACCATTTTCGTTTCGTCTCGGGTGCAGTAAGCCTACTCTGTGCCCGCAGTAGAAATATGTTCACTCAGGTCAGAGGCAGGGATGATGATCTCGGCCTTGCTGACATTGTAGTCCTCCAAGAAGACGACTTTGAGCAAATCACCGATCTCCGGATCCTTATTGACCACAGCTCCAACATTGTTGATCAAGTGAATAATTTGCTTGGCCATCCAGTAGCCAGGAGCTGCCTTTCCACCGAAGATGGAGACGCGAGGGAGGACCTTCTTCCTCTCTTCAGGCGACAGGGCCTTGAGGGTGAGATATCTGTGGATTGTGCCGAAGATGTTCAGCTGTTGACGCTTGTACTCGTGTATACGCTTGACCTGGACATCGAAAAGCGCAGAGGGGTTGACGGTAACGCCAGTGCTGGCCTTGATGTGCTTGGCAAGTCGAACCTTGTTGGCGTACTTGATCTCGGCCCACTCCTTTCGGAAGTCCTTGTCGTTGACATACAGCTCCACCTTGTTGAGCTCTGTCAAATCACTCAAGAAGTTGTAGCTTCCGGTCTTGCTGGCGATCAGCTCAGACAGGCGAGGGTTGGCCTGGTGAAGCCAGCGACGGGGAGTGATGCCGTTGGTCACGTTTGTGAACTTGTCAGGTCCGAAAATCTCGACAAAATCCTTGAAGATGGTAGTCTTGATAAGGTCGGAGTGAAGCTCTGCGACACCATTGACCTTGTGAGAACCAACAATGGCAAGATACGCCATGCGCACCATCTTTTGGGGTCCTTCCTCAATAATCGACACACGTCTTAGCAGATCTCTGTCATTGGGATGAGCATGCTCGACAGTCTGTAGGAAGAAGAGGTTGATGTCGTAGATGATCTGAAGATGGCGGGGAAGCAGGTGCTGGATGAGACCAACAGGCCACCTCTCAAGAGCCTCAGGGAGGACAGTGTGGTTGGTGTAGCCGAACTAATCTTCAAGTCAGAGATTCTCTTCATCAATAGGTGATGGTGTGCACTTACGGTCTCGGTCACAATGCCCCAAGCCTCATCCCACTCAAGGCCCTCCAGGTCCACAAGGATACGCTGCAACTCGACAATAGCTAGAGTCGGGTGAGTATCGTTGAGCTGAATGGCAACCTGATCAGGGAATTCCCTCCAGGCGCGCTTGGACTTCTTGAAACGACGGACAATGTCGTAGAGGGAGGCAGCTACCCAGAAGTATTGCTGCTTGAGACGGAGCTCCTTTCCACGATCCAAGTTGTCATTGGGATACAGGACGGCGCTGATCGTCTCGGCACGCTGCTGGTCTGCCACAGAGCTCTCGTACTCTCCGGAGTTGAACTTCTGGAAGTCGAATTCTCCGCTGGCAGCCTTGCTGGACCACAATCTCAAGTTGTTTGTGGATGCCGTTGCGTACCCAGGAATGGGGACATCGTAGGCTACAGCTTTGACAGTCTCGCCGCCCTCCCAGTGAGCGACGGTCTTTCCGGATGCGTCCTGAGACTTGTGTACATAGCCATAGAATTGGATCTAGTTATGAATATTAGCATTTACTCAGAAGTCAATTGCATTGATTAGTTTCTCACATCGACTGTGACGTCGTGACGAGGGAACTCCCAGGGGTTGAAGTCCAGCCAGTAGTCGGGCACCTCGACTTGGTACCCGTCGATAATCTCCTGCTTGAAGATACCATACCGGTAACGCAACCCATAGCCCCAGGCGGGGAAGTTCAGAGTAGCCATACTGTCGAGGAAGCAAGCAGCGAGACGACCCAGACCACCGTTTCCAAGGGCAGCATCGTGCTCCTGTTGAATAACATCCTCAATGCGGAAACCGAGGTCGGTCAGACCAGCTATAAAACAGACAACGTCAGGGGGCCGGATCTTGAAGTTGTATAAGTGATGGGGAGCTCAGCCATACCGGTTGCAATGTCCTTTTTGCCCACGTTCAGCATGGCATTGTCTAGAGCTCGGCCCATCAAGAACTCCAAGCTTAGGTAGTACACGCGCTTGCTGTCGGCAAACGTCTGGCGCTGCTGCGTCCTGTTCCACTGGAGGATGAGGCGATCGCGGAAGGCCAGACTGGTAGCGGCGTATGCGGCCGTCTCGTCGCAGTTGAACATGCTGCGGGCGAGGGTGGTCTCGACATGGCGGACGACCTCGCGCTCGAAGTCATCCTTGTCCTTGAAGCCGCTGACCTGGTGCTTGGTCCATGCCTCTCGCTGAGGCTCGGGGATGGAAGCTGTGGTGGATCGTCAATGATCAGCGGGCGGGACGATAAGGTAGGGTTGGGGAGATGTGGGCATCAACAGATAGCCTGATTCGGGGGCCAAATGCAAGACCAAAGTCACGCAAGCAAGCATCCAATTGCTCTCTTACAAACACCAAATGCACCAACATTGGGGCCAATTGACCCCCAGATTCGATTTTATAAAACCAGACCAATTCGAGAAAGTTTGGTGCTTACCCTCAACGCTCTTGATCTCGCCGGCGCCGAAGCCAGTGAAGGTTCTCTTGTGCTTGGGTCGAGAGATGCCCGCGGGGCCAACAGAGCCCTGGATGTCCACAATGGGGGCGCCCACCGATGGCCGACGCTCCCGCGTTGGGAGTGTCTGGGGCTGCTTGGACGCCATGATCTCACTGTAGCAAAAGATAACTTGGTGGAGCAGTAATTCGTAGGATATCTGCTAAAAACGGAACACAAAAAAGGATATCAGTCAAAGAGTCAGCAAGAGAAGAAGGAGGAGGAGAGAGAGGTAAGAGAATTGATGGTGAAGAGTGAGTGAGAGGGTGAGATGGTTGCGTGAGATGAGGGGCAGCTCTTGCAAGCAACCAGGCGATTAATCAATCGAATCAATCCCAAAGCAAGCTCTCCCAGGTAGGAAACTTATTGATAGCACAGCACGCACCTGCAAGCAGCACCAACAAGAACTACCTAAGAATAAGAGAGCGGCGGGTAGCGGGTAGGAGCTTGTACCTTAAGGCGAGGCAAGCAGCGAGCAGCTTGAAGCACCTACGTCAGATGGACCAATAGCAGCAGCTATGGCGGGGTAGGCTTCGAATTGCCTGATGCTTGGTGGGGTTCGCTTGACTGGCGTTATCACTCAGCGCAGCACAGCTTCGGGGCTACCGTGTAGCTGGCCCTGGATAGAACACGAGCAAATGGGGCTCAACCGCTGCAGAGATCAGGAGAAAGCCTCTTGGGCGTGATGGATCCGCTCAATCGAGTAACCCGGGTGCGCCTGTGGAGTAGATATAAGTGGTGCTCTCTGGGCAAGAGACCGCGCGAAGGAACAACCTTGGAAGGTGAAGAGCGGTATGAGTGGTATGCTATGGCGAGAGGCAGCCGTGCTCTCCGAGAACGACAAGGAGCTGGAGCAAGGTGAAGCAGAAGCAGAAGCAGAAGAAGCTAGGTAGGAAGAGCTCGACAGATGGAAAGCCAGGAACAAGAACACGAGGGGGCAGGTGGGAGGGGAGCATCAAGGACTTAAGAATACCTACCTACCTACCTACCTACCTACCGACATACAACTCAGATAGCGTGGCCAAGGATGGCGGACATGGCGGGTTGGATTTCATCTCTCTTACATACATCACATTACATTACATTTACCGACCTTTACACGACACAAGCCCACAGGACAGAACACCACACTACACTTGCTTCAGCAACGTACATGGACGATGACGAGAGATGCAGTCGACCTGCGCAAGGGCCACTACATTGTACGCAGCAGAGCATCCCGGCAGAAGCAAAGGAATGTAATGCGGGGTGATGGGTTGGACGCTGGACGCTCTGAGAATGGCTTCGTCCTGGCGCGCGCTGCAACTGACTGGTGCAGCATGCCTGACTGACTGACTGCACTTACCTTAGCTGCACAGCGCACACTTAAGACGCATGCAGAAGATGCCTTCCATTCCATCCATCCATCCATCCATCATGCCCCCCCATGATCCATCCCCTTTGCTCGTTAGTTCCAGGTGCAAGCTTCAAGCTTGTCGTGCCGGCATGGAGAGAACTCCCCCACTGTGGTACGCACCCTGTAGGCTTCCTGCCGGCAACATGGCACGGGCACGTTCAAGGAGGGTTAGAAGGCTGCTGTACCTAAGGCACAGCCCACGCGCGTCTCAATGCCTGCAGGCATCGTCGAAGCAGAAAGACGTAATTGTACAGCCAGAGTATCATTTCGGCCGCCGGAAAGCGGGCACGCCCCATCTGGCATGACAAGACAACGAGACAGGAAACTTGAACGCTGGATATTGGCGGCGACGGTCAGTGTCGGTCAGTCAGTCAGTCGGGGCCACCTAGGCTTGGGCTTGGGCTTGGGCCTGGCTCTAGGCTCTGCCCATCGCACGCATCTAGAAACTGACAGCCGGTGAACTGATCTATAGTGAACTGACTTTCAGATTCGGCCGAGAAATTCGCCATGTCGCAAGCTGCTAAACGCTGCGCTTGAGGCTCCACAGGGGAGCTACCATGTCTCTTGACAGACAACTGCCTGATCTTTTATCGCTAATCCAGAGAGCCTAGGGTTGCCCGGCCCGGATCCAGATCTGAGGTGTACACTGGGATCTAGATCAACAGCCTCCCGCCGCAGGACGCCGACTGATCTTGAGAATGAAAATTTCCATGCCCTATATATAATGATAAGCACCTCGCCCTCCTATGGCCTGATCCTGGGAACAAGAGATACACATGACGGCGGGGACGAGATCAACACCCAATCATGCGTTTTCTTGCGCCTGGCAGGAAGGATGTTGGACTGACATGTGCCCCCCCACCGTTACACCGTTGTCACAATGCATGCGTGGGGTCTCAGCCACTCTCTCTGGGTACTCTACACACATACACCATGTTCTACACCCCTCAGGCGCGGATTCGGCGGGAAACAAGCATCAAATAAGACTGGTTTGAAATAGTGGCCGGTAAGATGCAGGTCAGCTTTACGTTTGGAGAGTTGAATAGTGTGATGTTAAAATAAATTGTTGCTTCTACTTTGGTCCTTCCTTCACGATATTCCACTTGGTTACTCAGGTCCTTCCAGTATTCCTCAGAAGAATTTGCAAAGTCAATGGCTAGGATTTTTTTAGGTGAGAAACCAGCCTCGTGAGGTATATTCAGGAGATTTACTCCGCTGTTTGGCACGGCACAGCACTCGTAATGCCTCACGCATCATCGATATGTCATGGTGAGCGAAGTGAGATTAGAACAACTAGAGCCACATTCACATGCGTAAACCCGCTCCGTGGTCTTAGCTAGTCGAGATATAAACTTCTTGGCTGCACGATAAAGATACTTCAAGCTTAGTTAGACCAAGTCACTTTCAAGAGCGAGTTCTTTCATGTCAAGGTATATCGAATTTCAAGTCCGGGGTATATAGCAAACCCAGACTCGGGTGGAGGACTTGTCGTCCTCTTATCGGCTCTAGCAACTGAAAAACAAAGACGGCGCGTGCGATAGCGCGTGGTGGTGATGGCGGTAGTGGTTGATTGTTGGCCAGTCGGAATAAATGAGCCATTGGCTCCCCTGTCCCCCTTTCGTAACATCGATGCAACTCTCGAATCGAAGTTGCTCTCAGAACGATTGTATATCCTCAGAAAAATGACCAGGGAATAAAAACAGAGCTTTGCCAACGGTCTCTGAGGCTGGGAAGATGCAGCGAAGTTTTCCTCCCTCTGTAAAAAAAGCATGACAGCGACTGTCCTGATATGACAGGATACTGCTGGTCTGGTGGGTGGGCTGTCCGCGCCGGAACGCCCACTCAAGCAGCGGTGAAAATCTTCAAAATCTTCCAAACGTCCAACCTCCTCCCACCGGTTCGTATCGAGCATCTGAGAGCTCTTATCGTAAGCAAAGACGTACAACATAGATAGCCTCTACTGCCTTGGTACCACATTCCTCCAGGTACGCCAGGCTAACAAAAGCAAACCACAGTCCTGAACGCCGGCCAATGCAACTCGACAAGTGGTGGAAAGCCGCTTTTAGACATTATGCGGTACACAATCAGAACGAGTCGTGGAATCGTATAATAGAGTGATCGAGGAATCGAATCAAAGAATTCCTGAATCCTTGAGGGCATTATTGAGAATAGTCTCCTTGACGGCTGCGAAGACCAGACGGACATTGCTAGTATCCGTAGCTTGGGTCAAGCTGATAATCGTTAGCATTTTCCGGGCTATAGAGAGATACTGCTTCAGATCCACTCACTGAGGGTAGAGATTCAAGTGTGCACGGTTCACCTGGTTGAACCGCCATAGGAGGTACTTGGCCGCCTTGTTGACGTCGTTGCCTCCGGAGTAGTCGGGGAAGTAGTTTCCAAGGGGCGATCTGCTCAGCTTCTGCTTGAAGATATCAACCTTGTTCAGGAAGAGAATTATACTCGTTCGCATGAACCATCGCGAGTTGACGACCGAGTCGAAGAGCAATAAGCTTTCCATCATACGGTTCTACTGCAGTCAATAGAGTGGTCGACCAATACATTGACCGAAGCTACGCACCTGGCTGCTCTCTTCGAGTAATACCTGATCGTACTCACTAAGGGCCACGCAGAAGATGATGGACGTCACGTTCTCAAAGCAGTGAATCCACTTCTTACGCTCGCTTCGCTGGCCACCAACATCAAACATGCTAGGAACAATGTTAGTCTTGTCATAGGCGATAACCCATAGCTGAGGAATCTGTACTTACTGTATGCTTAGCTGTCCCATCTGGAACCGAGTCTCGTAAATACCTGTGGTCTTTGTTCGTGCTCGGAGAACGTCCATCTCGTTGGGCAAGTAGTCGGGGCGGACGATGCGCATCACTTGCTCGAAGAAGCTGCAGACAACTCGTCAGTTTTATGTCTCCCAAAAGTTATGCGTGCCCATGTAGAGGAGGCATGACGCACTACTCGGCCGAGTCCATGAGGTAGAATTCGGTTTGTCTCTCCATCAACTGCTCTTTTGCCGGGTCATTCCAGATGGCCTGCACAGCATCTCCAACTCTAGGGTCGATCTGTGCCTGGGCACCGGCCTCGACGCTGTACTCGAGCAGGAAGTCGCAGTACGCCTGGTTCTCTTCGACGGACAGCTCGATGTCGAACTGGCGCATGGCGTTGATAACGGCCTTGGCGCACTCGATCAGGTTCTTGAAGACTGTTGGCCGGTAGTTGTAGAGCTCATCGTCGGAATAACCCTTCAGGTGAATGATCTTCATCTGCTTGACAATGGTGGATTTGCCACTCTCGCCAGATCCTATCACACACAATTGATGTCAGCTTGCCATGTCTTTTGCCCATCAGTACAATTGAAACCACATACCTAACAGTAGGATCTTGCATTCTCTCCTAAGTCTCTTTGAGTCCTCCTCCAAGTCCTTGTCAATCTTCTGGCTCCGCTTCTTCTGCTCTGTCTCCTCACTATTCGAGCTCATGCAGGCACCCATTGTGGCAGGTAGGTGGCACGCCGGGGGCGGCGAGTGCTCCTAGAGACTGTGTGCTGAAGCAGCTGAGCTACGATGATACGGGTAGGGCAAACCGGCAAGTCTGCTATCTGCGTTGCTGTGAAATGCGCTACAAACCCATCAGGGCAACTGTGCTGGGGTCTCGGGGCGGGTCTGCTGGCGACGCCAGGGCGAGATGAAGCTGTCGCAGTCCTTAAAGTTGAGAATCGCAGATGGTCTGTGGAGGAGCCCACAATTGGAGGCAGATAGCGTCTTGTTGATTAGATAGGAAGCCAAGGCGCAGATGGAGGACGTTATCTGAGGGAGATTGTTGAGCAGATACTGGCCCTGACAAGCGAAAAGTGCTTGAAGCGGAGAGGAGGATCGGAAGATGTTGTCGTGGAAGTGAAGGCGGCAAGCTTTGAGCGGATGGTGAGGAGCACCTGGACTGGAGGAGGTGCGGGAGGGCGGTTCAATGGAGGCTTGCCAGAGGCGCAAAGGATGGTGGATCCCAGTGAGTGCTTAATTCCGACGGTGAGACGGGCGGCGAGTAAGTGTAGATATGTAAGGTAATCAAGCAACACACAACAGACAGCAACTGATGTGAGTCTCAGCCGTGATGCTATCCCCAAGCAGACAGATAGATAGACAGCTCGATTCTGCTTTGCTCTGCTCCGCTCTGTGTGTGTGTGGAGAGAGTTTGCGTGTTTATGTGAGCGAGAAAGAGGCGGGAATAGTCCACGTCAAACTTGAGGGTCAACCCAGAAAAGAGGAGATAAAAGGCCACCGAGCAAGCGACGATGGTGGGTGTGGTGGATTCTGATTCCGGTGGCTTTCAGGGATCCCTTTTAGCTAAGGCAGGTAGTGAGGGCCGCCGGCAGGTCTGGCTGGGCAATAATACCTGAAGTCTCCAGTACTGTTTGACAGCAGAGAGAGCACAGCACACAACACCTAGCACGTCCTGCTATGGCTGCTGCTAATAAGCTACCTGGGTACCTTGGAGCGACACTTCTGGCTGCTAACTGAGCACAATCAACAAGAGGAGTATGTTTCTCCTTTGCAGCACGACAAGGCGCGCAGGCATTCACAATAATAAAGCCAGACAAATCGACATCCGAAAAGACCTACCTCTAGGTAGGTATACAGGCATACCTAGACGGCAGTTCCATACTGTAATGTTCATTGATCCTTCTTTCTTCAGCATCAATACCTAGGTAAGAGTGGAAGGTACGAGGCTGTAGCTCATGGCATGGCAGGTACCACCAAGTAAGACTCTAACTTTGCAGATACTGCTTTCGAGGTTACCTACCTTAGGTATTCTACTACATACCTAGGTAGTACTTAATGCAGTAGTCGGCGACTGATCAACTTTAAAGAAGAGCCACTCGACCCAGAGCTTCCTCTTCGGTCTCCATCTTTGCCCTCGACCTACCCAAAGAGTGCAAGTCTCTGCATTGGCTTCCCCCATATAGTGGATTCCAGACGCACCCTCCCAGCCGCTCTCAAGCAGCACAAGGCTTCTCTAGTCTATTCTCTCCTGCCTGTATACACGTGTAGTCCAGATATTCTGTTCAATTCAATTGAATAAGACAATGTCGAAAAAGCCGCGTCAACTACTAGAACACGATGCTAATGCTCGACTTCCGCCCCCAAGAGACTAGTTGGCCACCTAGGTAAGGTCCCTTGGGTTTAGCGTTCAGTCTCCCCGGAATTCAAGGCAGGTACTGTTCAGAATTGGGAAGGGGAACCACGGTTCCGCACCTGCTTCATGTTCCGGAGTATGCAAGATTGTTTCTGAAACCTCCATCAAAGCCTCGATGCACTTGCTTCCAGAACATTTTAATGAGAGTCCCTGCGGTCTAGGCGCAATCTCATCTCAATTCAAATTTTCAGACACACGGGATATTGAATGCGACCAAGATTGGGTTGAGTAGAGCCGTTGCACTTCCGTTCACGTATCACCCGTTGATTACCGCTGCATAAGCACGCACGTAACGTGCACTGCTGGCTGGACGAAGGGAACAATTCTTCGAAAGTGATGACAAGTATATGCCTACCTACTTACGAGCACACCATACACGGCCGCACTACCTCAGAAACCAGGCAGCGAAAGAGGACGTCCAAGCTCCTGCTATAGACTACCCATAGACGGACGGCAATCATACTGCCACTTGGCCCGGTAAGGACTCCCGCGAGTCCCGTCCGTTCCTACGATGTCCCTGCCTGTTTCGACCGCCTGTCTTCTCTGCTGTCCCTCGCTTTCTCTCTCGCCATCTCGGCACCGCTTATTATGGGCAAATGTCAAAGACGAAGAGTGGGTATGGTATGGCAAGCTTCTGTCATCTGTAAGAGCTTTCAACATGCCGAGCCTAGTATCCGCACATGAGTGACCGAGCACACGCCCGGAACTCGGATGTCTCGCCCATTTCCTCTGCCTCTAATTAGCACGAGATTGAGGCTCCCCCATACTTCCGCGTGCACCACCCCCCCGAGGTTGCAGTTGTGACTGGTCGGATCTACGCTCTAGTTCCAGGCGACTGCTCCACTAAGGATTTTCGAGATTCGACAGCGCACGGCGGGCACGGCGACAAGGCAGGCCGACGAGGAAGAAACACTGGAAAAGGCTGCGTGGCTGCGTTATGCTATTTACGAGGCGCCGATGGGCAGACAAACCCATCATTCGAGAGACACGAGCTTGAGTCGAGTTAGATGTCAATGCCCTTCTCGCCGGCTCCAAGGCCTACATGGCAGCCCAGTAGCCCAGTCAGCCTAGCAAGGTTAGTTGTGCAACCAGTACCACTCCCATCTGATCGTCTCCCACGTGTGTTCCATATCTCGAATGCCTGCGGGCTGGGCCAACACCGCTCACAGACATCGACCAGGGGGGCTGGCCTCCAGGGGGCTCCTTATCATTCGCCTAGAGTGTCGTATCAGGGTCTCCACGACCCAGTGAGGGTCCAATATAGCACTAGCCACCTTCTCGCCTATCAAGGCCCATGCCCAGGTCTCTGGAAGTCGATATCAGACCGTCAGACTGTAGTCTGGCCGCACTATTGGACAGGTGAGATTGTGCCTGTGGGCGGGAACACTCTTGCGGCCCCATGATTCCAGGTTGTGCTGGGCCTTCTCAACACTTCCACAGATACGCACAGCCATTGGGATATTCTCCGGTTGGCTTTGTACCGAACGGACAGTCTTTGCTCGGTGTGAATGTTCCCCTGGAAGTCAAGCCACCCGAGGCACATCCCCTGCATTGCGCGCGTGAGGAAAATAATGTATTTATTGGTGCTGAGAGCGTCTTGGGACTCCAAGCATGTGCGTCCACCGAAACAGGCAATTATCATTGTCACATCTACTTCAGAGTATGATTTCGACCCGTAGCAAAGCAGTGCTTTAGGGTCTTAGAATTGGTGGTCCTGGTCAGGGCCTGTTGCCAGGTGGTTTACAGGGATCCCCAAGCTATCAAAGGCCGCCCTCCCGTAATGAGGCTCACCTCACCTCATCCAAGGTGCAGACCAGAATCGAAAATTTTCCATAACGCTCAGCTTACGCGCATGGTGCCTAGTGACCAGCGCCTTCATCGAACAATCCAGATTCGAAGCAGAAAAGAGCTGGTCCTCAGCGGGAGAGCCCCGGTCCAAAACGCCGGTCTCGACCGAAACGCCACCTCATCTGAAGTTCGTCTCAGACCGTTACGTCGACTATGCTTCGCCTAGCCCGTTCAGACACAGCGTAGCATCATGAACCCATTGACCTTACATAGTAGAATCGAAAAGGCTCCATATACCGTGCGGCTTGACCTTAGTAGTTCCTCCCAGACCCCTGCCAAGGGGATTTCAACAGAGGCGGCCGGCCATAGGCTGCCATGGACGGATCTGGCCGTCGATCGAGACACCGGCCAAAAACGGTCCATGCTGGCTGGGAGCGCTGATTGGTCCTGTCCAGGCCTCTTAGACGCCGCGAGTATTCAGGCTCGTATCGAATCAGCAGGCACTGAACTCCTCTCTGAGTGATACCCGTTGACGAGTGTTTGGCTAGCATTAATGCCTATTATGTCTATCCATATGTAATAGCAATGATCAACGGTTATGAATAGGGGGGACTTGACAAATTTATAAGAGCCGTACATTTGCAACCTATCACACGCATCAACACAGTCTCTGATCAGGAGGATCACATAGGGGCTGGATGCATGGATGTCCATTGTCTACTTGGTTTACTACATGATTAAATCCTTCAGGGCACACTAGGCACGATACCAAGATGCTTGCTCGCAACAAATGAGGCAAGCAAACGGCAACCGGCCAAATGCTATGACTGCGAGCCGGACCCTGCGGACAACAGACACCCTCTCTATGTGCCCAATCTGCTATTTCATGAACTTGACGTCTTCCCGCCAAGCTTTTGTGTGTACCATCCGACGCTGCCTGTAAGCTCAGGCAGGTTCTCTTCCGCCCCTTTCCTACCTAATCCCCGTTCTGCTTCCAGAAAACGCACCCCAGCGACAAGGCCGGGATGGTCTTCTCATGTAAAGTGAACACGCAAACCATGCATAAACGATCTAGCCAGCCATAGTGACCATTGCCCTTCTGCTTCCAACACCCGGGGAAGAAAAGGCTAAAGCTAATAGGATTGGGAATTGGTGCTGAAATGCAATCAAGGGAGTACTCGTACAAATTCGTGAGAGACCATCACCAATTGCTGATTTAGGCGAGGTAACCAAGTTCATCATCCTCAAGACGCTCAAGATATTCCTTATCTAGGAGAATTTCAATGCACTTCTTGATGTCTGACACCTGGGGCATGAACCGTTGCCGTATCTGGTGGATGGTTTCGCTGACGAGTTGGCTGTGCTTCATCTTCTTGCGAGCCTTCATGATTCGGACAATAGCAGACTGTAAAGCGATTAGCAACTGGAGGTGATATTCAAAGACAGAAATGGTTATAAGTACCTGTAGCAGTAGCTTGCGGTCCTCCTCGATGGTCTTGTTCGTCTCGACTTCCTCTTGTTTGGACTCGGACTTCATGCCAACATTAAGATTCACTCGAATCTTCTTGCTCTTGAAGTCATAGTTCAGGTTGAAAGTCTTGCCTGGTCCAACCTTCTCTCCTTCAGGGGAGATGGTGAGGACCTTCGCCTTGAGTAGAATGCCGAGTGAAGGATCCAGCGTCTCGTTGTTCAGCTGAGTGGCAGAAGCAATATCTTCGTAGGTGTTCTTGTCCTTGTCGTTGAAGAGTAGTAAGATGGCCATCTGGTACAGAGATACTTGGAAGGTGTAAGGGGTTTTACTATTCTTGCAATAACCTGCTTTAAGCTCGCCTTTGCACAGTTGCCAGAGCCATGTCAGCTTTCGGCCTTCGTGCTTGTTCTTGTAGAAGCGGGTGAACCTCTCGTAGTCACTTGTGATCTCAGCCGGCGGGTTGAATGTCGTGTTAGGAGGTGTCAACGGCCAGAAGCCGGTACCCAGAATAGAATACTGGGAGTCCAAGATGGTGGTGTTTTCGAGCTGGCTGGCGTGCTCCTTGAAGCCTTGGTTCAAGTCTTTGGAAATCTGCATGTCCTGGAACATCCGCTGAAGCTTGTTTGTGTACTCAAAACCGCATGCTTCCTTGAGCTTGCTGATCATGCTGGTCTCGGCGTCATCAGATGATGAGTTACTATGTACCAACCGACGCGCCAGCATGCGGGAGTAGTACTTCTGGAAGACATCCTTGTCTTCGATGTATTTGAAGACAGTCATGATCTGCGTTAGAGTGGCCTCTAGCTCTGCCTCTTCCACACCAGTGCCACTCTTTCGGAGCAGAATATCGGTGTATTTGGCGAGGAGTTCGGGCGATTTGTTGGATCCAGATTTGCAGACATCATTTCGGTTAACGAACTCTCGGCAGGCATTGTCCAGAGATCGAGTGAACTCGGGCTCGTCGTTGAATGCTCGCTTAACCAAGCCCTGGTACTGAGTATGAATCTCCAGAAGAGCATCGACATAGACTTTGGGCTCCAGCTTCTCGGCGTCTTGAGCAACCTTGGCTACGGCTGCCAAGCCTGCCTTGCGTACATGTGCCTCGAACTTTGACCTCAGGGGGTCCAGACCATCGGGAATGCGCGACAGGAGGCTGTACATGCGCTCCATATCCTCTTCGCGGTCATTGTCCAAGAGCACTTGAAACTCATCTCGCAGTAGGTTGGAGTGGTCAGCAATCAGAGCTTGGTTACACGTCTTCTTCAACGACAGTGCAATATCTGCGTGAAGATACAGCCGGACTCGCTCCTCTTCCTCCTCCAATCGGGCCTCGGCCTTCTTCATGTACTCAACAACGCTGTTCTCTGCGACGAATTGCTTACTCTCGGCTTGGTAGAACTGCTTTGTTGCCTCCAAGAAAGGCTTCTCGAAGTGGTACCGGTAACAGTCGAGCGTCGTCTTAGACGGATCTGTCTCGTCCAGGCCCAAGGCAACGAAAGAGTCTACGACCTGCTTGATCTGGCCATACTCAATTGTTTCGCCATTTCGTTGCTTCTCCACCAGCTTGAGAACTGCGTCCATGACCTTCTCCCACACCTTCTCGAAGAAGATGGCACGCCATTGGACCAGGTGCAGAGTGTATACATCGTATATGTTCTTCTTGCCCTCATCCATCTCACGCTTGACCCAGTGGCGGTTGAGGTAACGGAAGAGATGATGGATATACTTCGCAGCAACGGTGTAGCGATCCCACTCCTTTATGTAGAAGGCCAGTAGAGCTTCGTCGGTATGCTTTGTCGATTCTTTGACAAGGGTCTCGAGGTGGGTGTTCAGGTAGTTCATCAACTTCTTATAAAGATCCTCGCCGAGAAGATGCGCTGCTGATGTTAGCTTTTGTACTGGACACATGACACCATGAATATGCTTACCGCCTCGATGAGCTCCTGTGCTGATGTTCTGCTGTGGGTTAAAGCCAACGGCCTTCTGAGATGTGCAGAAGTTGTGGACGGCAGTGTAGACACCCATGTACTATTAACCTCTTTGTCAGTCTTTGCTAAGGGGCAGATGGATGCTTAGGGGGAGGAGGTCAAGTACCGTTGCCATAGTCATGCCTGATTGCAAGTTCAGCATGATCTGTGAAATGCCATCCTCCAGGTAGTTCCACGTATGGTCAATATCATCGCGGTTAGGCTGGGTGGGCATGCCCAAGCCCCGTGCTGGGGAGGCGGTAGCAGGCATCGTGGGTGGCAACACTATCAGAGCCGCTCAGTGCTGCAGGTCGGTGGTGTCGAGATCAAGAGCTCTCGAAAGGAATATTCTTCTGCTTGCTGGATAAGAGGAGTCTCTCCTCCAAGGCAGCAACGAGCTCTTGTGACCTCAAAGGAGTCTCGAGATGAAGGCCTTGGGATGAAAGTCGTCAGTCGCTTGGTGGGGGAAGCAGCTGGGAAGGTGGGCTTTTGCAGTGTCTGACGAGGCCGGCCTTGCCGTGGGAAAGCAGGAAATGGAACCCAGCAGAACCAACAAAAGGATATCTTCACAAAGAAGAAGGGACGGGAATGATGAAGGGAAAGGAACGCAGTGCAGTGGCCACAAACAACCTCGAGTCGTTGATAGTGGAGATGAACGTTAGGCAGATTCAAGTGGCCTCCTCGCTCGAGTGCTGACAGCGCAGTGGAGGTTTCGCCGGGGCCAGGTCGTGCCTAGCGTCTGTGTCGTGCCACTGCCACATCCCACCGTGGCGCGCCTCGCGTATGCCCGCGCTTGCGTCGCTTAGTAGCACCAGTAAGTTTGCACCTTGATGATATCACTGGGAAGCCACATTATGCTGTAAGAAGTTTTCAGAAAGAGCGATATCATGATCTGTCTGACTCCAGAAGTCTTTTCAAGTATGCAGATCAAAGAAAAATTGAATGTGGGAGACTGGAAAAAGTATTCTTTGTCAATCTCAACCGGTACTGGGTCTGGAGTCAACAACAATTTTGACACAAAAACACATGCTCAGCGAAACGTAGGTAGTGGGAATAAAAGAACGCTGAAACAGCGCTGGTTGCATTTTGGACTACTTTTTGGGTATCTATGCTACCTACTTATGTAGGTTCTCATCCTCTCCGCCTCCCAGTCGCTGCACCAGCCGGAAAATGCTCACAGTCAGGTTCATCGACCATGATATCAGCCCGATCAGCAAGAACGTTGCCAATGCCTTCATCAGTTTCGATGTGGGAGGCACGCCCTGATTATGGTATACTAATGCCTCAAACGCTAGGGTAGTACTCGCCGCTTTAAATATAATGAAAAAGAGGTCCATCAAGGTGAGGGAGATTTTCTGCGTGGCCGACCTCAGGCCCAACGGTCGGCCCGTGTACTCGTCCCATGTCATATAGAAGACATACGGCACCGCAACACAGTCCACCACTATTGCGACTATGGCCTGCGATACAGAATTACCAGTGTCGTCCTTGTCGTTGTCAATGTCGAAAATGCGTGCAGAGATGGCGAGAGAGAGGATGGATGTGATGAGCACAATCAATCGGAATGTCAGCGGCACAAAAGGATGGCGGAGCACTACATGCCAAAGCCTCTTGTAGAACGCGCGTGTCCGTGTGGGTTGGGTAGGCCTGTGCTCCAAGGCATGATGTGATGGTAAGTCGAAAGGCTGGTTGAATCCCGGCTGGAGCTTATCCAGGACTTCCGGGTCGACGATCTCGGCGGACTCGTTCGGCATATGACCATAGCGAGAGGACTGTACAAATGTCCGCCATGGCGAGTCGGTCTCTGCAGATATGTAGCCTGGGACGATGACAGGCTCAGCAGACCGGAGGTGATCCCACTTTCTGCCACGGCCATTTCTCCTTCGCCGGCTAAGTGATATCCTTGCCTTCGGCTTGGACGCATCATCTAGCCCCTCGCCGCTCCAGTCTTCGTATCCGTCCTTCGATACCCTTCGCTGAGGTGGGGCGGGGGCATTGTTATGTTGAGGTTTGACAGCCTTCGCCGGGCGGTCGAGCAGGCCCATCTGGTCGTCAGTCGGGGTTCCATAGCGCACTTCATAGGAATCAATCCAAGCTGTAGTATATGCACACATCAGCATCTTCACTCCTAAAAGAGTACATGGGGGCAATCATACGAGGCAAAGACCTGGGTACTCGATTCCGAGCGGCTTGGCTGTCGAGTGCGCTGCTTCCGGTACCACCGGATGAGCGTTGCGCCGGCGCATTCGAGCCGGACGACCCAGGCGCACCGCTCATGATGGGCTTTGTGTTTATGGAAAGGTGGTGTAGTGAAGTACTGTAGGAAAGTAATCGAGTAGGAGCTGAGGCGGTAAGCAAAAGGTCGGATGGTAAGACGGAGACTGGCTCTAGGAGGGTATGGTGAGGAGACAACTGCCGCAATCGTCATCAACAAGCCTCGTCCATCGGCAAGAGGCACACGACAACGAACAACGCGCCGCGAACGAAGAAAAGCTAGCGGTTGAAGAAAATGAAGTGCGGCCCAAGTCAGGCGTTGACCGTCGTGCTGAGTGAGGCGACGGTAGGTTTTGCCTGACCTGACGTGCCGGGTTGCGCCTCTGAGCCAAGAGGTGTAGCGCGGCTACAGCATTGGCATCATTGATCACTCCAGTGGCTGCAAAACCGTGAGGACCTTATTAGGCTGTGGTGGCCTGGGAACCGTTTCTTTGGGGCTTGTTAGGCCGGCACTTGAGCCTTGCTAGAGCCCGGGCCACTCAAGGATTAAGACCGGGGGTATTGCATGCGGAAACAGGCTACCTTTCGTCATTCACAGGGGCATACAGGCCAGACTATGGTGGTATCCAGCTAACACCAGCTGGAATGACCACAGGCAAATCGTCCATTGGCCGTAAGTGACGACTCGTGCGTCACTGTCTGGCTCGCAAGCTTGCAAACTTAGAGGCAGGACGGAGCAGGGGATGCATGTCCCTTACTTGCTCCAACCTTGGTCTAAATTGAAGATTGTTTGAAACAGCTTCAATTCCCACTTCTTCTCTCTTACCTCGGAAGTTTTCCCAAAGTCTTCCTTCGTGTACCTTCTCAATCCTGACTGTTCCTCCTCATGATGCGCTACTCGAGATAACCTCTACCACGGTTCGTAGAGGACAACACAGAAACATCGCCCTGCTACCATCCATAGCCACCGTACAACAACGCCGTCACTATGCGACTCTATCTCCTCCCCATCACCACCCGGCGGACTCTGCTGTACGGCCAGCGTCTCAACACGGCGGCAGCGGTAGCCCAGCAGAACATACTCGACAAGGCGCAGAACCGCGCCTCCAAGCTCTGGGCCGACTGGGAGAAGAAGGAGAAGGGCTGGCAGAAGTCGGTAGTGAACTACGGCAACTACGCCTTGCGCCGCATACCCTACCAAGAATGGGGCCTCAAGTCGGTCCCGCCGCTGTCCACGAAGCGCAAAGATGACGAGCTCCGTGGTACTGATACTGTCGAGGTGATATATCCCAAGCTATTGGTCCCCACAGACAGGGTTTCCAGTGTATTAGAGACACTGAGCACAGAACGAGAAGCTCTTCACAAGAGGAAACTCGTGTACTGTCTCATCGGCATGCCTATTACGATACCCTTCGCGCTGGTACCAATGTAAGGCTCCCGATCCACGTCGTCCGCAATTGTTCGTTCCTAACAACATACGCTTAGCATCCCCAATCTACCATTCTTCTACCTCGTCTACCGCGCCTGGTCTCACTGGCGAGCTCTGGCCGGCGGCAAGCACATTCAATTCCTGATCCAGAACAAGCTCCTCACCCTGAGCCCATCACCCATCCTTGACGAAGTCTATGCGGGAGTGCAACCTCCCCTCCTGTCCACCCCGCAGCCAACGACCGGCCCAGAGGAGGAAGGGCTGCCGAAGAATGTCAGCCCTAACAAGGCCAAGCACACAGATCCACCAGGAGAGGTGATGTTGCTCAACCAGGCGAACGGAAAGAAGGCTGCTCAGCTCCTGGACCTTCCGCAGCTCGAGGTTGAGCTGGAGAGAGCTATATGGCAGGTCGAGACGGCGATGAAGAACCAGGAGGAGGAAGACCCCAAGGAGCAAGAGAAAGAGAAGGATAAAGAGAAGCAACAATAGTAATCCATGAGGTCTTCATCATGATATTGAAACGATGTATGATTATTGGCTCGGAGGCGGACTTGGAAAACTGGGTGTATCGGCACATATATATAGACAGGCAGATTTGCGCCTGCAGTTGAGAGTCGCTCAACTCAGAAATGATATATAGCAGCCTTGCCTACACAAGTTGTAGCATGGTTGTCTATTCAGCTCCAATCTTATAGACCTAGGCCAAGATCTGACACGGTGAGAAGGGCCGTCTGTTACAAATGTGGGCATATCGAGGGCATAGTTTCACACACATCTGAACAGCAAATGATCGTCTATAACCAGCAATCAATTCGACTTTTGTGTTTCCATGGCCAATGGCCAATATATACCCCGCAGGAGGTCCATATATACTCCGACAACTCCATGACGCTGATTCCTGTTTGCCTTGGCTCCTAACTGCCCAAGCTGCGAATCCGTCAAAATCCATGATATTCCAACCAACCATCGCCGTCTGCTAAAGAACGAAGCATGGCCACGATAGAGAGGGGTAAACCCCCAGATAATCTAGCCGATACGACTCCAATTATTCCTCGAGGTCCTCGGCATGAGACAGACAGACCTCAACGGCAAGTCTTCGTTGAGTCCATCAGTGATCACGCCTATCAACGTGAACGACTCGTCCAGGTATATTAAGAGAATCATAACAGGTGCCAAACAGACGCAGCCAGTTTCTTTTTCGAGTGTTTTCGTGCAATATGGTAGGGCAATGATGCGTCGTAATGTTACAAAAGTGCAAGGCGTCGTGTCTGAGGGTCGCAAAACGTCAAGAGGCAACATTAAGAGAACGTGCGCGCGTAGTGATAAAGAAAAGGTCGTGGAGTGGTATCATCGAAAGACAAGAAGATCCCGAAGATAGATAGCTTATGAGGTGGACTGAGGCGTCGAAGTCTCGGACTCTTCGACCATATCAGACACCCGCAGCTTCTTCGCACGGCCGTTTTCATGGACCTCTAGAGCTTCCTTTGCCTCTTTTAACTCGACCTCCATCTCGTCGAGGCGGCGCTTTAGGTTGTTCTCTCTTCGGTGGCTTTCCTCAAGCTGAGTACGCAACTGGCCCTCAGATTTGGTAAGGTTGTCTAATTGGGTGCGTAGCTGAGCCTCGGTCGGGCCAGCCTCCTGTCCTTCGCGTGGGCCGGCGCCATAACTCTCATACTGCTCGAGGCGGCCACGAATGAAATCGTTGATGACCTCCAATTCACTGACACGCGTCTTCAAGCTAGAGTTAGCAGCGAGGAGCGCCTCGTGTGTCTGAGGGATGTCCAGGCGCTCGCCGTTCATGGGCGATGCAGCACGGCCCGGAGATGCAGCAGACACAGCAAAGCCTGGAAGGCTCTGACCGTGTAGTTGGGGATCCTCCACACCATGGTACAACGGCAGATGGTTGCCATACATGTTCGGTGTTGCAGTTCGAGAGACAGGAGAGTGCGAGCCATCGGCATGACCATTGGCTGATTTTTGGGAGGCCCTCCGAGCACCAAGGGCTGCCGCGGCAGCCTGCTGGGCCTGAAGTTCTGCTCCATTGGCATCAGTTGCGACCGTCGGGTTCTGTTGGCGATAGCATCAGTATCAGTGCGATAAGAGGCAGCTGGGTCCGACTGCAAGTGGGGCGGCAACGAACCTTCTTTTTCATACCCAATTCAGGTCGCATGGTCTTCACACGATTGCGACTCTTGATTACATCCGTCTTGAGGGAGATCGGGCGTGGGCGGCCGTGCAGCTTGAGGAACAGACCGCAAGCATTGCAGAGGACCGAGCCCATCTCGTCGCGCCGCCATAACGGCGTGGTGGAGGTGCTGCAGTTTTGGCAGGTGGGCTGCGTGGTTTCACGGTCATGATTAGCCATGGTCGCCATGATTACAATGTTGTGAGAAGTGAAGAGGAGTGGGCAGCGGTGAAGTGGAGAGTTGTGTGTTGTTGCAGGCGACGATGGGTCGAGTCAAGTCAAGGGGATTGCGATTGCGAGGTCAGATAAAGAACGGCGTGGTGACTTGAAAATTCTTATCTGCGCAAGGTCAAGGGAATCGGCGTGTGGGGCGATAAGGAAAAGGAAGGCAGGGGAGGGGAATAGAGGGAAAGAGCGAGTAGGAGTGGAGGCTAAGGCCCAAAAGAGTGCCGACCCCTTATTGCCGAAGTGTAACCGGCCACCTGCTAAGATAACCAGATCTCAGCTATCGGACAGGCCCAGCCGATACCATCCGATAGCCATTGGCTCTACTCCAACCTATTGACGTTACTACAAGGCACTGCCTTGAGTGTGTATTTATACCATCTGCCAAATGACCAAGGAGGAGGCTCTTCATTCTGGAGAGACCACAAGCGGGATTGAATAACTGAATGTCTCAAACTTCCAGACAGAGGACTCTCCTACGCTCTTGACATGGGGTATCTTGGGTGTTTTGTCAAGAGTATTGGTAACAGAGGGTTGAGCGACCAAAGCAATAATGCATACTATTTGTGTTGTTGTAGAGCTGAAAGTGAAAAGACTCACCAAGTTTCCTCCAGAACCGGGTGTTGTTCCCGCAGGAGAGGCAGCTGGGTAAATTGTCGGTAGAGTGTTAGACGGCCTGCTCCAAGTGTCAGTTTATATGCTCTCACCAGTACTGTTCACATCTTTCGCCGAATGAATTCTCACTGAACCCAGCATCCCCTCTCTAGAGAGAGAAAAAAACCAGATAATAGCATAGCCTGTGTTATGCGAATTTCCCCAAAGCAGGCAACATGTGTGAAATGGAACGAGCAAAACTTTTTACGGGACTTCTATAGGCGGAATTGGCCAACAAGAACTGCCCCAACTTGTACCTCAAATTCCACTTGGACCAAGACAAGCAATGCGATAATACAGCGCCATTGATACGAGGGTACAGGGAGCCCCGACCTTCCCTCCTCTGGCGATGAACTTGTAGGTACAAACAGTCTGGTACACACCTTAGTTGTGGTGAGCTGGTAGCAGAAGCCGTGGCAGCGGCTGCTATCGCTGATATCCCTGGCAGTTGAGGCATGGATGCCGTGGTCGACGTGGAGCTCGGTCGAGATATTGGCTCGAGGGTTGTCGGCAGCGGCAGAAGCGGTGCCCCTGCTGCCCCTGCTGCCGCGGCTGCTGCTGCTCCCTCCTCCATGACTGCTCGGAACGGTGGGAGTTCAAGATCGGGCGGTGGTGTCAGGGCCGGCTTCGGCACGGGAAGGGGCAGAGCCAACGGGGACTGCACGGGAGCCAGCGTGACGGTGGATGAAGACGTGTAGAAGTAGAGCCCGAAGTTGCTCTACTGGGAAAAACGATCGATGTCCCGCAAAAGAAGAAAACGGGACAGTGCAAGACTTCGAGCTGGTATGGAATCGCGTAGGGAGGCTTTCTGTTGTCGACTCGGCGTAGGTCGGTAAGGAAGGCCGTTAAGGGATTTTCGTAACACCGGTCGAGGGAGATACAAAGACGAGAAAGCACCGGTCCAACCGAAGAACGAGTGACTTCAAGATCGAGAATGAGGACAAGCGAATGACAAGAAGGCAGGAAGGGTCCGTTAAGAGGGGGAATAGATGACTTTGCTCTCCGAGATACCCTACAACATTACACCAGCAAAAGATCTAGAGAGAGAAGAAAAACCCCCCAGTGCAGGTATGCTTGTATGAACTCTGAAGGAAGACACTATGAGGACAGGGCGTGAAAAGGTCGAATGGCAGAAAGAATGCGGCCCAGGCAGAAATTATTTAGACTAGGACAGGGCTCCCCCGGGAAGCCAGCAATCATGGATGACTGCCCCTTATTATGGCAGATGGGCCTATGGAGAACTCGGATACCCCCTTTGACTAACCTTACCTCAGGTACGGAGTACATGTGCCTTCCAGCACGGTTATATTTGGCTCGCCCAGCTGAGGCTCGAGGATTTTCAATGTATTCTCAATCTATTGGCCAGCACGAGATGAAAACGACCCAGCCTTACAGCGGGAAAACACACCTACAGCGCGCTAACAAGCCTAAGGAAGGTACTGAGGCATGCCTACCTCTTAGGTACCTACCTAGGTACCTACCTACTGTAAGTGAGCTGTACTGTACCCGTACGCACACTTGACTCCCGTCGATACAAGAGATGATGCCACAGTTGAGGAATCCAGATCGCCCGTTCCTCCAATCCAATCCCGAACCTCATCAGCGCGGCCGCGGATCCATGCAGGCCCGTCCAGCTGCCCAGCCGCACACGCGCTTTGGCACTCTCAGGCCTTTTTTTACTCCTGAACAGCGGCGTGTATCATGTATCCGACACTGGCCACCGCGGGCGTTACAGCGCGCGACACTTTTAACTTTTACCTGTCAACTTCTACACACTGCTTGCAGAGTTTTTCTCTCCGTTACACAAAGACGTGAAAAAGCCGATGAGCGGTTAACGCAATGGCCGAGGATCCGTAAGACGACATCGGAGCCAAAAGGCGCAGAGACTAGAGGCATCATTCCCCAGTATTTTGATTTCCATTACCTTAAGTTATTCCTTGTAGCACCATCGGGGATGACCCGCGTCGTTGCCAAGACACGCGCTAACAATGGAGAGATGGATAAGATTGCGAATCTGCCTCTAACTAATCAGATAAGGTACCGCAACTAACCACTTACCCCCTTCCCCCCTTCCTGACCTCCTTTCGATCCAGAAAGTACTGCAGGTATCTGTAAATTATGATCTGATGACAGGGGTGATGCCCATTGCTCGTAACAGAGATCCGGGTAGTGAACATACCTGACTTCATCTGATCCACTTAGGTGACAGAGAAGCAAAGATTAACTGAAGAAATTCCACTTGTACAAATGTGGTCGAGGGATCTGCGATCATCTTGTTTCGTATCTGCCATTATACGGCGGGTATGCAGGCACGCAACTCAACGCCTAGATCTATTCAAATCTAGACTAGATCTGTCCATATAGCCTTTCCTATCTAGGTCGCTTCAGTCACAGCCGATTCAATGAATTTGAGCCCGTCCAGGAACCAGGTCATATTGAGGAGAAGGGAAATGTTTTGTTCAAAGGTGGGTTGATAGGTTTAAGTATGTAAGCTAAGACTCGTATTTCCGGCTACCCTTACACATAAAGGCAAGTTTTTTTGTCTTTGTTTTTCCACGAAATTGATAACACCGCATAGTGTTCCGGCATGAGAAGGGCAGTTTTCGAGACTCATCATGAGTTCTCGATGTTGTATGAATACCATCGCTTCCACGTTATATAGCCAACAATGGGCCTTGCTCGCTAATTTTAGCACTAGACCTCTTGCCAGGCCTAGATTGACGGGTCTTTGAAGAAAATGACCTGTACTGTGATATCATCCCTTACGTTTCTTCTAATCGGTGGAGGCACTGTCATCGCCCCGCAGAACATCGACCTTCTCTTTCCACCAAGCGCGTTCTTAGCTAGGCACACGGCCGCATTGTCGAGGTCCTCAATGGCGAACAGCTCGGGCGTGATCGAACTTGTAAGCCAGCCCTTATCATCGAGCTTGCCCGCAGCCTTGCCCACGGCCTTGATATCATGAACCGGCTCCGATTTGCCAGCGTTTCGTGCCACTAACCAGCGTGAGACGCACTCTACGGCGTCGTCGCTCGACATGACGTCCCACAGACCGTCGGAAGCGAGAATGGCAAAATCTTGAGTCTGGACTCGCCGGGTAGTGATCTCAGGGCGCGCCGTTAAGTACGGTGGTGTCTTATTCTTAGCCAGTGGGCCAAAGCCGTGGTAGTGCGACTGCGACAGCTTGAGAAGATCGTTCGGCCACTTCAGCCGGTTATCCCCAAACGCGCGCGTCACCATGAGCCCTACAAGGCGTCCTTCTTTGGTGTCGATGAGCTCGCCGATCTCCCCAGGGTGCTCCCTGTCCAGTCGCCTGACCTCGTCCTGGTTAAACCCCGTTTGATCAATGCTCAACACATCTGCCGAAAACATGCCAGTCGTAGCGGACCAGGAGCCGAGGACAGCACGTGAGTCACCTGTTACAGCAGTGCGCAGAATAGAGGCATGGAGATCATAGACGGCCAGCAGAGCACAAGAACCATGAGCAGCCGGCATGAGTGCCGAGACAACTTCTGCGGATCCCGGATCATGGCCTGCCTCACAGGCTACTTTGGCTATATCGAGGATGCGGTCATCGAGATGGACGAAGGCATCCTTGATGGCTGTATCTATCACTTCGCCTGGAGCCGACCGAGCAAGACGGTTCAGTGCAGTCGACACATAGGGAATCAATGTCGCTTTCAATGTTGCAGATGTGGCGCCGCCGCTGTTGATCATCAGCTGAAAATCATCAGGGTCTTACTAGCAACCCACGCATGTCCATCGTAGACGCCTGCAAAGACAGTATTGGAACCGCCAACACCCTTTCCAGCACTAACAGCCCACTCATCTTCCACAGGATCGTTACTTGAGACCCGTACAACGTCAACCCGGCCTTTTATTCCATCCTTACTTTCAAAAGCAAAAGAATGGGCGTCTTCTCGTAGCTTCTTATTGGCCGCCTGAAGGTCGAGAACTTTGACTGGTGAGACAATAGAGATGTCCTCCTCAGAGACTACCTCTTTGATGTGAGAGACGGCTACCGTTGAACTTGGAGTCTCAATGGCGGCGTTATTCGAGAAATAAAATCCGGTGGCAGCGGCTGATAATCCACCAGTTCCCCACAGGAGTGTTCGTGAGAATGAGCGGCTGGAACTTGTCGTTGTTTTCCATCGCCGGGTGATCAGCCCGTACGGCGATGGGAGCTTCCCGATCTGGGCAGCTCTTGAAGTAAACCGGAGCATAGCTGTTGACAATGTTGGTAGATTAAGGTTGAGTAGTCACAACAAAACCTCTGGAATCAACGCAATTATATATACTCGATGGCTTACCATGGTAATCACCCATGAGTAGATTGTGTTCAGGTGACCTTAGTACATAGTTCGGTAAGACTGGCCAGGAGCTTGCACCAAGGGGGCTGTGTAGTCATGGACCGTCTCGCGCATGTGCGCAGAATGATGTGTCCCAATTGAGGTCGTCCACAATCATGGTAGGATGCAAAAGGCAAAGGCATGCATTCTAACTCAACACATCCTGGGTTGAACTTTAGAGTACATGAGTGATAATCTTATTACAAGGTATGCACGATGATTTCATCAACAATGGTCAGATGTGAGCAAGGTAAGATCTCAGTCTCACCTTGAAGGCATTTATAAAAGGGAGCCAGCTTATCAATGCCTGAGTGTCGAGTACCAACACTAGATGCTCAACCCTAACCCTCTTTACGTGTCGCCAGGTGGCTGCCAGGCGGGTGCATCTGCAGTACAAAGGACCTTATCTAATCTACCACCACTCTCCACCTCCACTCCTACATACAGTAAGTGCGGCGGGCACGATTTATTTTGCCGTCTTTGGTGGTGGGAGCCTTTCTGACCGCCAAAATTTCTAGCTAAACAGCTACTACTGTACATTTTTCTGCCTGCAAAACCACTTGTCCATCTGCCCTCATTGCAATTGCAAGGAATTGGCAAGGCAACTACGATTTGAAGATGCCTTCGACTCACAAGAAAGACAAGCCGTGGGATACGGACGACATAGATAAATGGAAAGTCGACACTTTTACCCCCAATGACAATGCGGGCGGCACCTTTGCAGAGGAGTCTTCTTTCATGGTACGCTTCCTCCCCTCTTGTCGCAATGCGAAGCCCTCCGCTGACCTTGACTTTCGTAGACCCTCTTTCCCAAGTATCGCGAAGTATATCTGAGAGAGGCGTGGCCGCTTGTCACGCGGGCCCTTGAGAAGCATGGAATTGCCTGCACCCTCGATCTCGTTGAGGGTTCCATGACCGTAAAAACCACGAGAAAAACTTTCGATCCGGCTGCCATTCTGAATGCTCGCGATCTCATCAAGCTTCTGGCCCGAAGCGTACCAGCACCGCAAGCTGTCAAGATTTTGGACGATGGCGTGGCTTGCGATGTCATCAAGATTCGAAGCCTTGTGCGTAATAAGGAGCGTTTCATCAAAAGACGGCAGAGGATTCTAGGGCCCAACGGCACAACGCTGAAAGCCCTCGAGCTACTCACGAGTACCTACATCCTGGTTCACGGCAACACAGTTTCTGTCATGGGACCATTCAAGGGCTTGAAGGAGGTCAGGAGAGTGGTGGAGGATTGTATGGCCAACGTGCATCCCATCTACTTGATTAAGGAGCTTATGATCAAGCGAGAGTTGGCCAAAGACCCAGAGCTGGCAAACGAGAGTTGGGACAGGTTCTTGCCCAATTTCAAGAAGCGAAACCTGAGCAAGAGACGTGTGCCCTTCAGTGTCACGGACAAATCAAAGAAGACGTATACTGCTTTCCCTCCCGCGCCCGAGAAGAGCAAGGTCGATTTGCAGATCGAGAGCGGAGAGTATTTCTTGGGCAAGCAAGCCAAGGAGAGAGCTGCACAGGCGGAGCGGGCCGAAAAGGCAAAGCAGAGGAAAGAAGAGAAGAAACGAGAACGAGAGCAAGACTTCGTGCCGCCGGAAGAGCCAGGCACCAAGCCCAAGAAAAGGAAGAAGTCAAAGACGGACGATGCTTGAGGTACGCATTAGACGTATGGCATCGGGCGGATACAGCTCTCGGCGTTTTAGGATTGCATAAGGTCATTGCCTCGCTAGTTCAGGTCTTCACATGAGCTTTAGCTTGTATAAATAAATGATACCCAAATGGTGTAATGTGTCCTTGGAAGCTCAGACTAGTGACTTCGTAATAGGTGCCCGTAAAAGACTTTTTTGTATTGTAAATATCGTTTCTATTATACTGATATACTCGTTATTACAGTTTGGAAGGTGAGTCAGGCCTATCCGGGTTGATTTCAATCACTAACTTGCCGAACTGCTTTCCCTCATGCATCTCCGTAAACAAGCCATCTAACGCCTCCAGATTATCCAAACCCTTGACAACCCGGCTAACGACCGGGCGTATCTTCTTCTCTCTAACGAAATCCATCATCTCCTTGAACTCCTTTCTAGAACCCATGGTGCTGCCCCTGAGCTCGACGTTCTTCATGAAAGCCTGTGCAATCCAATCCATCTTCGGCGCTAGAGTCATGCCGTATGATGAGATGATGCCCCCAGGTTTGATGATTCTGATAACTCTCTTCATGATATCACCCCCAGCGCCGTCAACGACGGCATCGAGGTACGGCCGATCCTCCGGGAGCATCTTCTGCAGCTGCTTCTCCCAGTCCGGAGCCTTGTATATCACACCGCCTTTAGCGCCCATCTTCTTTGCCTTCTCAAGCTTGGCCTCGTCCCCGGACGTCACAAACACATTGCACTCTTTGGCGACGGCGAATTGCAGTACTTGCAGAGCGACTCCACCGCCGATGCCTGTGATTAAAATGTTCCTCCCGGGCTCGGCATTGGCGCTCTTCGTGACAAGCGCTCGCCATCCCGTCAGTCCTACCAGCGGCAATGCAGCTCCCTCGGCAGGCGTCAAATGCTCAGGGGCAGGCTCGACCTCGTCTTCTGACACGACGATGTACTCCTGGGCCATGCCAAGATCGTAAGAGACAGTAGAGCCGAGGACAGCGTACTTCAACATGTCCTCTGGGCCTTCGGGACTGGATTCCCATCCTCGGCACGGAGTCAGGACCACTGGCTTATTCACCAAGTTGGTTTTGCAGTTTGGTCCTGCCTCCACGACCGTGCCGTAGCCATCGGCCAGCATGGGAGTGTCCCAAGAAATGCCTGGATACAAATGCTGCCTGATGAACAGGTCTCGATGGTTCAATGCAGCTGCATTGAGACGGATAAGAAGTTCATTGGGCCCAGGCGAGGCTGGCTTGGGGATCTCCTTGAGCACCAGGCTGTTGTAGGTCAGCGGAAGCCATCGATGATAGGGTAATGGGAGGGCACTACGAACGGATAATACACCTGACCGGGCTTGCCCCCCTCAATCTTCTTTAGTGCTAGAGCTTTTGGCATCTTGATTTTTGGTCAACGACCTAGTGAAGAGTCAAGATAAGAAGAATCCGACTATTAGATATATGTATGCCTTTCTGGTTGACCGTATAATGAAACAGCGCTTAATAAGCTGCTCGAAGCGGTACAAAGTAGAACCGCCAAACGGGTAGAGCGGGTGGAACGGGCTTCTTCCTTCACGTACCTATATGCAACAATACTTGATGGTTTTATATGCAGGTCTATGCATGTAAGTGCCTTGGTAGGTCTTGTTTACGGATGGGATGTAAAGGCAGTTCCAACGTTTGGATTCCCCGCTCATCCCCGCCCACTAACTACCCACGGCGCCAACAGCCTCGGTTGATGTCAATCCCACATCCTCCCCGGATGAACGGTCACCTACCCCACAGATTCCGGCGTGAGATGGCCCCCATGTGCTATTCGCACGTCGGCAGGAGCCCCGGGCTCAATAATCATGCCGGGTCCTGTCCGGGTGGATCCTTCGGAACCCCGTCCACCGCACTCACTCCTTTGACCACCCTTTCTGCACCATGGTCGAGTAGTACCTCTACTTTAGTATCTTGTGTGGTTCCGCGTGCAAATGATACATTGAAAGATTTATAAGCAGATGGACCTCACGGACCTCGGTTCACAAGGTGTGGAGTCAAAAAGTCCAGATACGGGTATATCTTCTCTTTCCTTACAACCTTCAAATCACCTAGCGGGAAGTGGCAACATGCTAATTCAAGATATCGAGTTCCATAGTTCGGCGAAGGTGGAAATGTGCGGAGCTGTAGATGTCCCGTGCGCCCATTACTCGCTTCTTTCAAATTCCTGCAGTTGTAGGTGCTGCTTCAGATCTCTGTTTTGCACAGCAAATTGTCGATGTGTGTTGTAAGGAAAGCCTGTAGAATTCAAACAGGCAGCATATAGTCAGGATAGTCAGATAAGAATCTAGTAGCACAAGCAGGAATAATTTCAGCAACAAACGATATATTATATTTAATGTACCCGGTACCTATGCTCCTTCAAGTGAAAGATCGAAAGCCAAAGCTGGGAAGACCACTTTGATGATGACTACCAAAGTGCTAAGTAGACATGGTTTTCGATTAGAGTAGCCAAGTGCTATTAGATGATGCTCTGACATATCGAAGTGATTCAGCTAGCTTGCAAGTATCCTAAATGAAAACCTTCGCTGCAATAGGGCATAAGCCCCAAAATGGCGTTTAAGAGATTGACTATTCACAGGGTAAAACGATTCTTAGACTTATTCAATACAGAAACTTGGATATAACGGCACCGAAGCCAAACGCCGCGCCGATAGTGATGAGACTTGACACAGACAGGAGAGAGATGCCGCTGATGCCATGTCCAGACGTGCAGCCGCCCGCGGCTCTCGCACCAACCGCCATCAGGACACCGCCAGCAAAAGCCTGGGCCGGGGGCACGATGAGAGAGACAGGGCTAATAAGCTCGGGATACCAATGCCCTAATGCCCATGAGCCGGCAACCATGCCAGCAGAGAACACCAGAGAACTAACTCCAGGGCGTGCACCCTTGCTGCTAAAACCCCATGTCACCCAATCACCGACCACCTCGAAACACGTCGACACGCCGATGAGGGTCTTCCGTAGCAACAATGACAACAGTTGGGCGGCACCGATGAGCAGACCACCGACCACAGGGGAGATTCTCGCCTCTGGGCCGGTAGAGGTATAAAGCACGGTGCCAGCAACGACGGAGGCGAAGGCAGTCTCGAATATCGCAAGAGTAGCGGCGTGACTGATGCCCAGTGCTTCATAAACACCCGTCTTCAGCTGGCTCTGAGGCTTCGGCCGCTTAGCGATCATGGGCCGAAGGAAAGTGACCCAGGCGATGCCTCCGGCAAGTGCGCCTCCTACCGCATAGTAGCCAGAGCGAATGCCGAGGGCGATCTGCGGGAAGACGGTCCCAGGACACGATCCGGCCAGCGCCATGCCGGCACCGAGAGTGAGTCCACCGATGATGTTGCCATCGTAGGCCGAAAAGAGGCCTACTGACGAGTAGCCTCGGGGTTTAGCTTGGAGGTAGCCAGTGTTCTGGAGCGCGGTGACAAGGACTCTGATGGGTTGTCAACAACTAAGGCTGCAGCAAAGGCGAAATGCAACTTACGCGCTGGCAGCTGTGGCAGTAAGGAAGGCTTGTATCATATGCCAGTTCTCGAAAGTCAACTGTGAGACAATGACTGAGGGTTGGTAGACGCCGGAAGCCGTCAATGCTGCGCCAAAGGCAGCACCTGTAACCAGGGCATCCATTTCGACAATTGGTACACAGAATGTTCAAGATGTATGAATGATCTCGAAATCTGAAAGCGGTTCCAACCTCAGATCAGAAAGATTAATGCAACGTCCACGGCGGGAACCCTCGATGGTAGATAGCGTTCAATGCGAATGACGACAACGCGACCACATCGCGGCACAGGTGTCTCTGCGACTCTTATAACAATAGGCGCCGATGCCAAATTCCCGCGCCACAGACTTCGCCGAACTTTAATGTCGACTCTGGAGACTACGCGGCGGCCAGACGGCGAGTAATGTACATAGTAGTGTGCAAGAACGTGAGCGAGTCGTGGGGAGGAAGGGAGGGACCCATTGAGGGCCCAGTTGCCCAGCTGGGTCTGCCCATGATTTCCACTACCTGGCTAATGATCTGCCTGGCATCTTGCGTGATCTGGGTTGTGGCGTTTTGGGGCCAGCCTTTCCTTCGTGGAGCAAATTGGCCAGCTAGTCCTGTTCTATGCTCTCTAGAATTGGATGTGGGAAGACAGTACGGCGACCATTTTGTATCGATTACTAACCCAGAATTCTTGGATAAGTGGCCGATATGTTTGCCGTGTCTCCCGAGACTACAAACACCTCAATCTGGGGCTCACAGCATGAAAGATTGGAGATTGCGATCGTCTTTTCAGCCTCTCCCGTTCGGCCACATAAGAGTCTCAGCCATTTACTGCAGGGGCGTTCCTGTACCGCATATTAAACCATTCCCAGGTCCCTGGGTTCTGGTGGCATTGAGTCGCCGACCTGTCGGGGACCTGGGGGTTTGCAGCGGGTCCAAGCTCTTCTTCGGTTGCCCATTCCGGAGGCTCCACACTCGGCCGGCAACCGAGATGCACCGGCAGCGGATGCAGTGACACCGTAAGCACGGTCAGATCCGGACTTTGAATCCTTCATCGATCCTCCCGGCAGCTCGGAACGCTAAGATCGAATTTGCTATTCCCGCCTATCAACAGTGTTCCCGGTGGTCATGCTGTACTTTCTTAGGCCGTCCATTTTGTATTCTTATAAATCTAGATAGTATGCTTGCTACATCAATGATGACTGATACTACCATTGATGAGGTACCTTGACATGATCGAGAAGCTGAGGCTTGGTCCCGTCGACCACTTAAAGAAAGCCAGGAGCAGAAGCAGGAGCAGGAGCATCTGAAGTCGGCGTCGCTGACTTCCGGGCTGTCACCTCAATCTCTATCTTCATGGCCTCCTCCATCAATCCCGCCTGAATCATCGTCGCTGCTGGCCGGACATCCCCCAACCATTTCTGCAACACCGGCCACGTTTTAGGGAAATCGTGGCGATCCGGGACGATATAGCGCACTCTGACAATATCCTTGATCTCGGCTCCGGCCTCTATGAGAGCTGCGGCAATGTTCTTCATGCACTGCTCAGCCTGTTCGGCCACATCGGGGGAAATGATGCCCGTCTTGTAGTCGTAGCTGTGGCAATACGCTTTGTTAAGCATTGTAATGAACTCATGTGTGGGTGATAGGAAAATACACACCCTGTGCACCCAGAAACAAAAACCCATTCTCCGCCAGAAATGACAGCACGAGAGTAGCCGATCTGACTTTCGAAGGCAGAGCCTGAACTGATAAGCTCTCGCGCGGCCATAGTCCCGATGTTGGCCAATTTATAGAGATTTTCCCTGTTACCTGCAGTAGCGACGACAGACAATTACAAGCCTGCAATTATAGCTGGTAGTGTCATTGTCTGATATCTTTGGTTCTGGTAGACCAAAACTATGACTCTTCAGTGATATGCTGGTTTAATCGCACTACTGCCTCGGCCCTATCACAGCTACGGTGGTAAAGATCAAAGGGCACCGACCCACCGGGTTCCACCTATTGCCGCTAATTGAAGTGTTCTCTAGCCAATCGCCCAGGATTACTTACATTTGCGGTCGCTTGCTGAATAGCGCTGAGATATACTTGCGAGATGCAGAGCATTATTTTCAGCCTATGCCGAGCAATCTGCCAAGTATGTCAGACTCACTCTTAATGGTTCAACACCCCTGAGCATTTCCAAGCTGAAGCCGTCGTAATGCGCGCCGTCGTTCGCGGCATCCGGGGGCCCCGAGAGGATTAGACGGACCATAATCCTTCACCGGACTGTATCGCTTGCGCAGCATGGCTTGAATTGACACCGTAAATGGCTTGTCGTATACTATTTAGCAAGGGGGGTTTTCAGCTGTGTCAAGGTTATTGCGACTTCTGCTGAAGCTATATCTAGCTTCCACAAGCCTACGAAGTTGCGTTGACATGTTGCTCTACCACCTTTGGTTACTTTGGTCAGTGTACATACCGAACAGGAAAATATATTCAAGAAGCACTTCGATCATCAACTGTCTTTCATCTATTATAATATCGAGTTCAAAAGATAACCCATATATGAGACAGTCTTGGGATTACACTTGATTCAACATCGTGTAGAATGGCCGCGAATACGCCCAAACCGGCTTACCCTCAAGCAGAGTGTTTAATTAATGCCGGCCTACAAGCTCAGGTTCTCCTGCCGACGGAGGCTGACTACATCGCTCGCGAGGAGTCGTACTGGTCCAACAGCGCCAAACTCAAGCCCGCGTGCATCGTTCGACCACGGTCCTCGCAGGAAGTGGCCGTGGCTGTCAAAGCGCTGGTTGCCGCTGGCCAGAAATTTGCTGTTCGCAGCGGTGGACACACCCAGTGGGCTGGCTCAAATAACATACAAGATGGTGTAACCATCGACATGAGCTTGCTGGACTCGACCATCTTTGACAGTGCCTCCGAGACTGTCAGCATTGGGCCAGGTGCGCGCTGGCGTCATGTGTATGATGAGCTACACAAGCATGGACGAGCTGTCGCAGGCGGCCGTGATGGTAACGTCGGCGTAGCTGGGCTGCTACTTGGCGGAGGGCTTACTTTCTTCAGCGCGCGAATGGGATTTGCGTGCGACAATGTCATCGAGTACGAGATTGTGCTCGCTGATGGAAGTATTACATATGCCGACAAAGAGCGCAATGGCGATCTCTTCGTCGCACTCAAGGGTGGATCCAATAACTTCGGCATTGTGACATCTTTCAAAATGAATGCCATTAAGTCCGACAAGATATGGGGCGGTGTGGCAATCCTCCCAAAGCAAGTGACTCCGCAGGCCGTCGATGCCTTTGTAGCCTTCACAGACAATGTTACCAATGACAACGACAGCAATTTGATCTGTTTCTTCACTCACTCGCCTAGACTCAAGGATATAGTCATCACCCCCTTCTACGCCAATATTGTAGGCATTGAGAAGCCACCCGCATACGATAAGTGGTTGTCCCTGCCGGAGATTGACAATAAAGCCAAGATGACAAGCATCTCTGAAATGGCCTCTGAGTATCATATATCTGCCGGATACTAGTGAGTATAGCACCACCTTGGATGACCTACCATCTGTTTATCATGAGATTAGAGATAGAAAGCTGACATCGTTTGTAAATAAGTGACACCTGTGCTACTTGCTGTTTCAAGAGTGATGCCTGCATCGTTGCCAAAGCGGTTGAACTACACACGCAGCTTGTTCAAGAACTAGCGGACTATATTCCAGATCGCGACTTCATCACACAATGTGTCTTTCAGCCGCTCCCCACGATCTTCGGACAAAGATCAGTCGAGGCAGGAGGGCGGAATGTTCTCGGCGTGGAGCGACAGCCGCATAATGGTATCATCTTTTCCCTCGTTGTTATGGTACGGACCTCTGAGCAGGAGGCTTTTGCATACCCCAAGGTCATAGCATTAGTTAATGCCGTAGTGGACTATGCTGCCACTGAGATCGAAGGCGGAGGGAATCTTGATTGGATATATCTCAATTATGCGGACAAGAGCCAAGATCCGCTGAGTACCTACGGCGCCAGTAACCTCAAGTTGATGAGGGAGGTTGCTGTCAAATATGATCCTAATCAGGTCTTCCAGAAATTGTGTCCTGGAGGCTTCAAAATTTCAGATGTCAAGAGCTGAACTTATGGAAAGGTTTCGTGCTGGCGAGCGAAGAGGCAAGTCTTGTCAATTGATGATCTCTGTAATCAGGCCAGAACACTGATTCCTCGGTTATGGCTGGTCTGATATTTGGTTATACAAGATCGAAACCTCCGTGTATTGTCTTTATGTCCGCCGTGAGTTCTTGTAGCTCCCACCCAGGCACAGAAAATATGACAGTTTGTGATATATATGAATTCCATGAAATTCATTAATGAAATTATGAATAGGTAAAGTCAATGGGCTATGTAGGTAGTCAAAACGATGTTTGGGGAAAAGGTCATCTAACAGGGATGCACTAATTTTCATCCTTTGGATATTATGAGTACGGTTTGTTTGTCAAGAGAATCGTGTTGTGGTCTAGTAGAATACATAGATATGTGAGTCTATCCTTGAAGTAAGAGCTAATTTAAGCGGGACTAGGCGAATAACGAATAAACGAATCACGAGTTGAGCCAAGTTAAAAACACTTGTAGATGCAACTGACAATCAACTTTCACCATATTTCGTTTCATCTTAGCACAAAGAAAAGTTTCCCAAAAAAATTTTGTTGGGGGGTCTGGGCTCAGCTGAGAAAGACGGCATAATATTCACAGAAAACGCCATGCTCATTTTGCTTGGAATACACGATCATTTTTGCCTAGAACGACAATTTACCCTCTGTTTGGCCCAGATCTGTCTGGAAGCGGACATATAAGACATCCATCGGAGGCTGGGGAATTTCTGCTTCTCTTAGCAATAGAGCTTTTCCATACGAGCCCTGACACAACTTCCTTGGCTCTATTTGCCATACTTTATCTCCGGCTGCCCATTTTCAACGTCGTTCGCATGTGGCATTGGCCCTGGGCAATCTTTGGATCGATGGCGCAAATTACTTAACCATCCATGCGAATTTTGCCCAACTTGATGACCATGTTTCTGTGCTTTAAGATTGAATTTGGCCTTTTTCTTTTCCATACTTCGACGCTCAGCAGTCTCACTACTCTTTTTCCGCTTCCGCTCCTCATGCATGATCTTAGCCTTCATGGCCTCAGCTGCGTCATCAATTTTTCGAGTCACGTCGTGGCTGAACTGTGTAACCCGCAACCAGACCATATAGATTGAGAACTTTGGCGAAGGAGCGTTGACAAGGAGCCAAGTGGTGGTGAACATGATTGGTGAGTAAACAATGGAGTTGAGAGGAAAGAACACTCGAACCCAGCGATTAAATGCAAGGACAATAGCCAGAAAAGCGATACTAAGGGATATAGCAACTATGCGTGTGTCAGTCATAGGATAAAATCACGATTTAGAGAGAACTGACAAATTAATTTTAGCTGGTAACCCATGGTCCATTTCATTTCATTCTGCATACTAAAAATCGCGGTCATAAAGGAGAGCGGCGCCTATATAATTGTTAGTGTTCCATTTTTCAAACAGTAAGTTACCACAGCCGTACAAAAATAATAGTGATGACTGTGAACATCATGATGGATTGTCCTTGTCTGGCCATTTCTTCGGCCTCTTTACCGGATTGCCAGGCTTGAAGGACTGATGCTTGCTGTTGTTTTAAAGCGAGAAGGTCTTTGATCTGATTGATTTCTCTTGTCAGCATTAACTCAGCCGTTAGAGACCAGCGGCACTGAAAGAAAAACATACACTATCTGATGTTGTCTGCGCGCCAGATCGAAGTTGTTCAAGCTCTTCGATATGCCCACTGAGCTTTCCCGTCATTTCATCCGCATGTCTCATAAATGCGTCATATATCTCTGGCTTCATCACGTGTGGTAGACGTGGAATTCCTGGCTTAGAGTGTCGCCGGGACTTCGCCATAGGAGTTCCTGTAGTAAATTCGGTCACCTGCTTATCCTCATCAACCGCACGCGTCGTCGCTCTCGGTCCGAACTCGCCATCCGGGTTGATAATCTCCTCAACTTGGGAAATGTAGTTCTTGAGTATCTCTTTCTGGTTACGAGTAATATAAAGCATAATATCAATTTCTTCGATGATGTCCTTGATTTCTCGGTGAAGTTTTCCTTCGTGGTTGATGTCGAGGAGGGCAACGTGTAAGTTGGCATGCGGTTTGATGTTGGACGTGTAGCATGATTTAGCAAGTTCAGTCCACAGCCAGAGTTGTTGTGATGCATCGGTATATTTGTTTGTCTGTTGAAAGTCAGCAACTCTGTTGGAACATGGATTACTTATAATCAGTTCAGATTCCGATTCTTACCAAGTCTGCAATTGCCTGTGCGAACTGGTCAATGACCTGAGGTTGTCTTGGGTCAGGGGGCTTTGTCCGGTCAAAAAAGACACCAGAGCACTCTTCTATGATAAGTAGACCTAGATCAAAGACGGAGCGAATCCGGTTCTTCGGGGCCGATTTCAGGCGCATTCGAATGGATTTGTGAACTCCAGATATATCGTGTTTGTTTGCACCATAGCGCCGGGGAAAGAAGGTGAGAATGGTGTTGGCATCAAGAATCCACATCCATAGTTGATCAACCATGACAAGTCTTGACACCTTGCGAATATTATCGCGGCAGTGATGACAGCCCTCGTCATTCCCCTCTTGCTCATCGTCTTGCCTTCTATGACCGTCCCACATTTTGATCTCGGGATTGTAGCTGTGGAAGCTTTGGCCCAGTGCCCTCGTCGCTCGATAGACAACCTGGTCCCGGTCACGAACTTCTGTCTCATCTAATGTCCAATAGTATGCCTGGTCCAGAGTTCGCCTGGGGTGAAGAGGAGGATCCTCATTCAAGTACTTCTGAATGAACATCTGGTCTCGATAATTCGACATGCATTCGTACAATGCTGCTGCATCCAAAAGGTATTTTCCAAGTTTATTTTTGATGATGTCTTTCGATTTCAAATATCCGAAGTCCTCTAATAATTCCTTCCATTTTTGCGACTTTTGGGCCAATGGCTGCTTCAATTCTTTAAACCACTCGGGTTTATGAAGACCTTCACGTAATTTCTTCCGTGCCTCTTTCCTCAACTTGTTCCCTGAAGAAAATTTCTTTTGATGATCTTTGCTGACTTGATTCATCCATTCCGCAAATTGGTGGCGTTTTCGATCTGTTTCCCAGTGAAGGTAGGGCATCTAAAAAACGCTCATCAGTTTCAAAATAGTATAGGCGGCCTGGTATTGAGTATATTTACAAAGAGGACGATATTGTCAGCTTCATCATCCTTCTCCGGGTCTATTCTTTATTAGTATTGCGTATCTGACTCTCCGATTCATCAAATGTTACATACTCGATGATACAGCTTTACACAGCGGTCTCAGATGCCGGGTATGGACTGGAGAGCCACGGCCTCCGCGTTCTTGTCCACGCCAGTATTGTGGACGAAGTATCATGTGAGACTGGCTTCTGCCTCCACTCTCTTCGAGATGATTCAAATTCAGAGGATTCTTGAAATAGCCGGCGATTGCTCTCTTTGGGCAATAGGATTAGTATAAGTCTCTCGCAGCACTGGCCATTTTGATCCTTTCCTTACCTCGACCCACTGGAGAATGTTAGCTTATACTCCAATTGAGAACAGATCCAGACGAGCCATACCTGCATGTTATTGGCTGGAAAGTGGAAGTAACGCAGCTCTCCGCTCGATTCTGCAGCCGCCAAGCTCACTGCATCGGGAGCGTCCACAACTTGCGATTGTTTCTGGGAAGACACTTCCAGAAGAGCGTTTAGTGGTACCCTTTGATCAGGGAAGTTACTTTTCAACTTGACTTTCGACGGCTGTAGTGTACCGTGATCATCCTGGTCCCACTGGATGATATATGCTTTGAGATCATTCTCCGGATCATAATCTTGCTCTTCAAGCTGTTTGATCTTATCGGTGTAGGAACGGTTGGGAGCAGGCAAATATGTCTTCGCGTCCGCTTTTAGATCCTCAATGACTTTCTCTATCTCAAAGTCCTCCAGTCTTTGCTTTCGTTGACTCCATTTGCCAACCTCAATTATGTCACCTTGTGCTGATGTCCTCCACACCTGCCGGCTTTCTTCGATGCGCCTAATCAAGTCCCCGTGTTTGGGAGAGACCTTCAAAGCTTTACGCAGTTTCTTGATTCTCACGAGTTCGTCAATACATGTGTCAATGCTGCGACACAGCTTTTCGTCGACCTTTTTCTCATATGTTTTGTCATCTGATTGAAAGGGCAAGACGCGTTTCTGCCGCTCAAGTTCATCTCTCCAGAGGCAGCCATCTTTGTTGAAAAAATGTTTCCGACGTCCAAATTCAATGCAACCAAGAAAGTGAGAGAGATAGTCGCTAATCTGGTGATTTTCGGAACTAAGGCATGTGGGTTCGTCACCACTGCTGGCCGTATTAATCGATGGGAAACAAGCTCTTTCGCCATTTGGTGAGGTTATTTGAGTCATTCTGCGGCGCAACGGGTTGTCGAAGAGATTGATTACAGGTTAGCTTTGTATTGTGAATAATTGTCAACTAGTTTCGAGGCGGTTTCCTTGACGAGGAAGGGATTGTACGGGGTATAACTGATTGTAGACTATGCTAAAATTATGTCAAAAGCTGTGGGGGCCGTTCCAGAGACATCATATAATGTAAGATGATCATCAAGTGGTTTGGGGGCTCAATTCCCCTCGGGCCAGACGAAGATGACTTCAGCCGCAGGAAGTGCGGTTTCCCCTATTCAAAGTTTCGTATAATGTATCTGTACTTACCAAATAACTAAGTAGTCAAGCTTGTCATTGAGAGCATGCGAGGCCTTCTTCAATAGACCTGATTCATCCTGTACAAGTACCATAGCCTCGTCCAATTTGAACAATCGCTTCGGCCGGAGAGGGGTTTGTTGCATCCCAGCCTGCATATGCACAATTGAATGATATTGCTATGGCAGATGATTGGATGAAATGCTGGCTATATACTGCAACAATCCACATTGTCATCCCAGCTGAACAAGCTAAAGACTCAATATGGATTATCGAGCCTCGACCGATAGGGCGTAGAACTCTCAGACCGGATGCATGCATTACAAATCAGCTAGCCAACCAGTAAGCGAGCCGCGAACTGCTGAAATGATCGTCACCAGCCACCCGCCTTTGCAGGACCAAGTATGGAGATGATTGCGTTTCTTCGTCCCCCCTTCATTCCTCCCGCAGAGCCTCCTGTTCAGTCTCTATGGTACCTTGTAGTGGCAACTCCCGAGAGCACAATGACTGATTGGTTGATTGGTATATCAGATGATCATGAAGAGCTTGGGCGGGAATGATAATACTGCCAGGCTATTTGAGTTAGCTACTTAGACAGCAGAATAATATAACAAACACATTCAATTGTCCGGGCATAAGTAGCTACTAGATGGATGGTGGAGGAACATAGAACCTTGAGCCTATATGTGCAGAAAGATGAAATCTGGCGGTTGAAATCTGGCTGTTCAGTCAAGGACCAATCAACACTAGAGTATGAAAGTAAGTTTAGTCATGAGGTTGAGTTGAAGCAGAGCTGGGTAGTAATCAAGAAATACCTATTACTGCTCTGCGCTGCCAAAGATAGTATGTAGCTCTGTTGAAGGATAGTTTTGAATACGACCACTTGAGACATGGAGCTAGGAGTGCTTTGTTATTACACACATTATGTCATATCACTTATAGAATCAGTTCACCTCAGTAGAATGCTCGTTCTCACCGCAACAAGGCCATCATAGTTCCCATATAATGTATTTCAGCTTTCTTCCTAGACCAGGCCTGCAGCACTCGATAATTCAATACCTAGACACTGGACCTGGTCGCTACCAGACTATTCGTACACAGCAGAGGGATTACTTCTAACCGCTCTTCATTTCGACGGCTTAGTTCGAAAGTCACTATCTTCTTGAGTCCTATTTCCTTAACCAGTTCAGATTAAAATCTGCCCCCTAGGGAATCAATCGCATCGCCCTAAATAAAACTCCCATAACGCATTGAGCAAATCACTTTACCACAACCCCCCTAACCAAGCATGGAATGCGTCCGGATTCCCTTGGGTCCCAGTTCGCTATAGCAAGGCATCATGTCAGCGTAGTTTAGAAATATGAGTGAGAGAGGTAAAGGGGGTACATACTTATAATCAATTCTGTTCAGGCTCATCATCCGCTGGCTCTCCAAGCCCTGCGCGTCCATGTTGTGAACGCAAAATGCCAACCGCGCTGCAACCTGCGCGCCGAGGAACATGGCCTCCTCGAAGCCATTCTTGGTCCACTCGCTGAGGTACGTTGGCAGCGGCGCCAGCTTGATCGACGTCGGGGTCTGGCTGTGGAAGTGGTGCGAGTGCGGCGCGTCACCTGCGTTCGAGCCCGCCGTCTGCAGGCCTAGTGATGCCGTTGTCGCGGCCTGTAGGAGGGGATTGACGGACGAAGAGGTAGGCAACTGATGGGGCGGGGCGGTGAAGCTGCCTGTTGGGGTCTGGGAGCCGGTACCTGAGGGCGTGGCGAGGTTGGAGGGGAGTTCTGAGGTGAACATCGTCGCCGTGCTAGGAGAGATGAGATGCCGCGCGTGCAGAGTCTGTATGATATTGTCTTTGAGTCCGCGAACTCGGCAGCCATTGCCGACGAAGACAAGATTCTCCCAGCACGACGGACGCATGTACATATCCTCGATTCCCTGCACCGCTCGGTAGATAGTTGTGACAATTCGATCAATCTCTGCTCTGTCCGCAAATGTGAATCGCTCAAGACCAATCTCAATATCCCGACGGATGCGCCTCGAAATTGGCTCTGAGGGCACAACAGCGGTTGAATCTGGAGGTGGAAGGAATGCATCGATTTTAACTGCATCTCCGTTGGACTGCTCCTTTGGCGGTTCGGCGGGCTCCTCAGCGGGCTTCTCCACCGGCTTCTCTTGTTCTTCAGCGCCCTCTTTTTTGGGCCCCTCCTCGGTCGTTGGTTGGGCATCGCCATCAGCTGGTGCGGCGGGTGGTGCTGCGTCGCTCATGTCCACCTCCTTAGGGGCACCATTCTGCTTCGGTGCCGGAACAGCAGCAGGAGCAGGAGCGGGCGCTGGAGCATCTTCTTGAACGATCTCCTCGTAGTGGAAGATGTTCTTGAGCCTCTTAGAGTTTGGTAACCTGACTGGCTTGTTTGCCGCAGCATCGGCCGCCTCCTGGCCCTTCCCTTTTTGTCTCGTCTTGGCCTTCTCTTGCTTTTCCTTTTCCTTCTTTGCCAAGAATTCCTTCGTCTGGCCGCTAGTGACGATACTAGCGACATCAAGCACACCGTCCTCATTGACACCCTTGGTCTCGCCATTAACATCGTCATCATCGTCCACCCCGGGAGCCGCCGGTTGGCGCGCCGGCTCTATGACTTTGGGCCCGTCCACCGTCGTCGCCGACGCCGCGGAGGCCGGGTTCGCAGGGGCCGCCGCCGCCACTGGCACCTGACTCGAGGCCGTCTCCTCGGGCAGCTCCATGAGGTGTGGGCTATCGGGCGCGTACGGCAGCACCTCGCAGATGTGGCTCCTCTTGAGCTGCTCGGCCATTTCGTACGAGAAGTCCTTGTCCTTCAGCAGCTGCTGCAGTTTCCGCGTGAACACCTCCCCGCCACTGATCGCCCGCGGGCCCTCCTGGCCGGGCTCGCCGCCGGGGTAGCCCAGGTCCTTGTGGCTGACGACGCGGCTGTCGTAGATACACGTGACGTCGACTTTCTCGAAGCCAATATCTACCACGGTCATGTTAGACCACTTCAGGCCGTACTGCGTGGCGATACCGCTGTGAATCAGGCATAGCGATGGGGTCTTTGTCTTCTCGAATATGTAGCGCGAGATGGTCTCGCAGTCAGGGCGCGTCCATTGCGGCGAGGCCATGAGCATGATGGGCGTGTTGTGGTAGGTGGTGGTTAGGGTGCCATGCACGTGGTCGAGGAAGGCTAGGAAGGCATCCATGTTGACGATGCGGCCGCCTGGGTTGAGTCAACGTTAGTAACGGTGCGGTGAGGTAGACGAGAGTGGACATGCAGCAATGCTGCAGCCCGATAGAGAGGGCGTTGCGTACCTTGGATGGGATAGACAGCTCCCTCGGTGGAGTCTGGGTCCTCGATATACTCATACTCCTCCTCCTCTTTCTTCGGCGCATCACCACCTGCCACCACCCCGTTCGCACTGCCATTGACCGCGGTCGCCTTCTTCCTCTTGTAGGTGTGGTACGGCTGCCAGTCGTCGCTGTCCTCGTCCTTGAACATGCGCGTGGGGAACCGGTAGGCGGGCGGCGTCAGCTCTCCGCAGCCCAGCTGTGCCATTGTTGTCTGGCTGCCGGGGCAGATGACGAGCACCTGCTCCTCCTTCCATTTTCCCGCCTGAGCAGACATTTTGAGTGTGGAGTTGTCGTGGCTGATGAGGGGGGGGACAACTTGGCTATTTTCTGAGCTTGCCCTGGCGTTTCGCGGCGCGACGAGCAGCAGTCTGAATAGCTGTCGCGAATTTTTTGGGGACGGCAGCAAAATGGTCCGTGCGCCTTACGTAATCACTCTTCCAGCCCCCTTGATTCACCTAGGGACTCCTTTGCTTGATTTGAAGAACCTGAACTATCTCATGCAGTTAACATACTGGTATCACAAGAAACAAGATGTATCGTGGATCATTAAGAGTCGTATAAATTTGAGCTCTTCATTAGAGCGTCTTGTCAGAACTAATATCCTGACAATCAGGACTCATCTACCGTAAGACTTGTCATTACTTCTGATATATGGAAATGATCCTTAAGCACCAAGAGGTATAGACCTCTCTCTTCCCTCAAGTTCTCGTCAATTTCTCCTTGGCTTGATCCAAAAGCGCCGGAGAAGGTAATCTTTATATACCAAAAGCTGGGTGTCCCCGCCAGCGCCAGATTCCGCGGCAGGTATCCCAGGTAAACCACAACACGTCCCAGCCAACGCCATCGAAAATATAATGCTTTGGTTTCCCTTGAAGTAGTGACGCCAGTAATGTTTCCCATCATGCGCGGTATGCGCCGCAAAAGGCCAGTTGGCCATCTATAAACATCCCGTAACGAAGGACCCAGCCGATACAAATCCCAGCCTGTGCCAAATTCAGACATACTCATGCAATTCTTTAGCGAAACCTTCAAGAGACAGGGATTGGAGGAACATCCTGGCTAGGCTCGATCTTTAGCCCGTCCTTTGTCTCCTTTTTCTCGTCATAAAGCGAGTGAGCATCATCGTCTTCTGCCTTTGGCGTTCGGGGCTCGTGGTCCTCCTCTCCTGAAGAAGTTCGATCGTGCGTCTGGAACGTAGATGGTGTACGGGGCACACTATCAATACTCAGACGGTTCTCCACTACCGTGGTATACACAGAAGATGAGTTTCTTTGATGGCCCTTCACCTCGAGCCTGTCCACCTTCTCAAGCTGTGCAACCGCCTCATCTAGTGGCGAGGTCTGGATAGCCTCCTCCTTCACAGAAGCTGCATCTTCGTCGGTCTTCAAACTTGACTGGAATGAGTTTCTGAGGGGGCTGCGGAGCGAAGACACGTCACCGAATTCGCTCTTGCTTGCTCGGGACGTGCGGGCCGGGCTTCGTGGAGGAAGCGGAGGAGGGATTCGTTTCGGGATGTTGACCAGGGCACCCTTGACTTGAATGACTTGTGTGACTTGAGACGATAAGATTGCAGCTCGCTGTGGCTGGGAAGCTGTGGCGACCTCAAAAATCACGGCCTCCTCATCATCGTTGTCATCCTCATCCTCGTCATCCGCGTCCTCGTCGCATTCATCATCCGAAAAAGTGCTTGACTCATCAGCAGCCTCATCTGCCTTTTTGCTCTCCTGGGGTGCCACAATTTCTTTCGCCTTTGGTGCCTCCTTCGGCTCCTCTTTCGGTGATGTAACGGAGTCAATTGAAGGCTCCACAATGTCAGGAACAGACTCCTGGCTCAAGTGCCTAATGGCGCTCATATCTATTTTGGTGTAGTCAATCTCTTCAGGTTCATTGACGATTGGCAATTTCTCAGCCAAAGAAAGTTCCTTGCCGTCATCGCTGCTACCCGGGCTCACATTGGTCTCTGGGGTGTCAGCCACATCGGTTTGCGTGCCAGCGTCTGTCATTCGGCTAGCTACCGTCTTGGTTGACATATAGCTGCCCCTGTTGCTACGTGAGAAGGCCGTATCCACGCTCTCGCGGTTGAATTTGTTGAACATGGGGCTTGTGGGAGCCGGGTTGTACTCGAACTGATTGCTGGTTGGTCTGTGTCTTGTGCCAGCCTCGCGGATTTCCAGGCCGGCCATCTCCAGGGCAATCACGCCAAAGGGATCGGGATCATCAGCATTCGGTAAGCCAAACGCAGGTGTCGCAGGTGTTGCGGGTGTTATTGTTGGCGTCTCAATCGTGGCATCTCCAGGAGCAGGTTGCAGAGCCAATTGCTGCAAAAGCGCCGCGTCGAAATCCGTCCTGCCCTCAGCTGCTTTGATAACTTCGTAAAGAGGCCTGATCTCGGGTATGTCCTTTCGAACATTGCCAGCCAGGATGTCAAGGACTGCTACGTTAGCGCCGTAGAACCGCTCATTCTCATTGCCACGCTCCGTAACGAGCGACCCATCGATATTAACGGTCCTGTGTTGGCCTTTTGCTTTTAGGTAAGTTAAGACGGTCTTCTCTAATTCTTTCCATCGAAGTTCGGTGTCTAGGAGGCCGGCAGTTGCCAAGGGTCCGACGGTGAGATTGACGTCAGCGCCCAATGTTACCCTGGGCCGGGTGAACAGCTCCAGCGCCGCAACGCTGTTAATGACGAGGACGCAGTCATAAATGTCGACCCCAATAACAAAAGCCAGTGCAGCGGTATGGAGGAGGAAACCAGAAGGTGGCGACCATGTGCCGTCAGCTTTCCTGGCAATGAGAATGCCCGAGCCACCCGAGCCTGACATCCAGAGGCCGGACCGCATGCACGAGAAGATGGCGAGGCCGACGGCATTTTGTATTATTTTGGGGGGAATGTTTTTGACAGACTGTTTCGGTGTATTCGGGAAAGTTGACTGCGTTGGACTCGTGGGTGCAGAGCCCTTGTCGTCCTGGACTAGGTAGCCATCACCTACACAGCGTATTAGTACAAGCCGCCAAATTGGCACAACGCAACAAGATGAGACATACTGCAAAAGGACTGCAGAATGCGAGCGGCCTTTTCGCATTCACGATCGAGGTTGGTAGGCCAGTAATGTTCTCGCCCGTAACGAGCAGGCGCGCTGACGCTGCTTGTGCTGAGGTGTTTGGGTGCGATCTTGCCTGCCCATCCCCAGACCTTTTCCAAGGGCGCGGGAGCCTTGGAGGTGTTACTGGGCGGCTTGGGGCGGTCCCACGAAGGGAGAAGTGAAGAGACGCGCTGCATGTTGACCGTGTCTGCTGCGATGGCTTGGCATGCGCCCTGCCATTAAGTTGAGATCATGCGAGACGCCGACACGGTGAGCAGACGGTGAGGCCAGAACAGGAGAGAAAAGAGAAGCGTTGAGCGGAAGGGATGGAGGTTTGTGAAGATTTTGGCAGCTTGGCCAGCCCTGACCAAGATTAACAAAGACGAGGCGACGGCGAAGGCGAGGACGGCCCTGGCATGTAAGGCAAGTAAGGTAAGGTCAGCCAACCGAAATCCAGGCTCACTCGCTCACTTGACTGGCAGGGACAGGGCGGGGAAGGGGAAAAAAGGCTGCACAAGCACTGCCAGCCAGCGAGTGGGCACACACTTCACCACTTCACACTGGGAATAGTAGCTGGGATTGGGCGTATGGTGACGTGGGCCACTAAGCTGGACAGGCCTGACCCAAGCAGAATAAGTGGGATCTCGTGGCTGGACTTCCGGGGGCCACGAGCAGGCTTTTGCTTTTACTGCGAGAAAAAAAATAACAGTCGCTTTATGGACCCCCGGGGCCGACTAGGGGCCACCGGGCTTGTCATTCAACTCGGGAAACGTGCATTGCGCTACTCTTTGACTTTCTCGTACTACGCTGCTCTACGTACGGACTGCGTTAGTATCGCCAGCCCTTCCAAGTCTTGCCAGTCTCTTCTCACCACCAGCTGCGGCCGCTCTTTGCTACGCTGGGTCAAGCGCCGTCTGCATACTGCATTCACTCGTCGTATGGACCACCGGTGCCGACAGGCTGCATGGTGCTGTGGCCCGAGCAACACCCCACCTGATACTGTACCCATGCTCCATGCTCCATGCTCCATGCTCCATGCTCCATGATGCCTGATGATGATGGGAGCTTGTGAGCGAACCGCATGCCGAGGATGGCTGAACGAACGAACGAACGCACGAGCGATAGTCGCGGGGCCTACACTCTAGGTGGCAGACTTTGGCTCCTGATCGAGCTGTGCTGTCCAGAGAGGGCACAACGTGCATCAGTGTGGGTAGCATTCGGGTTTGGCTACTGTCAAGTGCAGCGCTGTGTACCTGATTATTGATTAACCAGCCCTCTCGGCTACGGCAAATGCCCAGCTACGCGCGCTCGTATATTGACTTGACCGCAACGGTATTGCGTCGCAGTGCAGGCAAGTGCAGCAAAAGAGCCTGGTGGAGGGCACTCAATCTAATTGACGAGCATGCCATGAGATCAGTCGCCCTATGCTATGCTCCAACAGTAGCATATTTACAGCAGCAGAGTCCAAGCATCCATTCACACGCCAAGTTAGCCCCCGGGTGCCCCCTCTCTATTGTCTCACGTTTTATCGAAAAAGAAAAGTCAAATCCCGCTTGTTGTGTGGATTTAAAAGGGTAGCTTGACTCGGCCGCATTCCTGCCACGGAGCCTCTCAGCTCACCTATGCGCGGCCGGATTGGATATTTTGTTGTGATAGAATGCAATGGAGCAGTCTAATAGTCCCTGAGGGCATCTAATAAGACCTCCTTATCACAAACTTTGATCATCTCATCTCCTTCCCTTCTGTCCAACATCTCATCCGAATCATGCAGCAAGGAGGGCACACCTCAAGATGCTAGCCCCCGAAATGATCATCAAGCACCCCAAATTGGAAGTAAATCTCTCCTTTCGTCGTCGCCAGCTGCAAGTCCGGCCGACCGAACGAAAAGCACTCATTCAGCTTGAATTAAGACCCCCAAAACCCTCAGCTTGCAAAGGCTAGCCCGTCTTACGCAAACCACGCACTCCTGACTCAGACCACCACACACGCACTGCGTTCCTTAACGCCCATACAGTAACGCCCTCCACGCCCTCTTAGTCAGGGCCACGAAGCCAGACAGGCTACGGGATAGCGTACCATTCTTCACTCTTTGCAGGAACAGCGAATCTCGAAACCGCCGGCGTGAACTGTGAAGGCGTTTTCCTTTCCGTTGGTGTATCTCTGGAATGGAGCCACGTGCATTGCGAGACTTTCGAGTGGAAGCCGCAGAATGACTGTTTGACTTCAACGCACATGCCATGATGCTACCTATATGCCGCCAATTTAACTGCTTCACGGTATTCAAACCGAGTGGCACCAACCCGCGGGCACCTGCTCACCTTTTGCCGTGCGATCGTTCATGTTCATGCACGCACGCATCAAGCAAGCAATCAAGCAGGCCAAGCGCCATACCTTACGATGGGCGAGCCAGCCTCCACCATCCCACACGCGTGTGCACACATGCTAACAAGCTCCGGTCCGCCCATGATTATGGACCTACTATGTAGACTAGAGCCCAGACTGCGCTCCACGGACACGACCGGGGGCTCCCCTTGTTGTGCGGCCTCCTCTGCCGGTCCACACCCGGCCCCTCTGTGGAGGGGTGGCTCAGCAGCCTGCTCCAGCCCTGCTACCCTCCCGAAATGTCGTCATTCCCATTCATGCTGGAAAGGAGGTGCCCAGTGCCCGGGACCATTTCTTGATCAGATCTGGACAAAACAAGCTTCTATCCCAATTGGAGCAGTCAATCAAACAAGATACCACTGAGGATCGCAATCATCAAGATGCTAATCATAGACCCCCTTCCACAAGTCTCATCTTTCGTCATGTCTCTGAATACACACGGGAAGCACTGGCCATGTCGCTAATCTGGGGGTGGCCCCAGATCGTGGTGTTACAGCCGCCAGGCGCAGCCAAACCTGCAATCTCGCCAATTCCTCTGGGTATCCTCATGGGCCGTATCAGATATACAGCAGTCAGGTACGGAGTCAGAAAAGGGGTTCTTTGTGAGAAACACGAGGCATCCGTTTGTCGACGGGGAAACCCAGGCCGCGAAACATCGTCAAAACAGTTTTCTAAATTGCCAATCAACGGCCGCAGGATAACCTTCAGAAGCCGTCAGGAGAGGCAAACAAGGAGCTGGCATGTTCCGTCCCGTTCTTCACTCCTGTGTCCGCTTGGGATTTGGACATAACACCTTTACCTCAATCACAATTCTAGGTGTCGATTTTAGTTTCGAGTGGAGGTGTTGCCAATCATGTCTATTGCTCAGTGCCTCCGTACGATTCAGTAATAACGCCTATCGTTACACGATTACAAGTACACGCCTTTTCCAGTCCTTTCGTTGCATCGTTTCATAACCCATTAAAGCTGCCAACTTCCCCCGCTCGCCATCATAGCGTAGTCCGATATCTGAAGTGTCTCCATCGTCCGAGGCGAGATGTTCGGTGTGATGCGGCGCACCGGCTCGTCATTTAAGAGTCCTTCTTAAGGCTGCCGAAGGAACCCAGTCCAGCCTTGACGTCGTCGGCCTGCTGGTTGCCCGTAAGTTGAGCTTTGTAGACGAAAAGGTCAGTAACAGACTTCTCCTACCATGCAGGCATATTCATCAGGGAAGCCGGGGGCGGCGGGTGAAACTTACAGTCGACGAAGTCTTCGCCGCGCTTCAGGCCCTCGGCCTCCATCTTCTTCTCCTCGGCCTTGGCCTTGGCCTTGAACATGTACTCGCCGATCTTCTCGATCACGGGGTCGAGGTAGCCCTGGTCGTAGGCGAACCAGCCGGCCACCATGACGGCGATGATGGTGATGAGCGAGATGAGGACTTGGTAGGTGGTCTCCATTGTGAATAGTCTGAATTCCAGACAGCTAGTCTTGATAGGTATAGGTAAGGTCGATGAACAGGTATTTTATAGGTGACTGAGATGCTGCACGTGTCTCAGGGAGTTGAAAGTGCAAATCAATTGAATAGAAAGACAAGAGGCTCTAGACAGGAATGATCGGTTTCCTTCGTTCGAGGCTCCCTTATATCCCCCCCATCTGGGGGACTCTTCAGCTCGTGTGTGAGGCAGGCTCGATCCGCAGTGACGTCCCATCAGAGGCGCTTGTGGCTTGTGTTGGACGTCAGTTCGCCACCACCCACAAAAGCACCCCCTCTCTTTCGAGCAGGTTTTGGACCGGCCACACATATGCAAGACGGCTTCATCGACAGGCTTATATGGTCGCACCCACCTCGATGGTGCATATTGTTAGGATCATCAGGCACGATTTCAGCTGGGCTAGACGCACGGAAACAGGGAGTTAGGTGGCTCAAAAATCTCGCAGACCGTTGGACAGATGGAGAAAGAACCGATGGTATTTCCTTGGCAGGTTTATTACCTGAACTCCTTTGCCGAAGCTGCTCTATAAAATGATATAGTTGGGTAGTTGTTTTTAGCCTGCTGTGAGCAGAGAAAGCCTTTCTAGAACACAAACGACCTGTGCCGCGCCATGGTGATCTAGTTTACAATCTATAAGTAAGGAAGCCAAAAAAAAAAAAGAAGAAAAAACCCAGATTTCCCCCCTGGTACCCCTCGAATCTTGAAAAAGAAGTTTGGCGCACAATCAGCCAACCGAGTTCATAAACATCATTCGTGTAACCTTACGGTGTCGACGGTGCCGATGGCATCGAGGCAGGAGTCGATGTCCCGGACGAGACCATCCCTGGGTATTTCCCTCCCTTAAGCAAGAAGTTCTCGAATTCGGAACCGTCAATCGTCTTTAATTGTTTCCAAGGGCGCCGCTGGCCGCTTATATCATTCCAATCATCATCCGTCACAGCATGGAAGCTGTAGGTCTCATAACCCCTGGACTCGACGGAGCCGCACTCGAAGTCGCCTTCCAGATGGAGTCGCTCTAGTTTCGGTAGCCGTGGCCGGAGTGAAGTGAAGAGCTTTCTGAAAGTCCCCCGGCATAGGTGAATACCGCCTAGACTACCTTCATATGCTTTTGCAAGGCCCCGGCCACCAAGTCGCAGACGCTGCAGGGTTGAGCCGTGCCTGGACAGGAACTCCCTCAGGTCATCCTCATCGCATGACATTCCTTCCAATTTCAGGTCCGTCAACTTCTCGAATGTGAAATCCTCAACTAGAGTGTTGAACCACAGTATGAACTTGGACCGCGGAGATCCATAAACGTGAAAAGCAAGAGAGAGATGCGTGAGATTGGGCGAAAAGCGCAGGATATGACCCAAGCCTTTGACGGCCCGGAACCTTGAGGCGGGAAAGAGGATGCTGGAAGGGTCGATGGTCAGATCGAGCTTAGAGAGCCCTGCGAAGGAGTTGTGTCCGCAGTCAAACCAATGCCTGCGGTCGTTAGGTAGTTTGAGTATCTCTAACGGAAAGCGATCAACGGTGAGAGCAGCCAGCTGAGTGGACTGGACCGCGGAGATGATGACGTTCAGGTTCTTCAATGCCTGCGCGCGGTCCATCTTCCTGCAGTTGGGCAAGCCCTTGAAGACCTGCTCGAGAACTTCGATATCAAAGGGGCATTTTGTGAAGGTGACCTCGAGTTCCCTGAGATTGGGCAGTTGCTTGAAAGCTTCTCGTACCATGGAGGACCTGCTGTCAAAGGAGGGCATGCTCTTTCGGCGCTGTTCCGCATCGTAATATTGTAGCCATGCATCCTGCAGGACCTCGTTCCGCTCCTCCGGGTCCTGGAGGTAGTGCTGGAAGTACGACGCATGGCGGGCATTGTATTCGTCGACTTCGGCGAAATTGACGGTCACGGACTCGATACTGCCCTTGAGGCGGTCGTGGGTTGCGATCGAGTGCAGCCGCGTGATGTCGTCTCTCCATGGCACGGCCGTGAAGGATGGAGGGAGCAGGAACTCGTAGCCCACTTCGGCGAGAGTACCAGACACCAGTCGGAGGTTCCTAACGCTGAGCTCATCACAATACTGGTAGACGAGCCTCACGAGCTCTACGGGTAGGGAATCCATCTTGCACAGATTAACATGACAGCGTCCGCTTCACGCCCAAGGACGCACCAACGAGACGATATAAGACGGGAGAAGGAGAAGGAGGAGGAAGAAATTTGCAGGGCGGAATGACTCCATATGAATATGGATTATGGACGGGAAAGAAAAGTCAATAAAGAAAGGACAGTCGGTGGTCGTTGGGGGATGGATGGATGACATGAGATCCCTGGGGATCGGAACGCATGGGACTTTGCTTTTACTTTTGCTTCTGCGTTAAGCCCTAAAGAAAATGTAGGTGAGCGGTAGGCGAGCCACCGGGACTCTTAGCGCAGTTGAGCGCAGGGTCTGTAACGGAGCTAGAAGACGAAGAAGAAGAGCGCCTGACGCCGGGAGTCTCTAATGACTGTACTTGGTTACCTTAACTTACTTTGGGTCTCTGGGTGTGAATTTCAAGAAGTCGGTGAGCGTGAGACAGGGTCCCGGCGCGCGTTGAGTCTCTGCGTCAACCAAGCACCAACGTTACCAAACACCAAACCCTGGTCGCCCTGGGCCACGTTTCCAAGCTACGGGACCGGCACGATGGCGAGTGGTCCCGTGTAAGTCACTTGTGGGCTGTTGTTGAGTTACCCATGCCCAGTAACCTCATGGGTCCGTGAATATGCCGGCTCTGTGCAGCAATAGCGACACTGGAACAGAAACAGAGAAGCCCTGGTCAAGAGACCACGCCGCTCAAAGTTCATGCAAGCCAACGCCAGGTACAAGCCGACCCCGGCACGGCCAGGTAGCTGGTAAGCCTGCCTCACTGCTACCAAGCTAACATTAACGGCACAAATCTCGAAATGGCGGTGTTGGCAGTTGAGGAGACGGGCAAGGGGGTGGGTAAAAGGTGCCGGGAACAGGGAAGCTGGGGCTGTTGGGTCGCTCAACTCCCTCCTTGTGCCCCTTGGCGCTGTCTGGTCCAGGCTAAAACGAGCACTCGGCACTGGCATCCATGAAGCTTTACTGCTCGCCTGTTGCTCCTTCGGGCCTACTGCCATCACGAAAGAGCACAACTGCATAGAACCAACAGGCGGGATGGAGGGTAGAGCAGACTGAGAAGAGGGCATTTCGGGCAATGGAAAGGCGGGACCCTATCTCAAAGCGGGGGCGGGGCTGGCACTTCAATCTTTGGCCCCCCGCCTGTTAGTGCTGGAACTCGCCCGTCAGGTCAACAGGACCCATGCCTCATGTCACTCAAGGCTGGTCTGCTCATCCAGCCAGCACACACACACACACGCACAAGCTTACCTTGCCTTGTTCACACGCCTATCAAGCAGAAATCTACAGCTGACGACAGCGGACAAGACGAATGGATGGGAAGTCGACGAAGGATCCCACATGCTGACGAGATGCTGTGTGACGGAAATGCTTATCGAGGCCTTGTTTCGCATTCCAGCCTAGTTGTGCTCGGGTTCCGGTGTCTCGACACGATATTCGACTGAGGGTCGTGGTTATATAATTACGGTCTACTGATTCTCCATCTGCCTAGGGTTACTCTTTAAGATCAGTGGCTGAGACAGCAGGGACAGAGTTTTACCAAACGCTGTCTGAGCTCTCCAACGGCGTCCCAACAGTCAGGTAACTTGGTTTCGATCAACGAGTGAGCCATCAGATTATTGGACGAGAGCCTGCTTCCTCACCGACAAAGTCTATTGGGGAGTGACTCCAGTGTCTTGGCTCAACACCGCAACTCCAAGTCCTTGACTAACAGCCCGCGTGTGCGTTAGCAAAGCAGCACAGGCACAAGGCCAGCACAACGTGGGTCCTCGTCCCGACACATTGATTCATTGCAACGGGCTGCCCTACAGCTGCTACTACGCAGTAGACCACAGCAAACAGTCTGGCAAACGGCAGTGCTACCGTCCCAGAAGATCTCATGGCCGCATCATTGGTCCGGTTCGTCGACCCTCCCGAGCTGGGAAAGACAAACCCCGTCTATTCGGCCCTCACCATCGTGCCCATAGGCGACAGCGACCTCGTTACCATCTCGGGCCAGGTTGCGGTTGCACCCAGCGGTGAGGTCCCCGATACGTTTGAGGAGCAGCTCGAAGTCTGCCTCTCCCGATTCGAGACGTGCCTAGCCGCTGCAGGAGCCACGGTGCACGATCTGATCCGGTTCAACTACGGCATCGTCGAACACGAGGAGGGCACAACGCCGAGTCTCATCATCAAGCGGGTGGCCGAGTTCCTCCAGGGCCATAAGCCCGCCAGCACCTACTATGTAGTCCGGTCGCTGAGCAAGGCCGAGTATAAGCTCGAGTTTGACGGGATGGCGGTTGTCAAGCGCCGATGACGGACGAGTTTTGACTCGGATGGTATTTGGAGAGTGAGATCACGAACGAGGAACAGCCAATGCCTAGCCTTCCTCGCCTGATGGGCAGTGCCCTCTCTTACGAGAGACTGTCTCTGCGCGAGCTTGGGAACAGGCGTGTAACGTAAGGTATGCAGATGCAGAATGCGTGATGCAAACATGATCATTCGTACTCGACAAGAAAGTCAGATTCCTATGACTAACTAGCACAAGAGCAGATTGCTCTACCTACCCAATGTTGTCGCCAACTTACTTGACTCTAATTATTGCACTTGTCGGTGTTTTCCCACGGCACGGCTAACAAATTGCCTACTGCTGATTATTCCCCGGTGTCAGATGTGGTGGGGCAGTGAGCCGGCCGCCGCGGGTCCCCGCCAAGACCAGGGTCTCGACTTTAATAATTACGGCTTAGCAGGCAAGAAGCCAGTGCTTGCCCCCTGCCTGTCTGTATCTTCAACCCATTCTGACCACCCTCTTGCATGTGAAGTCAGTCCCTCTGGGCAGCAAACAAAATATCTGGTGAGGTTTGGCTCGAATATATCGCGAGAGTCACGCGTCTTGCATCTGGTCCCCCATGTGCAAGGTCCTACCAATATCGTCAGTCACCGTGCTTGCCTTTCAGAGACGAGAATGACCTCGCCCGGCGCGAGCAACACGACAAGATGGTCTTCTCTGGGCTACTCGGCACCTCGAGCGATCGTGCCAGCAGGGTGAAGTCCCCGTCACCAGCTCCAAGCAACAGGACTGCCCGAAGCAACTCCTCGTCCATCCATGAGCCTGTCCTCGAGTACATTTCCGACGAAGCCCATCTCCCTCTCCCGGATCCCGAGGAGCCAGATCTACGCGAGCTCAACAATAGTCTTGAGGCGTTGGCCGCCGTCTTTCCCGATGTGCAGGTCGAGGTGTTCCGAGAGATGCTCGCCAGCTTCGACGGCGAGTCGAGGCTCGCTGTTGTCGCCGACGCACTGCTGAAGAACCGTGTCACTTGGGTCAAAGGTCGCTGGAGGGTCGCAGAGAAGGCAAAAGAGGATGCAGCTCGTGCAACCTCTGTAGTCATCTCGCAGTCGACAGATCAGCGCCTGGTATCGCGGACCGACGCGTTTCGGAGTTGCGAGTACAAGAAGGCTGCAAAGACGCTGGCGTGGCACGAGTTCAGGGGTCTTACTCGATCTACAATCAACGCGGTCCTAGCCGAACACAACTATTCTTACCTTGAAGCACGGCGCACCCTCGTTGATCTTTCCTCGAAGTCTTGGCGGTTCACGATATCATCGCTGTTCCTCAGGCGTAAGCCTGTCACATCGAAGGAGGCGGAGAACCACCCTTTGGTGACATGGAGGTCGTCTGGGCAAGGCTCCATCTACCCTTCGATCAGGTCAACCGGAAACGCGGAATTGGATAGGGAACTTTTCAACGAACTCATTCTCCCTTTGCAAGAAAGAGCGAGGATAACACAGGAGGAGAAGGACCATACCTTGGCGATGACGATGAACACGGCTGAAGCAGAGGAATTCGATTTCACATACGAATGCTCCTGCTGCTTCACGACTTCAACGTTCGAGGAGTTCACAACATGCAATAGTGAGGGGCACATGATTTGCTTCCGTTGCGTACAGCACTCCATTACCGAGGCAGTCTTTGGCCAAGGCTGGCACCGAAGCATCGACAAGGAGAGCGGCACCCTCAGATGCCCAGCCGTTGCATCTGAAGAGTGCAAAGGCTGCATTCCGTCTGACCACATTCATCGTGCAATGCTGGAAGAGAAAAGAGGAGCCGAAATTCTTCATAAGCTTGACCAGCGCTTGGCGGAGCACAGCCTGCTCTCCTCCAATCTACCCCTGGTCCGCTGCCCGTTCTGTGACTACGCTGAAGTTGATGATATCTACCTCCCATCTGCAGAATCCCGTCTGCGAGTCCGTGCAGACAATCTTCCGAATATCGTCCTCACGATACTCTTCATCGGCTGCATTCCCTTCATACTCCCTTTTATTGTCTTTTCATCAATCGTCGCCCTTCTCTTGGCCTCCAAACAGACACTAGGTGACTTCCTAATTGCCGAGTTCAAGGCCTCGATTACCCGACATCGACGGCGCCGTCGAGGCATGAAATTCACGTGCCAATCGCCGTCTTGCCGGCGCCCTTCCTGCCTCTCCTGCCAGAAGGCGTGGACTGACATCCACGTGTGTCACGAGTCGTCGCTCGTGGCGCTGCGCACGCAGGTCGAGCAAGCCATGAGCTTAGCCATCAAGCGAGTGTGCCCGCGCTGCAATACCAGTTTCGTCAAAACGGCCGGCTGCAACAAGCTGACGTGCCCCTGCGGCTACAAGATGTGCTACGTGTGTCGCAAGGACATTGGCGGCACCGGCGACGGCGACGATGTCGGCTACCGCCACTTCTGCGACCACTTCCGCCCGGAGGGCGACCCGCGCCCCTGCACCCAGTGCAAGAAGTGCAACCTGTGGGAGAGCGAGAACACAGACGCCGTGCTGCGCCAGGCCAAGGAGGAGGCCGAGCGCAAGTGGCGTGAGATGGAGCGCCGCGAGCTCAGCGGCGCCGAGCGCGCGTTCCTCGAGACCGGCGTTGCCGTGCAGAAGCGCGACATGGGCATCGAGACGGCGCTGTACCGGGGCAGGCTGCCCAGCGTGGCGGACGTCTGTGACTTTGTGGTGGAGAACGTCTTTGCGTAGTCTGTACACATGACACAATCATACGAAATAGTATTATCACTTTGTAATAACCTGGATTATGGGAAAGGAAGGGAAGGAGGTCAAGGGGGCCAGATATGGTCAAGGGGTTCGTTTATCCACTTTGCATTGGTTTGGCGTCTGCTACGGAAGTGTCAAGGCACTTCATGTCTACTACTATTATCATATACCCTGCTTAGCATCACTTTATGAAGGAAACAAGAGATGCTAGATGCTTATTGCTTGATAGAGCCTCTTTTAATAAATGTATGATACACTAGATGGAAGTACCCATACCAAGTCTTGCAAATGATCATGTGAATCCAATCCAACCTAGTATCTTTACAGTGACCCATCTTCCTCATACCTTTGGACAGTAGTCTTGGGTTTAGATCTTGCTTCCCTTACCACCGTCAACCAGCTCGGCAGCCGCGCCGCCAATGGCCAGCTTGCCCGTCTCCTTGACCTTGGTCTGGAAGATGACCTTGCCGCCCTCCTTCCACATCTCCGTCACCAGCGTCTGGCCCGGCAGCACCGAGCCGGCGAAGCGCACCTTGACGTTCTTGAAGGGGCCAAAGCGCTCGTAGACGGCCTTGCCCGCGATGCCGAAGAAGCACAGGCCGTGCAGGATGGGCACCTTGAAGCCGCCCATCTTGGCGAACGCCGGGTCCACGTGCAGCGGGTTGTAGTCGCCGCTGAGGCGGTAGATGCACGCCTGCTCCTCGGTCGTCGCCTCCTCGACGACCACGTCGGGCGCGCGCGCCGGCGGCTTGTTGGCCGCCGTGCTCGCGCCGCGGTCCGCGGGCTTCTTCTGGCCCCCGAAGCCGCCGCAGCCCCGCAGGAACACGGTCGACTCGTTGTAGAAGAGCTCCTCCTTGGTCTCGGCATGGACAGTCGTCACGCCCGACTTGACGAGCGCGGCGTTGCCCTTGTCGACGACCTCGATCAGCTTGGCGTAGCTGAGTGTCTTGGCCGCGGTTGGGACGGGGTACTTCCTGACCTCGAGGTACTGCTCACCGTGCAGCAGCATCATGGGGCTGAAATTGGGAACGAGGTCATCCAGGTTAAAGGGGGTTTCGGCATCGAATGGCGGGATGACACCATACGTCGGGATCACTTGGAAGTCCTCAGCACCCTCAAAGACATACTTCAGGTCACTGCGCTTCGCGCCAATGCCTAGGTTGTAAAGCATTGCATCACGTTCTGTCCACGAGAACCCAGTTCCCTTGGACTCGGCCTTTAGGGCGGTTTGGATGGCGTCGAGGTACTGGTTGCTCTCGGAGTCACTCTGGAGAACACAGTCTTGTTAACAATGCTTTATGAGTCTACACTAAAACTACATGGTGCACATTGTGACATATGATCGGGAAGATACCGCTCAAACAGAGAAAGTTCATACCTTGGACTTTCCACCGGACTTGTTTTCCATGTTAGACATGATCTTCTGCAGGCTCTCCTGGATCTTCTCGGGGTGGTCCGCCCGGTCGTCAAAGGTGACAATCTCGTTCCAGTGCTTGAGGACCTCTTCCGGTGTTAGGGTCACATCGACGGGGAAGCCATAGCCTCCGGACCGCTGCCACCTCGTCGCACCAACCCAGCCGCTGCCGACTTCGTAAAGAGCACCAGTAGGGTTCTCAGGAACCTTGTCACTGGACAGAGCCAGGACGAGAGGAGCAATGTAGTCGGGCTTGAAAGCCTGAACCATCTCCTCGGGCAGAATAGTCCTTGTCATGGCAGTACCGGCATTCGGTGCGATGGTATTGACGTAGATGTTGTATTTGTAACCCTCGATAGCTAGTGCTCTTGAGAAGCCGAGAATGGCGCATTTCTAAAACACAGTTAGTTTAAATCAACTAAACTTGGGTTTAAGGCACTGACCGCCGCGGAGTAGTTGGCTTGACCGAAGTTTCCGTAGATACCGCTGGTTGAGGTGGTGTTGACAACACGGCCGTACTTCTGCTTGAGGAAGTAAGGCCAGGCCGCCTTAGTCACCTTGTAGGTACCACGAGCATGAACGTTCATGACAGGGTCCCATAGGTTGTCATCCATATTTGTGAAGGCCTTGTCGCGCAGAATGCCGGCGTTGTTGATAACGATATCAATTCGCCCAAATGCGTCTATCGCTGCCTTTACGACAGCGTCTCCGTCTTCGGCAGAGGCCTTAACACCCACTGCCTTGCCGCCCATCTTCTTGATCTCATTAACGACATCGTCGGGATTTGCGAGATCATTGACAACGACCGATGCGCCGTGCTTGGCAAATGCCAAGGAATAGGCCCGTCCAATACTGAGGTATAGTTAGTTCAGATTCTTGATCTGATGAAAAGAACACTTACCCAGCGCCACCTCCAGTGACAAGAGCGACACGGCCAGTGAAATCCACCTTTTCTCCTTGAGGACTAGGGCCCATCTTCATTGACTCCTCGAGCAATGACATAAAGTCGTTCGGACCGGATGGATACTGCGGCTTGGAGAAGTCTGTGATCTGCTTCCACTGCTTCAGGACGGCACTGGGGGTATAGCTGTCGTCGGCCTTCAGAAGCTGTCCTCCTGACCGCTCCCATCTCAGTTTTGTGACGGCGCCACCACCGACCTCGAAGATCGATCCGGTCTCCTTGGTGTTGTCCTTATGCACCAGGACGGCAACCAGCGGCACAACCCACTCAGGCTTCATCAGGGCAAGCACATCTGGGGGCATGACTGTCTCGGTCATGCGGCTGGCGGCTACGGGAGCAATGACATTGGCGAGAATGTTGTACTTGATACCCTCCTTGGCCAAGGTCTCGGTGAAGCCCACCATAGCCAGCTTAGCGGCTACTTCTTGTTAGTATATGTTTGTGGTCGACCTTGAGCTACGATGCTTACCAGAGTAGTTGGCCTGGCCAAAGTTGCCGTACAGACCAGCAGCCGACGCCGTATTAATAACGCGGCCGTACTTTTGTTTCCTGAAATGGGGCCAAGCAGCTCTAGCACACTTGTAGGCACCCTTGACGTGGACCTTGAAGATGAGGTCCCAGTCCTCATCCTTCATATTCTTGAAGCTGATATCCCGCAGAATACCGGCATTGTTGATCAGGATGTCGATGCGGCCGAAGGCCTTGATGGCGGTTTCGATGATCTTGTCGCCGTTCTCGACCGAATCGTAGTTGGCAACGGCCTTGCCGCCGGCTTTCTTGATCTCGTCGACCACAACATCGGCAGCCTGTGTTGCCGTCAGCGCCCGGATCTTGAGCTGGTGTGGGGGCAATCTTTTCTTACCTTTGCGGACTTGCCCTCTCCAGTGTGAGATGCGCCGAGATCATTGACGACGACGCTGGCGCCTCGAGAGCCGAAGAAGGTGCAGTAGGCTTTACCCAGACCGCCGCCCGCTCCGGTGACGACGACGACCTGGCCGTCGAAGCGCAGTTGGCCGGACATGGCGTGGGAGCTTGGCTTGTTCTAAAGAGACAACAGAAAGGAGCACAAACGAAGGGGGCAGCGTCAATCGTCGTGGGAAACAAGCAAACAGAGGGTATTCGGGAGGTTGAGCTGAGATAAGTTGAGTTGTAGGTAGATATGGATGCGAGTGAGACTCCCCTCGTCTAATAAAGCAGGTAGCAATAAGACAAGAGGCAGTACCTAGGGTCGGCCGGCAACTGCTGCAGTGACGCTCATTTGAGCCGAGGCCCGTCTAAGTCCTCTGAGTGGCCACCAGTGCCCATTCCACAGCGGGCCTTAGTATTTACCGAGGGGCAGCTCGCTGTGGTGACTAGGCCGTTTTCGGTTACGCCGCAGAGCATTTATACCTTTCACATGCTCTTGAGTTTCCCCGGACCCCCATCAAGTCCTATGAAGTCATCCCTGTTCCCCCGGGCGCTCTCTTCTGAGTCTGACAGTAATCAATTCATCACATGCGCAGAAAGATTATGGATATATCTTTGCCTTCTCCGCATTGAAGTGTCACAAGCTCATGTAGCTGAAATGCTGGGGAGAATCCCGTTATTGTTCGCTTAATCTAGTAACAATTCAGTAAATACAGCTCAACATGGTGCTCGAGCTCTCAAGACGCAGTGCCGAATCTCAAATTGCAACGTTTTCGGTGCATAATGTAGGCGCCGACAGATAACACGGCGGATGGTTTTCCCAAGTGAAGAGGCATTAAATGGGGGTGGAGAGCAAAGGTCACTTCAAAATATAGGTATGGCAGTGCGTGCAGGGACTGGGCTTGTCAACTACCTGCTGGAGCCCCCCAGTGCACAGCGGTAACTTGACGGTTACTTGAACGCGGGGGTTCTCCACACTCCTCCCCACTACCACGCACGACTCTAGAGCTTCTCAATGCAGACTACCGGTACCAGCGCCTCAACTATCAACCGCTGTGCATTGGCGTAGCGACATCGGGAGTGAGGTTTCAGAGAAAATAATGAAGCCGCATTTTCACGATAGCCTCAAACTGCCGCCCTCACAAGTCGCAATATACCACGCGCCCTGAGCCTCACCAGAAACCTCAATACGAACTGCAACCCGCAGATATACCTACGTCATGGCTAGCACGCCCGACGTGCCGTTGCAGTCGCGCATCATCGACGACAAATCGCCGATTTGTATACCATTCATACTCGAGCGGCTGGCCGCGCACCGCGCCGACCCCAGCCGCGCCGAGCGGCCCTTCTTCATCGGCCTCAACGGCGTGCAGGGCGTCGGCAAGACGACGCTCGTCAAGGCCCTCGCCGAGACCCTGCAGGACCGCGAGCAGCTGCAGACGCTCGTCGTCAGCATCGACGACTTCTACCTGCGCCACGCCGACCAGCTCGCCCTCGCCGCCGCGCACCCGGACAACGCCCTCGTGCAGTACCGCGGCGAGCCCGGCACCCACGACGTCGCGCTCCTAAAGACCTTCTTCGCCGCCCTCGCGGCCCAGCAGCCCGCCCACGTCCCCCAGTACGACAAGTCGCAGTTCTCCGGCCTGGGCGACCGCGTCCCCGAGTCACAGTGGACGCCCATCAATGGGCCGGGCCAGAAGCCCGTGCAGGTGGTCATCTTTGAGGGCTGGTGCGTGGGCTTCCGGGCGACGTCTGAGGCGGCCATCGAGGCCAAGTGGCGGGCGCCGAGCCGGACGCTGCACGGTCACAAGCTGGAGCACCTGTACTTTGTGAACGAGCAGCTGAAGGGCTATGATGTCGTCACGGATCTACTAGATGCGTTTATATATCTTGACGCCGAGGAGACCGAGTATGTTTACGACTGGCGCTTGCAACAGGAGGCAATGTTGCGGCGAGAGAAGGGCACGGGCATGACAGATGAGCAGGTCATCAAATTCGTGGACGCATATTACCCTGCCTATGAGTTGTTCTCCGAGGGTGTCAGGAAAGGCATCTTCTCCGACCGACCAGGCAGTCAATTACATTTGATAGTGGCTAAGGACAGAAGTGTGCAGCAGAAGATCGTAATATGATAACATTGTAAGAGCGAACCATGTCTCCTGCCATAAGTATCTCGGCACCAGCCACATCTATCTATAGGACAGGCCTGTTGATCCTGTACTGTCGTAACTGTATCTTACGTAAGTTGTCGCTCCCCTTTTAAAGGCACATATATCGCTGTGCAAGGTCATGTCTCATAAAATCGATCCCGTAACAAACATCGCCGACCAGAGTTCGCAGACGCCAAAATGAAGCAAGGCCCACGCAAATTTGAAAAGGAATAGGACGAGCCAAAAATAAACACCACGCTTATGCTGCCTCAAATGTCGATGTCGACGTCCAGATCTAGTCGTCCTCTATCTCCTTTCCCTTCATCATCCCTTCTCCATCCTTCCTGAGGCCTGCAAGTGTGCGACCAATGCCGTCGATCTTGTTTCTCACAGCTTCCTCTCGATTGGAGATCTCTGTCTCATAGCGCTCCACCATTACACGCTTGGAGCGGCGGGATTCCTTCATCTGATGTACAATGTTGCTGAACTGATCCAAGAACCAGTCGCCACTTGCGTCCCATTCATGTACGCTCATCTGAGTAAAGAAATGGTGTTGATTGTTTTCATCCTTGTCTTTGTAGTATGCCAGTTTCTCCTCAAGAGTACCACCTGACGGAAGGTTGGTACTCTGAACAGCCACTCTAGCGGGATCATGGTCAAAATCCTCTTTCTTGAGATCGGAATAGCGCATGGAAGCAAGGATTGAGTCATCGTAGTCCGCACTAAGACGTCGCTTCCTGTGTCCCGCTCCGTGAACACTACCATGTCGCGGAAGCGAGCTCTCCTGAAGCAAGCTTTTCGGTGGGGCAAGGGGCTTTTGAGACTTTTGCACTGCTACCGTCCTGTGGGACTTTTGTGGCATGAGGGTTTTATGGGTCGGAGCAAGCTGTCGAGCCGCCTTAGGGGTACGCTGAGCTTCGACCTCGTCGCCTTGTGAAGGGACGTTGCTCATGCAGTCAGAGTCAGTAAGAGCATCGTCGACATCCTGGAACACAGTTGAGCGCTTAGGATCAAGGTCGTGTTCTTTCCTGTCTTTCTTGACCTTCACCGCATCAGCAGCGCTATCATATGGTTCTGGAGACCGAGTCACCCCGTTATTCGTATAGGAATCCGCCCGGTCAGCATATGATCGTCTCTTAGCCATGTCGCCGTGGAGTGGATACTTAGTCCGCATCAAATTTCGTGGTTTCTGGGAGGGTGAATCTTCCTTGGCTAGATCTCTGAATGGATCTGCTCGTGCTCCTGATCTCTCAAGAAGAGCACTATTCCGTAAACTGGGGTCCAGGGTGACAGGAGCATTGGGTTGGGTCGATGTGCCAACCACCTGGAATAGGCCATCCTTATTTATAATGAATGGGCCTGGATTCTCTTCAGATTTCTGGGCAGTCCGCTCCAAGGGCTGTGAGCGAGTGACACCACGGTCCTCGAGGCGACGGTCTGGAAATCTGCCATGTCTCGTAGACACGGATCGAGCGTCGCTATCTGACAACAATGAAGCAAGGGTAGACTGCTCTTCCCAACGCTGCTGGAGGCCGCCCCTTGGGGATCCAGTCGATGCCCCATCCCACGTATGCCCCTTCTCGCGAGGCAATGGCTCCGCACGAGCAGTCGTATCCTCAAACACCTGGCCTGCTCGGTCGCGTTGCATAGCCTCTCGTGCCTGATCTGACCCAGCTCTGCTCCGCCTCATGGGATGATAATGAGGGGAAGTATTCATTGGCTGAACCGTAGGTTCAGGCACTGTCGTGCGGGCATAGCGGCCAGTTGTCGGAAGAGGTAATTTGAATGACTCGATGGCATTCTGGCGACCCGCCAGTGGAGAGGAGGGGAGTTGGGTAGCATGAGGGGGAGGTGGCCGTGGAGGACTGACAGGCCCTGGTGAAGCGACGGCCGGCGTATCGTGTCGCTGTATGTAGTTCTGCATCTTCTTTTTTGCAGTTGGCACCATATTCAGAAAGCGCATTAAGAACGCAATCTTGCGACTTGTAGGGCCGTCACTGGCGGCTTCGACGATCAGCAGGAGAAGCGAGAGGTGTCTTTGTTTATTTATTTGACGTGTACGGTCTAGGGAGCGCGTCTCTGCGGATGGTGCGTCGTGACGGCGACATGTGTACTTCTAACGCTGCTGGCACTCCATGCGCTGGTGGAAGGCGACAGGACGGTGCTGCATCGGGGTTATTATGCTTCTCTCTGGTTGGGCTCCAGGCGATCAATCGATGCACATTGGGCCGAGACGTGGGCGGCATGCGACTTGAACGTGGAGAGCCGGGGGAGAGGAGCAGAGAAACGGAGGGATTGGCCGGTGGCTGCGTGGTTAAAATGGCGACAGGAGGGAAGCAGCAAGAGGGAAGAGAGGCGGACGGGAGTTCGTCTGATGATGGTGGTGGACGTAGGTCCGTCCCGGGAAGGAAGCCTTACTTTTCGGGGCGGCGTTTTGGCTGGTTGGTGGTCGTTGCTGCCCTGAGCCTGTCTGGGACGCGAAGGTACGTCGCGTCGTCAGGTGGTGGGAAAACGCAGGGACTACCACCGTTAGCGTGGAGCTCGCGGGGGCTACTGCTGTGGTAGGGGCTCGATATCTCAGAATTAGGGAGGCGCGACTATGGAGCTCTTGCTGCAGTTGGTCCGAGCGCGAGCCACTTATAGATGTACACATCCCACAAGGACTTCGGCCCATCGTGAGAGGTCGCCCCGTCCTTCTGTCTTCTGCAGCATTAAATGACTTGTTCTGCATAAGCTTCCTGTACCTCGCGAGCAATTGGCGAATGCCATCGTCTGCTCGAGCCGTTGCACTCTCATAGAATGCGACCTGAAGCTTCTGTCGAGCCACCATGCGCGTTAGACGCCCAACGAAACGAGACGAGTCGGCATCCTCCCGTCGTTGAAGACTGATCAACCTTGTGGGATGAGAAGACAAAGGATCGATCCTAGTATCACGCGGTTCGCCTAAACTCATTTTGAATCAAGATTGGAGTATCACTGTGTAAAGAAGAGGTGCAAGAAAGCATTTGCGCCGAGAGACAGACAGTCGATATCCAACCAACCTCCTTGGTAAGTATGATATGGGATATCGCCTGAGAATCGTTGAGCACCCGAACAGCATGGACCATCCATCAACTTCTCGAGGTATCATTGACCCTACGGCTTCCTAACTTCAAAAGAGAAGACCCATTTTTTCAGGATGTTGCTACGTTGAGAATGGACGAGTTGTAGCAGAGGTCTGCCACACCCCGTGGTGTCGAGTGAGTTGGTCGTTATCTTTCGACAATTGTCTAGGATGCAGCTACCTGGGTGTGCTTGAATCGCAAGATACAATTGGTCGAATATACACTGCGCGAGTTATACACTATCTCGAGTGTGTGACGCTATCTCTGGAGGCATGCAATGGAACATTGGCAAAGCTCTACATGTTCTGATGATCAACGGTGTTGCATGTAAGTCTAGAAAAAGGTATTTTCGGCTGGCATCGCTTCTCCAGATCGACATGGAAGCCCGTTGCGCGGTTTAGGCGGGGTGTGTCTCACGGCAGTGAGCTTAGATAAGGAAAGGCGCCGCATCGCACTCTAAAGTGCCCCACTGACGTATTGCCACCTGCTGGGAGGGCCAGGCCGGCCGCGGAGCCATTCCATTTTGTCTGCTTAAAAATCACCACACCAAAAAAGAAGAACCTCCTCAGTCCTTCCCGCCTGAATGCACCCTCCCACCACCGAACACACCTCATTATCGGATTGCCGCCCTATCCCGCGGCAGCTGCAACGATGGCACCCTCCTTAGAAGTCCCCGAGCCTGTGGAGGACGTCATCGCGAACCCTCTCAAGGCGAAGCCGCAGCTCGTGGCACCCGAGCCAGAGCACTGTCCCGGCCCCGAGTCCGAGCAGGCGGGCCAGGCAGACTCATGCGCCGGCTGCCCCAACCAGAAGATCTGCGCCGCTGCGCCGAAGGGCCCCGACCCGGACATCCCGTTGATCTCTCAACGACTAGCCGGTATCAGACACAAGGTCCTAGTGCTCAGCGGCAAGGGCGGCGTGGGCAAAAGCACGTTCACGAGCCTGCTGGCCCATGCGTTCGCTACCAACCCGGACAGCACGGTGGGAATCATGGACACTGACATTTGCGGCCCGAGCATACCCAAGATGATGGGCGTCGAGCAGGAGACGATACACGTCAGCGGCACTGGCTGGTCGCCGGTTTGGGTGATGGACAACCTTGGCGTCATGAGCATACAGTTTATGCTGCCGAACAGAGACGATGCTATAATATGGAGAGGGCCAAAGAAGAATGGGCTGATCAAACAATTCCTGAAGGACGTAGACTGGGGTGATTTGGATTTCCTATTGGTGGACACGCCGCCGGGCACGAGCGACGAGCACTTGAGCGTGAACACATTCCTACGAGAAAGCGGTATTGATGGCGCAATAATGGTCACGACACCGCAAGAGGTGTCACTGCTCGACGTGCGGAAAGAGATCGACTTTTGCCGCAAGGCTGGCATAAGAGTGCTCGGACTAGTGGAAAATATGAGCGGCTTCGTATGCCCGAAGTGCACCCACGAGAGCCAGATTTTCCAAGCGACAACGGGAGGTGGCAGAGGACTTGCGGAGGAGATGGGCATCCCATTTCTGGGAGCCGTACCGCTCGACCCCCGCATTGGCATGGCTTGCGATTATGGCGAGAGCTTCTTCGACTCATATCCGGACAGTCCGGCATGCAGGGCGCTCAAGAGAGTGGTGACAGGATTAGCAGACCAGTTGGGCCTAGATACCAAACACGTCCTTCCGGACGAATGAATAAATGATGTTAGACCATGAAACGTTCCAGCGCATAAATATGTTTCTTGTGTGGTGCTCTCCTTTGCTATTAAGGACCAAGTGGCCTAAGAACCGCCATATAGCCGCGTTTTATGCCGCACCCAGTTTCTGGGGGATCTCCTCTAGATCATCCGTCGAGTCGATGTCAATGACCTTGCCCACTTCGGCCGTGTTCCTCATCAACTCCTTCGCGCCGGCGTACAACATCCGCAGCTCGCTATTGCATGTGATCGGGAGGTAGTAAAGGAGAACATAAGGTACAGACAACCGTCCAGAAGGCTGTAAGAAGATGTCATATCAGTATAAACGGTTTCCCGTTTGCTTATGGCAGGAAACGTCGTACCAGCGTCAAAGGATAGCTCAGCAGTACGAATCGCGGTGAATGGTCGGGCAGGTCATCGGCGATTTCGTCGAGGCTCTTGTATACCGTCTTATCCTCGTCTTGCTTGATCTCCTTGGTCGCCTTATCGATCATGTCTGACAGGTGCGGAGGAGTGTCAGTGGTGAAAAGGCCATCGGGCAGGTGACAGATTGGAACGAAGGGCAGGGCGGGTTTTGCGCCCAGAGCAGCAGACAGAGAGACGTACATACAAATGACAGCTTGGGGGTCGTTGGACCGTGAAGTTCCCAGCCGGAACTTGCGCAGATGGTCCTTCGTCTCCTGGGAGAAGGTATAGAGCCTGGCTTCGGAGCTCTAGATGCATTGCGATTAGCTACCGGAGTTGATGCGTGCCCCGCATGATGGCAGAACTAACCATCGTGACTGGTGATGTTCTAGATGTTTGAGGAAGGCTCTTTAGAATACTTGTGTTCTGGGAGGAAGTGTCTCTTCTTTTATCCCTGCCTTGGAAGGTTGAAACGAGACGAGACTGCCCAGATTGCCAGATCAACGACGATCTTGGAATGCGGCTAAGCTAAGGTGATACCACTTTTACAAAACGATAGGTATGTATGCTTAGCAAAGAGAAAGGGAAGAACCCCGCCAGCCAGGCGTCATCCATTGACTCCGGTCTGCGCTTAGGACAGGCCCGAGCCCCACCTCCCGGCTCCCAGCTCCACGGGAGCGAGCGCGCTGAAGAGCCTCGGGGAATATTTGAGACGCTCACCCATTCATTCCTCCTCAGCTCAGCCTTCCGTTGATAGCCTTTCTGTCTACATGGGACCCCAGTTGCTCCAATCGTGTTGCTCTTTTTTGTTGCTCATGGTCGGATAAGAAGTCCGCTGCTCAACCTCTCCACCTCACCCCCTTCTTGATGTTCTCCCGTCTCTCCCAAGTTGCTCGTCATCTTTCGAGACCGGCACCCAACTATCTTCACAACTCAGCCGCGTCGTCAACGGCTACATCTGCCGTCGCCAAGAACATGATGGCTTCCGCATCGGCTGATGAGCGCAACTCACGGACGATCCACACCGCTGCGTGTCTGATCATCGGCGATGAGGTTCTCGGGGGAAAGGCATGTTTCTACCGTTCCCGATTATGTGTTGGAAAATCTGAGTGTTAACACCAGGGTTTCTTGACTTTTGATAGACAAAGGATGTAAGTCACACTCTCATGCATGACATATGCACTTGAACTAACACATGACAGTCGAACTCGAATTACATGGCAAAATGGTGCTTCGATCTAGGCATTGTATGCTTTCCACTTGAGATGCAATTGTGTAGAGCTAATGGATCCTCTCATAGAACCTGAAGAGAATCGAGGTCATTGCAGATGACGAGTCCGAGATCGTTGAGGCGGTCCGTCGGATGAGCGACAAATACGACTTTGTGGTCACCAGCGGAGGAATTGGCCCAACGTAGAACCCTCGCCGTCCGTGGAGTGGCATTGGAATGCTAATGATTCGGTCAGACACGACGACATCACCTATGACTCCATCGCCAAGGCATTCGGGTTGAAGATCGCCCTGTACCAAGAGGCCTACGAGCGGATGAAGAAGTTTTCGAGACCGCATCCATCACAGCCCAAGTTCAACTGGGACGAGGACTCGCCGGCCAAGAAAGCGAAGCTGAGGATGGTCGAGCTGCCAACGGATGAGTCGCGAGACCTGAGCAAGCAGTTCCTCTTCCCGCGAGAGGACATGTGGGTTCCCGTCGTAGTTGCAAACGGCAACGTTCATATCCTTCCCGGAGTTCCGAGACTTTGTGAGTCTTCCATCCCGTCTATGAAGCCACTTATGAAAGACTGCTGACGCAAAACCTTCGTGAATCAGTCGAGGCGCTTTTGGACGCTCTGAAGCCTTCCATACTACCACGGCTTGTGGACCCGGAGGGCAAGGGGATCGTCAGAGTTCTCATTTCGACACCACTCTCGGAGAGCGCAGTTGCGGGATATTTGACTGAGCTAGCGTCCCAAGTTGAGCCAAAGGGCGTCAAAGTTGGAAGTTATCCACGGTGGGAGAAGAGCAGGAACACGGTGACATTGGTTGGCAAGTATGTTCACATCGGGAAGGCTGCCCCTTTGTTTGTGGTAACGCTAGCTGACATGTCACAGGGACAAAGCTTTTCTGGATAGCATCGCGCCCGAGGTTGCTGAAAAGGTCAAAGGTCGGGTGGTCCAAGTCGAGGGAGAGGACGATGATTTGCCCAATGCGAGTTGAGATGGACATTAATTGAGGGCTTAAATGAGACGTTGGGAACCCCCACACTGCTGCACTGCACGAGATGCACATGAAGACGGTTGGCGTTTGACGGGCTTCGTTTCGGTCACCCCGATATCGATAAGGAAGCAGCACAACGTTGTCATCTCGTTTGGGAGATGAGCAATCCACATAAACCACAACTTTGTGTGGCCCGGTAACGGGCTCCGTAACAGTTTTGTCCTCTCAAAGTCATAGACGTTGGTCACTTCTTCCCGGTGTGAGATACCGTGCAAATCCCGTTCTGATGCTCAGCATGCTGCGTAGCCTATGCGGTGCAATCCAGCCACGTGGGGAGCGCGTGCGATGATGTGACGCATTCTTTCAGCCGTGAGGATGTCCGTCCGTTCCTGGCAATGATGGCATCGTGCCTTAGAGCTTTCCTCTGGGAAATTAGATGCGCCACTTAGCGTCGTGATCCTCGCCTTCGGAATCAAACAGGTGCACTTTAGACCCTTGTCAAGATGCACTCCAGTGCGAAGCTTGGCGCATGCCGGTCGTCTCCAATGGTTCTAGAAACAATCGAGACAATCCAAAGCTGAGCAGGAGAACGCCACAGGGGAGGGACGGGCTGCTTGCTGGAGGCTTTAGTAGGAGAGGTCCAATTTCTCGCGAACCCTGCAAGTTCACAAACTGCAGAGGACGAGTTGGGATTGTGAAACGGGACCCCCTCTTGTGCAGGCTTGCCGCGCTACCGGTATCTCTTATCTGGCGCCTCAGCTGCATCTTCGTTTAAGCCCTCGCAGATGCGTTCCTGCGTAAGCCCTGTTGGGTCACCACATCATAGACAGACACGGCGAACGCATGCCTTGACCAGTTCGCTGTGTGTGCTAGATAAAGCACCTCACGGCACTATCGAGTCAGTGGCTTGCAATGTGGCCTGCCCGGTTTGTCAGTTGAGAATGGGGGTTAGTACCTCTATCCAATGCCTCCTGATTCTTGCATCCATGCAAGGCATGGCAAGTCGCGGGGTACACCTGAGGCGAGTGCTCGCGCACTGTGCCTGCGGAAGGTTATTCTGGCTCACCTCTTGAGTGGGAGAAGATGAAACAGCAAGCAAGAGAGGCTCTCCGTATCCGACCGAACCCTTAATTCGAGTTGATAAGCTAGGCAAGGAAGCTGATGCTCGCAACATGGTCAGTGCCCATGTCATGAACAACGTCTGCAAGCAGGACTTACATAGTACAGAATGTACTGCACTAGGCAGGTAGTGGGGAGTGGGGCCGTGGCCCCTGGACTAGAGTTTGCTCATCATCCATTTGTGCAGCTGCATTGTCATGTACGTGTATGTCTATCTGGCATGTAGCTGAGCTTGAGCGTCCTTCAGGGCTTTGGGACTTTTGGATGCAGGATGGAGGCCAAAGCCGGTTGTGCCGCATAAATGTGGCCTGGGCATAAGCAGATCCACTGCCTGTGGTAGACGAAGTTGCCCAGTGGATAGGTAGGTGCTGTTGTATACCTATACCTACGTTCCAGACGGCCTGGTAGGCACTGCACTGGACTCTTCAGAAGACGTTTGTGGACGGATGATGGAGGGGTCGACCCCTGCGATTGTCTCTTGCATGCGCCAACCTTGTCCGTGAGATGCTGCACTAGCCACGAGGAAGTGGCATCTATGGCATGCGCGATCAGGGGAGGAGATCGACAGAGCGCGCAGCCTTTTAAATGATCAAGACGTTCTTTGGTCACGGTAGAGGTGAGATCTTGGAATTCACCTGAGAACCGGCGAATCAATCGCAGCGACAGACGGCACCGCCGTGCTAGCCGCCGGGCGGTCCGCACAGAAACGACGGTCGAGCTTGTAATCGGGACGGCCCAGGACGCTGATAGGAGTCGGGCGACCCCACGACTGACTAGGATCGCGCCCATCTGGCGCTTTCACAAGACTCAGCCCTCTTCGGCCGCTGTGGTTGTTGCTGACTGTCGAATAGGTGCTCAGCGACTAACAAGGCCGAACTCCAAAGGGATGATGGTAATTGCCATTGCCAGACGCCCAATTGCGTGTCGTGTTCCCTGGCGGAGCCATTTAAGACCATCGGTTCCCAGGTGCCGAGGTTATAAGAGACGTGGATAAACACCAATAATGGGATAGTCTTAGGTTCCTGAGAGACTGAGGTCTCAGACATTTCACGTAGATGAACAACGTCCCAGCGATCCGGTCTGGATCCTTCACAATAGAGCCCACGGTACACTTTCTTTGCTGCGATTTCCAAATCTAACAGAAAGTTGATTGATTCGCAAATCAGGTCATTGCAGCCGGCGGCCAGCTAGAACCGTAGCTTATCGCTTTGCCGGAAAGACTGTCGAAAGAAATGCTGGCTCAATTTGGAAGCTGAGACTTTGTAACCCCAATATCTATCTAGTATCTAGAGCAACTGAGGTTACAGCGTCGCGCCCTGGGCCACGTCGATGCAGCTCAGTGTGATACCTGGTAGATGGGTGACTCTGCGTGGAGCCTCTTGGCTTGATTGCGGCGAACCTGCACCGTTTTTGGTTGCCGCCATACCTCGGGGGTGGCACATTGCACATCGCACAGTCGGTACGGTGGGTGGAGAGGCGTCTGTCTTGAGGGATGCGCTGTGACTGTGATACACAGTGCAGAGGTATTTTGGTTGCCATCAGATCCGCTCAGATACTTCACAATCTACGTATGTGTAGTGTGCCTGTTCTTACCTAAGCTAAGGTCGTAGGTGAGGTTGGTTCATAGGTCAAGCAAACCACCCGACGTAGGCCTCCTGATAGGCGCAGATTGAAGCGTGGACAGAGAGAGCAACATGGTGACGGAGAGCCGTTGCCGCAATACGAGCTTGGTGCGATGTTTCTTCTCTTGTTGCTCTCCTCATGAGCTGTGTATGTTATGCGGGCGGACGATAGACAGCAAAGGTAAAGCAGGAAACCTCGCCGGTCCTAGAATTGCTCCTATAGTCTATACCTAGCTACCTAGGTACATTAGCTCTGCCAAGCTACCTACCTAGGTCAAGGTTGCCGAATGTGCATTGGGCAAGCAGCAGCAGCAGCAACAGCAGCAGTTCTCAGAATTGTGCGTGCCGTCTCGGAACGGACAGCACCAGCGGCTTCGACCAGAGGGGTAAAGTGGTAAAGTAGAAAAGCGCCCTGAATTCCTGCTGGCGTTGGTGCATACTGAAGAGCGAGCTGCATTGCAGCACCCTAAGAGGTGAGGTGAGGTGGGTGGGAGGATGGATGAGGAACAGGTACAGCACAGGCACAGGAGAGGAGGTATCTAGACCTCTGCGCTGACAAGCAAAGACGGTGAAGCATGTGTACACTGCGTAGGTAGCTTAACTAAGTACCTAGAAAGGCGATACAGCAGAACAGGACTATGGCCTAGTTCCCGCCGATTGCGTGGCGAGAAGCCATACTGAAGTGTTATTTTGGTGACGCAGAGTTGCCCAGAGTTTGGCATTTCCAGTGGAAACAAGAAAACATCGGCTCTTTTGCCGTAAAGTAAAGAGACTTTACATTATTGACGGCAATTACTTTGGGAAAAGCAACTTGCGAGAAGAAGGAGAAAAATGACAGTCGAAACGCAATGACCACCACCACACCACACACCCATTCAAAGCGATACAACAAGTTCGCTCTCTCACGGTGACCGCACCAGATGCTCGCACGGAGTAGCGGTACCTCTTTGGGGCGCCAGCTAAGGTACCGGCCTTCCTGGGAGGTGGCCCCCCTGCAACAGACCTCATCCCTGCCACCCCGGTTGAAAGCCCACCCGCCAGCGAATAGGGAGCCAGTTGCCCCCCCGGGCGCTCCAAAGCACCCAAAGCACGGAGAGCATGCAAAGACAAAGCGCTTTCCACGCACTCCTTCTACCATCCCATCCCATCCCCAATTCTTCCTCGCCTCTTTTGCAGGAGAAACACCTTTTACATTCCAATTCCAGTCCGCCTGCGCAAAGAAAAGGCCTCTCCCCCCCATCGCCACAATCGATAAAGGCATCACATCACGCATTCAATCAACACTCCGGTCCGGGTCTCGCTGCTGCGCTGTCTTGCGACTTTCCAACGCTGCACTTGACTCCCGAGCGACGCTGATCTGACCTGACCCTGACCCTGACCTCGCCCGGCACTAGAGTACACACCTCCTGAGGAGTCAAGGATCGTCGCTCTCCCTAAACACGAGCCGAACCCCCGTCTTTCTCTCCGCCGCCAATCGATCCTCTCCCATATTCCCAACCCGTCAACCCATTTCCTGCCTGTCGTCCATCTCGAGCTTGCTTCGTTTCCTCAAGCATTGTCCAAATATTCATCGGCAGCTTCAGATCCCGAGAGAATGGCCTCCAAGGTGCGTTTCCCGCCTTATCGGCGTTCGGCGCCATCGTCCGCTGCCGGCCCAATTCCATCGCCCGACGCCATTTTGATGGTGATAAATGCATTGAGCTGACCTGTCATCCCCGTCTCTAGTTCCTCAGGGAGTACAAGTTGGTTGTGGTCGGCGGAGGAGGTGTCGGTAAATCTTGCCTCACCATCCAGTTGATCCAGAGCCATTTCGTCGACGAATATGATCCCACGATTGAGGGTATGCACACAGATTTAAACATCTCACCTCGGCGCAGTCCCCGCAAACTAACAATCGCTCCCAGATTCATACCGCAAGCAGTGTGTCATTGATGATGAGGTCGCCCTACTAGATGTGCTCGATACCGCCGGCCAGGAGGAGTACTCGGCCATGCGAGAGCAATACATGCGAACCGGTGAAGGCTTTCTGCTAGTGTACTCAATCACATCGCGGCAGAGCTTTGAGGAAATCACGACCTTCCAGCAACAGATTCTGAGAGTAAAGGACAAGGACTACTTCCCCATGGTTGTTGTGGGCAACAAGTGCGATCTGGAGAGCGAACGCGAGGTAACCAGACAAGGTACGTTGTCCTGCTGCACTACATCTGTGTGCCCCATGACTGATCATCAATTGAACAGAGGGTGAGGCTCTGGCAAGGTCATTCGGCTGCAAGTTCATCGAGACGTCCGCCAAGTCAAGGATCAATGTTGATAAGGCGTTCTACGATATCGTGCGAGAGATCCGACGATACAACCGAGAGATGCAAGGATACTCAACCGGTAGTGGCGCATCCAATACCAATGGTGCTGTCAAGCCGATGGAGGTTGGCGATGATGACGCTGAGCCTGGATGCTGCGGAAAGTGCGTTATCATGTAAGAGGGAAGATTTTGACGTCGCCGGGATCAGTTCGCAATGGGTGGAAGTGATAACAGGACTAGAGAAGCGAGATCGAGTGCAGGCATCGCACAGAATTGAACAAGACGGTACTGCCGAAGCTGCAGAAATGAAGCAGCTCAATTTGAAGGAGACACACGTTGCATTGGAACGGGAGTCGAGTTCTTTTCCCTAGCAGTATGGATCCAACGAACTACCAGCATAAACTGAGGGGAGGAGCGAAAGGCATTGCAGAGCTCCCCACGCGCGCTGGACAAGACAGACATTGTCATTTTTTCTTGTTTGCCTGTCGAGGGATATGGACATTTTACAAATTTTATTACCTACTTACTATCCGAAGTTTTCTACCTTTTCTCTCTTGGGGGTCATCTGAAACTAAAGCTTTGTCATCCTATACCGCCTGCTTCTCATGCATGTAATTCGTTTGTTTCCTGGCAGTGGTCATAAGTCATAAAAAGTTCCTTGCCTCTGAGGGTGGCTTCACCTCTCTGAATACAACTACTATGAGTAGCTACAATTATGCTCGCCTTGTCTCCTGATGTTTCGACTGGCCTGAGGGAAGATAACTTGGAGAGTTGCCGGCTTCTGACTGGCACTGCTTTAAATCACGAATAGTAAGTAAGCTCCGTTGCATTTTCAATCCTAGAGGCTCGCATCTGCTCAAGATTGCCTGTAGATTACTACCTTGAGCGTCTGATCAATGGGATCTCAGAACAATGAGTGTGCCGTCGAGAATGCAATGGCGTAAATATGACCTTCTTTGTCTAGTCCGCTCGGTGACCGAGTTGACTGTTCAAACAATTGTTCAAGTTGAACAATGGCGTGAAAATCACATAATGAATGTCGACTCCCCTTATATAAATCCTTTGCCTCTTTCTGCTTTCATACATTCTCCGGCCCAGTATCTTGAGTCATCAAATTCGCTAACACCTCCCAGAGGATATAGGAGAGATACATTTGGACGAACCTGTCACAATGAATTCCTTCAACAGCTTCAATAAAGAACCATCTGGCAACGCAGGCGGAGATGAGTTCATCAATGAGATCATGGATATTAACGAACCAGAAATCCCAATTGATCCAGCTCTCCTTCAGCAACATGTGAGTCCGTCTCAATTCTTGCCTTCCGAAATGGAAGACGTCTTGGTGAGTCAAGCGACAGGACTACCTGCCACTGCAACTCACAACATACAGACGCTGACACTTCCAGGGCCAGCGTTTCCTGCCGCTTCGGTTACTGACCCAAGCCATGCCAATGCTTCGGAACAGTTACAGCTACAACTGGAGCGAATTGGTGCAGTACCAGCTCGCCAACCGCCTGTTTCAATTCCAGGTCGGTCTGCTTGTTTACAGTGTCAAATGTATCAAGTCTCATGCTCGTTTTTGACAGAGGATGACCCCAGCAAGCTGATGTACAAGTGTGCCGACTGCCACTTGAACAACAGAGAATGCAGAACAAGGGCTAACCAATTACCGCTGCCTGCTCGACCGCTTCCACGGTCTATGGGGCTCCCACCCTACACGGGCTACGGCTCAACAGCAAGTGACGCTCTGTCCGGTTACCAGGGGACGGCATACTCAGCAACTAATGTCAGCTACACGGCTCCTCCATCAGAAAACAGCTTCCTGCCAGCACAGCCTGGGGGTCTTTTCCCGCCTGCTTCCCCAGCCCCAATGGGAGATCCTTCCGTGCCTGAGTCTCGGGCAGTCCAGCAAGGGATTCTCGAGCCTTCAAGACGTCGCACACATGCTGAAATGCAACAGGGCGGAGATGATGCTGCCGCACGACCTGCAAAGAGAAGATTTCCGGGGAATCGTTGCTACCTATGTAGCAAAAACGACCTCAACTGCCACCGTCTCGTCGATGGCGATAACTCCTCTGGATGCGCTCGGTGTCAGACATTTGGCTTGATATGCTGGGACTTCAAGGACCAAAGAGTGCTCCCGACCGCCCTGGACTGGGCCGGCTTCAACGCATCACCCGCTTCGTTGTTTTACAGGTTTTGCAAGCGCTGCCAGGACGAAGGATGGGGGTGTGATAGGAGCCGGCCCTGTTCTTCTTGCAGACACACTGGCCACCAGTGTGTGGAGCAGGTCCAAGGGAAGATGAAGACGGCCAGAAACGCCTTCTTGAACGGCACAGCTCCGGGTCAAGACAGCGAGCTGTACAGGATGTCACTCGGCTATGGGCCTTGGGGAATCGGTACTATTCGACCGCCCAACAGGCCTGATCTCCCCGGACCGTTGAACGTTCTCATTGGAAATAGGAGCAACCGCGAGAACTATAAGCAGCCTCGCCCTGAGATCACAAATCATCTGATTCAGAACAACGATGCGTTCGTATTCCCACCGCCGCCTGCTGACCCGAATGACCCTGCTCTGCAGCAGCTCAGGGGCCGGGGTTACCCTGGCAGGGAACGTACAACAGTTGCTTACGGTTGGAATTCGATGCCAGGCGGACGTCTTCCACCGGAACTGGTCGCATTGCCACAGCTGCAGCAACAACACCCACAGCCGGCTGCAGCAGCACAATCAGGGCTGCACCCAGCTCCAGTGATTCCAGCTCAGCAGGTTGTTCAGGGACAAGTGCCCGTTCGGCAACCTGACCCGCAGGCAGCACCGATGAATCTTCAACAGGAATCCCAAGCACAGGCTCAGGTACAAGGCCCTGATTATGTACTTGACCCGGAAGACATCGAACTCTTCAATGCACTCAGTCAGCTGCAAGCCAATAACTGGCAGTTTCACTAACAAGAATTCGTTGCTTCATTTGGGTTTCGTTTGTTGCTAACCGAGAGCTCCTACGTCCTCAGCTATCACATATACTGGTTACAATAGACTAATAGTGCAGATATCAGCCGGTCTTATATCACGATATCCCTCGTTGCAGGGTTCCCAAGATGTAGAAAATCCAAGGACGTTGTCGATCGACTACCCCTGAATATATTTGCTGCCTCTGCAAAGAGTAGACGGTTGTATTCAAGCACTATTTAGTACATTAACCGCTTTCAATCAAGTGTATGATACTTCAAATTAACTAGACCTTCAGTTTACTATCAAGTGTCCAAGTATCGTTGACGAGTGAAACTACTTAAATGTATACATTTCCAATGAGATAACGTGCAGTACAGCAACACTAGCAATCAGCTTCGAGCAAGCAAAGGCTCTTTCTTATCTGTGTGGACTTCATTTATCAAGGAAAATGAATTTCAGTTTGATGGATTTCAGATCCAAGACCATCCAAGCTATCAGGATTGAAATGTCGATACCTCTGAGAGTTGAATACAGGACTCAGTTGTTTGTCCTCGTGCGCTTATCTCGTTAGGCATCTTGAGATCTCTTCTCTGTAATCGGTAGAAGATCTTTGGACGGCCCAGATTGACTGTGTGGTGGCGACCCCCCTGTCAACCCCACCACACTTACCCACCTCTAAATTTCCCCTGGGTGGCGGACCCGGGACCCGTGCCCATGCCAGCAGATAGTGCGAACAACTTCTTTGTCGGTCAAGGGCAAACGGCGCGATCTCGTCCTTGCAATCTTCGTCTCCTGCCCTTCAGAGTTTGCACAGGCTCGAAACACAGCACCCGAGGACACAATGTCTACGACGACTACCACCACCACGACGCAGCCGATCACGGCGCAGACCATCTTGCGTCTGTTTCCCGACATCGACACCACCAGCGATGCGCTGGACGGCCATGATGAGGAGCAGATTCGATTGATGGACGAAGTGTGCATCGTACTTGATGAGAACGACTTGCCAATTGGCACCGCCAGCAAGAAGCTTTGTGCGTATCTCCTCAGCAGCCGCCTTCTATGGGCCACAACTTCTAACCGCCTTTGCTACAGGCCATTTGATGACCAACATCGACAAGGGTCTTCTCCACCGAGCCTTCTCCGTCTTCCTCTTTGATGACCAGAATAGGCTTCTTCTGCAGCAGCGTGCGTCTGAGAAGATCACCTTCCCTGACATGTGGACCAATACCTGCTGCTCGCACCCCCTCGGCATACCTACGGAAACCGGCTCCAACCTCCCCGACTCCATTGCAGGCGTCAAGAATGCGGCGCGGCGCAAGTTGGACCACGAGTTGGGCATTAAGAAGGAACAGGTTCCTTTTGAAGACTTCCATTTCCTGACACGCATCCACTACAAGGCGCCGAGTGATGGAAAGTGGGGGGAGCATGAGAGTAAGCCTCATCCAACCCCTATGTGCCTGGCACAACGGGAAGCAATCGCAAGCTAACAGCTGCCGGTAGTTGACTACATTCTCTTTATCAAAGCCAATGTGGACCTCAACCCGAACCTGAACGAGGTTCGGGATACAAAATACGTCACGGCAGATGAGCTGAAGGAGCAGTTCAAGGATCCGAGTCTTACGTTCACGCCATGGTTCAAGCTCATCTGCAACTCTATGCTCTTTGAATGGTGGGAGAGCCTCGACTCCGGCCTGGAGAAGTACACGGACGAGCAAGAGATTCGCCGCATGTAAATGCACGGGACATCCGGGAGCGCAAGAGCTGAATTGGACCAACATGGACTTGGCGCCGAGTACCCTCAAGGATTTGCTAAGCAGTGTGGGATAGCATTTAGAGACACGTCCACCATTGGCTGACATTATGAACTTCGAGATATCCGCTCTTATCCGGTCGACGAGTTGAAACTCACGCCGGGAGCCGCTTCTTTCTGTTTTGAGCATCGCACATACAACATGCAATTCTAGAACTAATTACCCTACGAGAGAAAAAAAGCACAGTGACGTTGGCCCGGCTGCAGAGATGCAACATTGCTGTGAGGACATGGAGCCCAAGCTGTCCAGAACGAGAAGCTGTCCCCACGTGCGGAGCTTGTGCTATCAATTAGGTATCGAAGAGGAGCCTATCTCCAGGTATCTCTGTCGTGTAAGTGTCGTTCGCCTTATCTCAACGCACGCCTACGGGAGCCATTGGAGGCGATTGAAGGGTAATCCCTCGAGGCGACGTCACCTGACCCCCCTGCATTGCAGCAGTAGCTGGGCAAGGGCCCAATTGCTTTGGAACTTCATGCTCGAGAAGCGACTATATTGGTGATTCCAGGGCGTTTGATTGGGGACGGCTTACAATCAGAAGCCCAAGTGGGCCCTTGGCGCACGTTTCCTAGCATCAGGAGTCGGACTGATCCTAACCGGTCTCGGTATGAGTAGCCGCAGACGACAACCTTACCTACGCACTTACGCAGTACTGTACCGCTCATCCCACGCTGCATACGCACGGCTTTGGGATTGACCTGACCTGGGATGGGCTGGGCTTCCCCAGTTGTTTGTCCTTGCCGGTGCTTCCTTGGTACCTCGTCTCGTCTTTGTTCTTTCGCCTCCCGCTCATCGTCTTCCTGCCCAATTGATAATGGATGCAGCAGACCCTGACGTTCTGCACAGCTTACAGAGACCAATGTGTCTCGACTGCTCTTCGCCCTCCTCCGGGGCACCAACCACGGTGCTGCCAGACAGACAACCCGGAGGTCTCGCCGCCTGGCGATGCAGGTAGTCCCTGCGGCTCACCGAGTCACATCTCCATAATCAGCGGGCTGCACATCCATCCCACTCTCTGTGCATCCCAATGTCTTAGTGCTCCCGTCGTTTCCTGACCGGGGTCCTTACCAAACCCGTTTCCTCGACCGATTATCTACATATCTGCCCTTCCTTCTCACCCCTCCCTTTCCTGCCTCCTCTTGCTCTCCTCTCTTCACCGTAGTCTTCGACCAGAATTCCAAGCTCAGCTTCAAATCAATAAGACTCACTCATCAAACCCTAAGAGTTCGCAGCCCCATAACCTGGGGCAGTCTCTGAAGGACGAACTTGCTCATCTTGCTATCCACAACTCATCTTCAAACAGCTCTCCCCAGTCCTCTCGCCCCGAGCCAAGCTCGCTGCCGTGACACTTCTGTCCCTCCTTGTCTTCTTCCATCCACCCCTTTTACAACCGACTACCAAGTCAAGTCTACATTGATGTCTGTTGACCTCCGCATCACCCTCTATTGTCTGCGCTATCCGTCCAGATTTATGCCCGTCTCAAGAACTCAACTCTCGAGAGTTCACACGGGCGATAGTATACAAAATAAACGAAGTAGATAAAGTGAGCCTCAACTCATCCGTACCCCGTGCATGCTCGACCGCAGCCCACAGCTTACACCATGTCTCACAGCGAACAATCGGGTGATACTTGCCCAGCATGGAGACCGTAAGCAGTACTGTCACCTTTGTTGAGTTGAAGCACTCCCTCGTGCCACGGAAGTGGGAGGAGGCCGTGCGAGTCATTGGGATGTCAGAATGCAAGGAGGCGGCGCTCTCGCTGTCGCACGCCTTTGCTACTGATGATCTTGCCCAGTACCTCCTCAACTCGGACGACATGGCCGGCGCCTCGCCCGAGGAGAAGTGGAGGCTCCATGTCGACATCATGACGTACATTGTGGCTGCCCACTGCCTCAATGGTATCGTGACGACCATCGGTCCGGACTACGAGGGAGTCGCCCTGTGGTGAGTAAGAAGGGAACGCTATGCTTTCTGATAAGAACTTCGGAGCTGATAATATCTGTGGGGTATAACAGGATGCCTCCCGGCAAGAACTTGGACGACTGGTGGACCGTCCTCCGGAGCGGCATGTGGAGGCTCTACTACCAGCTGTCGCCGGAGGGGAAGAAACGCTACTACGACGAGATGCTTCCCCTGCTGCACGACACCAAGGCGGAGGTACTCGGCGAGCGCGATGACGACGCCTACTACCTCGTGTACCTTGGGACGAAGCCACACGGGCGTGGCCGTGGCTACGCTGCCAAGCTCATCCAGCACATGGTTGATAAGGTGAGTCGCCGTCGTCGTCACTGTTCGTGAATTGAAGAGTGTTCTGGATGAGCTTTGCTAACGTGCCTGGCCTCCTCAAACAGGCTGATGCTGAAAACAGGCCGGTTTACCTTGAGTCGAGCTCCCTGGCCAACAATGCCTACTATCGCAAGTTTGGCTTCGAGGTCAAGAAGGACATCTTCCTCAAGCGTGGACTCGTTCCCGTCCAGCTGTCTATCATGGTCCGTGAGCCCCAACCCGTCTGCAAGATTGCTTACGCCGGGAAGGCCTCCGTCGTGAAGTTTCACGCCGGCCGGAAGTTGATGTAAGGAGGTGAGATGCGGCTGTTCCCTCGAGGAATGCCGACAGGTCAGGTTATGTGAGCCAGTGGATGATGTGCGTGCATCCGCAAGTTTGTTTTTTTGTCTTTTGCCATTTGGTCCTTGCTTGCTTGCTACAGATTTCAGTTCTAAGTCGGTCGTTACCGCTTACCTTGCTACGGTCAACTTTTCTCTCTTTTCGTTCCAATTCAGCACAGCTCAGCCAGCCGGTCAGGGTCCCGACCCACCATTCCGTTCCTTATATAGGTATTATAACATCAAACAGAGCATATTTCATGCCATGTGCCTCATTAAAGCCAACGCCAGTGATCCCATTTCCTCACCCGGTCAAACGTCCCGATCAGTAGTCTAGGATGGCCCAAGTCTCATCATCAATAGTAGTGTAGACCAGGCCTTGACCCAGGAGTTCATCTGCTGCACCAATCACATCCCTTACCGACATGCCGGTGCCATTTGAGATCATGTTCAGGTGCATACCCTCGTTTCCACCCGGCGAGTTGTGCAGGAAGTTGTACATGCGCTGTGCTTGTGCCGAGCAGCCGGTGAGCTTGCTCGAGTTCCCGTTCTGGTAACCAGCGCCCGAGTCGACGAACATGCCGTCGCCGCCGCCGTTGGCCGCGCCGTTTTCACCCGCTCCTCCCTGGCCGCCGAGAGCACCCTTGGAGAAGTACAGGTGGACGTAAGTGCACTCTAGCAGGTGATAATTGACCTCGTTGAAATCGTCCACCGCGCGCATGAAATGAGCGCCGACGTGCTTCTTGCTGTTGAAAGATTTTAGGCGACCCCATACGCGCACATACTGGTCCTCCTGGTACTTGGGGTCGGCATCTTCCTCCTTGTCGGCGTCGATCCACTTCTTGACGTCAATGGTGCCCGTGCCGTCGTCCAGCACATACGTTATGTTGGTCTTCTGCGTGTTGATATTGCGGACCTGCCCAACTAAGGTGACCTGGGTGATGGGGTGGCCGTCGATTGCGAAGTCGGCGCCGGGATACGCCTCCTCGAGGTCGATGAGCTGCTTGATGGTGACGGGTCGGAGAGACTCATCGCTGTAGCCCTGAACGCGACGGAAGATGCCAAGTCAGTTCAGAGACCAAAGATACACATGCGCAGAAGAAGGTCTGTTGGGATTGTCAATTGCTAGAATGCATACCTTTCCGCCTCCTTGGCCGCCCTGGCTACCTTGCTGGGAGCCTCCAGAGAAGAAGCCGCCAGCATCGTCACCGCCTTGTGCCCCGTATGAAGTCTTGCTGTATCCGCCGAAAGTCGCTATCATCGGAGATTAGCCCAGAGGTCACACTGAATGAGGGCGACGCAGACTTACTCATGGCTGTGGTGTTTGTGGTTGTGTTGTTGCGTCAGCGAAGATTTCGTGATGCAGGTCTGGTGGAGGGGCAACAGTCAATAAGATGGAAGACGCGTTCTAGAGGGGACGACGCGACTGGCAACCAGAAACCACTTTAACTAGCAGTGGTCCGAGCTTTTCCAGCTGGCGCTTGGCAGGCGGCGTGTTAGTGAGTGCGCCTCACCTTTCACACCCACCTTTCCACATGGCGCGAATCTCTACAATTGCTTTGATCTTGCTGTCTCAGATTGTAGCAAGAAGCAAAACGGATATCGTAGGAGAGATTGTATTTCGGAGGTAGACATTCAGAGAGCCTTTAATCCATACTGAGTTCACGTCTTCTGGTGCCGTCATGCCATACGCAGTAGTGTCTTTCTTTCCAGCTCAATCTGCAGTATCGCCTTGCGCTCTTCAGCACTAGCGATACCGAGCAACCGTGGAAATGAATGCGTGACTGCGTCAAAATCTTTGAGCTCGCCTTCGTAGCTTTCTCTCATAGTACTCTGAATAATTTTGTCTAATTAGGTGAACAACCATGATCACGAGCTTCAACGGGCAGTGGGCCGGCACCGGGGTGTGCTCTCCACGGAGTCTCCTCACGCCTCCCACTCGGAAGCTTCCCCTGTTAGCCTCGGCTTTTCAGCACTGCCCTGGAACTTTCCATTGAGCACCAGCGCTCCCCGGACCAGATCAGATTAGATGACTGACCTCATCCTCCTCTCACCCAACATACCCCATCATCCTCCATCAGCACTTCTATTCCTACGACTCATCGTGATCAGCGATTATCTCTACCTGAGCGAGTTAACATCCATCTTGCGAAAGTCCGTGTCGCAGGCGCTGGCTCACTCTGCTAAGCGAATTTGGCGATACCCAGTCATTGCGTTGTAATAGCCCGAGTCCGCATCATGGTCACTCGATCGCAGTCTGCCACGCTTCCGATTATCCCACTGCCAAAGGGCAGCGTCCTGCTGCCCGGCATCATACAGCGAGTCCCGGTCTCGTCCAGCAGACCCGACATACCCGCCTTGCTCTCGACTGTTTACACACGTGCGGCGTCCCGGACAACAAATGGCCGCATCGATACGGTCCCGATAGCATGTGTGCCGATCGCATCCCCGTTGCTCGGCCCCAACGGCCAATTACTCATCGACAATGGCGACCAAACGCATCCTACGGATACTCTTGATTCAGGGCGGCCGACAAAGAAGTCCGATCTGTATTCTTGCGGGGTTGCGGCGAAGATCACCGGCATCGAAGGCCGAGGAACCGGCGAGTTTGCATTGCTTGTGGAGGGAGTTGCACGCATAAAGATCGAGAAGATATACCAGGCGCAACCTTATTTTGAGGGCAAAGCTTCATATCACTATGATGAAGGTATGGTCCCTAAGCTTGTTTGAGGTTCCCCGAGTGTGCTAGACCAAACAACTGACTCTCGGCCACAGTTTCAATGCAAGATACAGAACTCGAGGAACTATTCCAGACATTAAAACAACTGTCTCGAGAGCTTGTTGGAATTCTAAGACTTGCTGCTATCTTGCCTAGAGCACCTGGCTCTACAGGATTGTCGCCCTTGCTGGCACGGAGACTGGACTTTTTCATTGTCAAGAAGAAACTAACAGAGGCCGGTCTCCTTGCCGACTTTATGGCAAATATTGTCGAATCATCCTACGAGGAGAAGCTTCAGGTCCTCACTCTGTTTGATGTCAAAGAACGGATTACGAAAGTGATCGAGCTGCTTGACCGGCAAATTGGCAGCATCAAGAACAGCGTAAAGATCACTACCTTTACAACGACTTCAATCCCATTCACTATCGATCCTGACGAGAAGGACCAAGACCAGATCAGGAGAAAGCCTCAGATACCGGGTCGGATGCCACCGAATGCGTTCGGCTTGCCACTGGCACCTCCTCAGGGCATGGGTGGTAGCATGGGTGCAGGCAATGACGATGACCAAGAACCAAATGAACTCGAAGAGCTCCAGAAGCGTTTGGAGGCTGCAAGGCTCAGCCCAGAAGCTGCAAAGATCGCTGAGAGGGAACTCAAACGACTAAAGAAGATGATTCCCGCTCAAGCGGAGTACGGCGTCACCAGAAGCTATCTTGAAACTCTTGCAGAGATTCCCTGGACGGCTGTCACAGAGGATCGCCTCGGCCCAGATACCCTGAATGTCGCAAGGAAACAGCTGGATGATGATCACTACGGCCTGGACAAAGTCAAGAAGCGGCTTCTGGAATATCTAGCTGTTCTGAGGCTCAAACAGTCCATCAATGAAGATGTTGACACACAAACTAAACAGCTAGAGCAAGAGTTAGCAGCGTTGGAGTCGGGCGAGCAATCGAAGACTGAGGAGCCTTCAACTGAAACTAGCAACCAGGAGAGAATGACACAACAGAGGATCAAGTCGAGCACAGCCAAGCTTGAGGTGCTTAGGAGTAAGCGAATGGTCGATAAGTCGCCTATTCTGCTTCTAATTGGACCTCCGGGTGTTGGCAAGACCAGCCTAGCTAGGTCGGTTGCAACTGCTTTGGGCAGAAAGTTTCACCGAATTTCGCTTGGAGGAGTCAGGGACGAAGCTGAAATACGCGGGCATCGTAGGACTTACGTTGCAGCGATGCCAGGTCTCATAGTACAGGGACTGCGGAAAGTCGGCGTTGCAAATCCAGTTTTCCTGTTGGACGAGATTGACAAGATTGGCACGTCCAACTTCCACGGGGACCCCTCTGCAGCCATGCTTGAGGTCCTGGATCCTGAACAGAATCATACTTTCGTGGATCACTACATCAATGTCCCAATGGACTTAAGCAAGGTGCTCTTTATTGCAACCGCCAACAGTCTCGATACCATCCCTGCTCCCCTGTTGGACCGCATGGAGACCATATATATCCCTGGCTACACCACGCTGGAAAAGCGACACATTGCCATGCAGCACCTGATTCCCAAGCAAATACGTGTCAATGGCCTGGATGTGGACCACGTTACATTTAATCAGGATGTTGTTTCCAAGATAATCGAGTCCTACACTCGAGAAGCAGGTGTTCGCAATTTGGAACGAGAAATCGGCTCCGTGTGTCGCGCGAAGGCTGTAGAATTTGCCGACGCGAAAGACGGAGGTCATCTCGACACTTACAAACCCCAGCTCACCGTCGAAGACATCGAGCGTATTCTGGGAATTGAGAAATTCGAGGAAGAAATCGCCGAAAAGACCAGCCGCCCGGGTATTGTGACCGGTTTGGTGGCGTACAGCTCAGGGGGCAACGGTGCTATTTTGTTCATCGAGGTAGCCGATATGCCAGGCAATGGCAACGTACAGCTCACCGGAAAGCTTGGATCTGTGCTTAAGGAGAGTGTCGAAGTCGCATTGACCTGGGTCAAGGCTCACGCCTACGAGCTGGGCCTCTCACAGGATCCATCCCAGAATATCATGAAGAACCGGAGCATCCATGTACACTGCCCATCCGGATCCATCCCCAAGGATGGCCCTAGTAGTGGAATCGCGCAAGCGGTTGCCTTGATCTCCTTGTTCTCTGGAAGGGCCGTACCACCGACGATGGCCATGACTGTAAGTCTGATTTCGGTTTCGTTGTGCCCACACCCTTCTTGAAAGGGGCTTACGTGCGTTTCGCGTCCGGAGACTAATACAAGTGTGTGACTACAGGGGGAAATCTCCCTGCGCGGCCGGATCACAGCCGTCGGAGGTATCAAGGAGAAACTGATCGGAGCGCTCCGAGCTGGCGTCAAGACAGTACTACTACCGGCTCAGAACCGAAAGGATGTCAAGGACCTACCCCAGGAGGTTAAGGATGGCCTGGAGATCATCCATGTCAGGTATGTCTTTTTACCCATGGCGTAGTGTGACATCCATCTACTACCTACCCTGGTCATGAAGAATGTTTCTCGCTAACGGCTCTTGTTGTTTCCAGTCATATTTGGGAGGCGATTCGCCATATATGGCCCGACGCGCATTGGCCCGGGCAGCAGGACTTCTCAGGCATCGAGAGCCGCCTGTGATTACTGCCCACCTGCCGCACGAGGACTGCAGGTTTAGATTGCGTCTGTGTACAGCCTAGGCGTTTCCCCGCGGCTTCTGAGACAGACTGTCTCAGTCTGTTGTCCATTTAGATTCCCTCATCTGAATCGAGCAAGCGAAATGCCACCACGTTACAAACAGTGTGTCTGTCCGTTTAACGTCCGGCCGCACACCCACCGTCGGATATAGTAACCTACTTCTGTCGTAGTGCAATTCGCCCGGAGCAAAAAATTGCATGTCCACGTTGTAAAACTATATGTGCGGGTGTGTTCCCTGGGAAATAGGAGGCTGTTGGCGGTTGTAAGCCATGTTGCAGATATAGTGTTTTCCCTCGTCTAACTCCAGGCTAAGATCTGTGTGTAATTTCAACCAGGACAACCTCCAACAGGGGTGTCTCTGCAGAAGTCTCTAGAACATGTCATAACTAATCAACCAACTAACCAGAAACGGGATACTGGGTCACCTCTTTATACGCCTTTCTCTGCTTCGGAGGAAGCAGCGTGCACCGTTTTTGATTGCAAGATCTGTCTGGGCCGGGACCTCCGTCACACAGTGTTGCTGTCCCACGTGGGACGCCGATTCTGACCACCCTTGCACGACAGCGCAGATGATGGGAGACAAGACATTCGTCCGTTTCCGCCTGCTGACTTAAGAATAGTTCCGCTGTGCTCCTCAGAACTCTGCCTATCATGGTCCCTGCCTCGGTATCCCCTTGAACTGCTCCTGACTTGCCCAACCTGCGTGGCTTGCGTCCAAGTATCGACGCCACTTTGAGCAGGGAGTCCCGGGGAGTGGGCTCTCGGGACTACCTCACCTCGGACGTCAGACGCCAGCCTCCGGACCGGGCCTTCACTAGGCCTCTTGAGGAAGGACAGCTTCCTCAATGGTAATTAAGGGCAGTGGACACTCGACAGTAGCCATCATGTTATCAAAGGTCATTCCAAACCGATCCTGGATGCATCAGCCAAGTGTACAGTCATGTTCGTATCGTAATCATCTATGAAGAAAGAAAGCTTGTAAATACATTATTTCATGAGTATGTACAAGTCGTATGTGCTGATGTAGATACTTCCTGGAGGAGCACAGGTCATTGTCTTCACATGTGTCTCCTTTCATAAGCATGTGCTTCATTGCTGCCAACCCCTAACCCCCCGCCCACGTCACAGGAGACTCCTCTGCTTCCTACTGTCGTTAAACCTTCATGATGACACTAGAGACTATTCAAATTAAGCCATAGAAAGGATCAGACTAGATGGTTGACTTTGGTCATAGGTGATCGGTATGCTGTGAATAACTTCAATGGCTGAGCTTGGATCATGGTCTGCGCAAGTTTACTTGCCTTGGCACGTCTTGCAAGCTTCGAGTTTGATACGCAAAGGTAGCGAATCTACTTAGGAGCAAATAAAACACCACACCAGATTGTAATGTAGGCTTGCTTGTGGTCAGACTCTCCTAAAGTCTCAGGTATCTGCATTTGCATCAGTAAGTCTCACTTGACACCCTTTCGAGTATGGCCCTTGGACCCAATACCCTGGTGTATTGTCCCTGCTGCCGTTGATGAATAGAAAATAGGAAGATAGGCAGTGTCCCGGATTAGATCCCGGCTTGTGTGGACGAAGCCGTCCTGTTGATTAACCCACGAGGCAATTTATGGTCTCTTAGATTTGATAAAGAAAGAGTTAACTAAGGCCGATATTGTCTCTTCCCGTCTTGGCTTGTCGGCTGGGAGTGGTAATAATGTTGCTTTACGTGGAAGTTGGCATGATTTCTAGTCATATTGGCTCAAACCAACTCTCTGATATCTCTGGACGTAACCATGTATGCCGCGTGTCGGCAGGAGAACCACTTCGCAAGCTGTGAGACTCGTCTCATCAGGCGCTCTCCGGAAATAAAGGCACAAGCTAACGAGCAGATTCGAGGCCAGGCTCTGTGTGGAGAGTTATTAATCTCTCGGCTCAGCTGTGAATGCGGTCCGGCAATGCGAAGGTGTAGCACACCATGATTTGCGGTATCACATTACTCGTACACTTTGATCATTAGTGGTAGAATGCTACGATCACAGTCAAAAGAGAATAAGTTTGAGGGTGCACGTTCACAAGCGAAATTGGAGACAGTGAGGGGACAGGGAGGGGATAGCCGTTGGAGGCATCAGTGGCCCTTGTCCTAGGGTCAATGTGATATTGACAGGGATATTTAATATTAGTCCAGGACTGTTGCAAGCCTGAAGATCGACCCAGTTCTTCTGTAGGAACGCCACGACAGGATGGGCTAACGGGAGCCAGGACCAGAGGTATCATCATCCTAGAGGCGCGGATGACAGCGTGGAGCACCTTGAGAACCGTTCCCATTGTCCCAAACTTCCCCGGCCCATGTCATCTCGTGTTAGAGGCTTGTCGGGGAAGCAGCCTGGTGGTTTTGCCGTCTGGCCCTTATCCACCGTCCCATGGTTCTGCAGGAGATATAGCCGCCTGTCTCGGCCCAAGCTGCAGCTCTCAGACGCAGCAGCCCGCGTCGATCTCCACCTTTTACCATTGATTGATCCCGGCTGTTCGGTAACATTGCAGTTAAGTGGTCCTTTGCTGTACTCGGACTGGACAGGTGACTCTATCTAGCCTCAATCACCTGTGTGGCGGAGCTCAGTGTCGACTGTGCTGACAATCAGCAATGTACACGTTGAATGACAACGCTGTTGTCGTTGTAGAGACCCCTATAATGGGCCATTTAATGAGGCTCCAGAGACGTTACTCGGCAAATAGCACACTGCTGAGCCTTGTCAGCGATCCTTGTGTAAGCGATGTGATTATGCGAGGGTATATGGTCAGGGGATAGTGAGTTGCTGTTGGTCGCCTGGTGGCCCCCCTGTTGGAGCCAAATTCTCCGCCTGGTCCAAGTGTCCTGGCTGGTGCATCAGCACTCCATCCGCATGAATTTAAAGAGATGACGATTTGATCGCGTGCAGCGAATGGTTTGGGGATCACAATGAGGCCCGTGATGAGGAGGATTTCTCCCGATGATCGAAATGAGCCTATCATGCCGTGAAGCCAGTTTCCTCGCCTGGACGGGGGTTTCGACAATCCCTGACCAGCTTCACACTTGCCGACAGGACTGTCCAATTGGCACTGGAGTTCTGGGCTCACCAGGTAGATGTGTAGAGGGCATCCCTCTCCACGAAAGAGCGAGAGTATGGATGCAGGACTGGCGGTCGATCTAGCATGGATGCTGCATGAGTGGAATGAGACGATTCATGAGTACGGTGAATTCAAAGTCCGCTTGACCCATCCGGGTCTTGCTCGCCTCGCCTCGCCTCGGTCTCAACACAAGGCCCACAGCGGCTCCTTCTCTATTATGCCAGGGTAGGCATAGACGTGCATCTTCAACAGTAGTGACCGGATGTAGAGCAGAGCAGGAAGCAGGACAGGAATGTGCAAGATCCAGTCTGGCTTGTGACTGTTCTAGAGGCGATGAGATCGGCTACAAGGGAGGGACAGCAGGGTTGGGCATCTGTCCGCAACACTGCTTTTCGAAGAGGTGTCTGAGGGCTGAACGGGACTAATGGATAGTGTACTCGACCTCAAGAGCACGCGGGGGTGTAATGTGATGTAGTATTCGCATATTAGTAGACGTATTGCCATTAGCGCGGTAGGCAATAACCATGGCGATCTGCGTTTGGTGAATGACGGGGTCGTAGATTATACTCAATAGTGGTAATGGTGGAAGATATTGAGATTAGATGGCATTTACTGTGGTCCCTGCACAGGTCAAAGCTTCGGCGACTGATGGTCTGTGTGCTCCCCGAAAGTCACCTTAGGTGTAGATCTACGTGGGATTTCCGCCGCTGCGCATCTTTAGTCTTGCCATGAGCGGGAATGATGTGGCACTGAGCAGTCAACGACAGCAAGTCAACGTTGATAGGCTCTTCGTACTATCTATTATCGGGCGGTGCCTAGCCATTGAAGAGGCTCCGTGATCCCACCATTGCTGGACTGAACGTGCTTGACGACGCTGCGTAATGCGGTAATCGGAGTGGTACGATTCTTACTTCAGGCTACTCAGGCAATTGTGAAGTGTTAGAAGCATGAAGAACACCAACGCATCCCTCCCTGTTTCGTGCTATTTCGGGCCCGTCAAAAACGGGATGTGCTGTTTGATCGGACCAGATCACAGAAACCTGCGACTTCGTCTCTCGGAGAAATACCCAATCCAGCACATCTTAAGACGATCGCTTCAAGCAGCAGAAAGCCTCAACACGTAATTGTTGACTTCACTTACAAAACATCTAAAATGGACGTTCAAGTCCTTCGTGGCATCAAGGAACATGGGCCACCCCAAGCATATGCTCTGAGATCGCTGCACATATTCGAGACTGGAGAAGACCCTTCGTAAGGAAGTCTAGAGAAGTCGTCGAGATCAACTACCAATCCTGCGTTCCGAGGACTCCGTGTCGAGGGCATGTAGTGACAAGGTAACTCTCCGGTGGCTTAAGCTAAAGGGCACTCATCGGATCTTAGCCTGCGTTAGCACGGAGATTTGGTGAGCCCCGGACGACAGTCTCCTAAATGCATGTCAATGGGCGGCTACCAGGGTATTGAGGATCCGAGTCCTAAAATCACTCATTTGTGTCGAACCTAAATGGGGCTGTTATGACGGACTTGCTTTCGTCAAGTTGTCTGTCGAGCAACTGAGAAGTCTCTGGCTCCACACTCTGAGACCAAAGTCATCAACACTATGCAGTATGGGGAAATCCTGTTCACCTCATCGACGGTGTCTAAATCTTAGGCCGGTCACAACGTTGGCCCTAAGTTGTTAGCATGCCCGCCGGGAACAGGGATGGCTGGGGCCACCCTTGTCAGATGTGAACAGGCCAGCATGCGATCTGGTGTCCCTGGCTTATATTACAGCAATTAAACACCCTAGGTGTCCTTGAGATTCTTTCCACCCTGATGCCAGGATATGACGTGGGTCTTCAATTGAGATATCAAGG